GGGTATAGTTTTCAAAGGTATATTGTAGTAGTGTTGCATAGTACTTCGTTGGTATAGATTAGTTTAGTTGGTATAGCACGTTACTTACTGGGGTAGTTGGTTTAGTTAGTGTAACACAATTGATAGTTTGAATCCAGGAGTTATGTCTTAATTATGCGAAATATGAACGTCTGTGTGAGTGTAGTCTTGAATGGGTCTGTTTTTGAGAGGGACTAGCTTTCTGTCACTGAGCAGTAGTGATCATCAGAGGCAGTCGGCAAGTTAGTGGTATATTTAGTGTAGTGCTGGTATAATAATAGCAGTAATAATAATGATGATGATGATGATTGTTATTATTATTATTGTTGTTGTTATTATTGTTGTTATCATCATCATCATCATCATCATCATCATCATCATTAATATTATTCCTTTCTTTACCCTCGGCAGTATTTACAGCGAGAAGGCTAATGGGGCAAGCCAGTCACCGAAACAAATAACTCAAATGAACACACTGATTTACAAGCGTGATCAAGGATTTGAACTCGGGACTACCTTGAACAGTTTCAGCCAGCACTGATTTTGTTGCCTCTGCGTCCTGCGTCTCTTAGGAGTAAAAATCCCCAAAGACACAAAATAATTCATTGCATGCGTCCTGTAGGACGTAAAGATCGATCGATCGAAGTTCGTGTGATTTCTGTGGGTGTTGTTATGCTGTCTTAGTTCTGCTTTACAATTGACCGCTCCCGAAAATATCATAACATACCATAATGCTCTTTGTTTGTCACCCCAAAATTTTGCATAAGCATGGTCTTCAGTTTCTCTTGGGAGTTAAAATGGCCCCCGGAGAAACTGAAAACAATGCATATTCAAATTTTTGGGGTGACAAACAAAGAGCATTATGGTATGTTATGGTATTTTCTGGAGTGGTCAGTAGAAGTCTGTCTTCAGATTAACTAGATATAAACTTACATATAGGCCCAAACATTTTCAGATGACCACTACAGAAAATACCATAACATGCCATAATACTCTTTGTTGGTCACTCCAAAATCTTGCATAAGCGTTGTCTTCAGTTTCTCTTAGGAGTTAAAATGGCTCCGGGAGAAACTGAAAACAGTGCTTATTCAAATTTTTGGGGTGACAAACAAAGCCGCATTATGGTATGTTGTGGTATTTTCTGGAGTGGTCAATAGGAGTCTGTCTTACATATAGGCCCAAACATTTTCAAATGACCACCACGGAAAAAACCATAACATACCATAATACTCTTTGTTGGTCACTCCAAAATCTTGCATAAGCATTGTCTTCAGTTTCCCTCGGGAGTTAAAATGGCCTCAGAGAAAATGAAAACAATCCTTACGCAAAATTTTGGGGTGACTAACAAATTGTATTATGGTATTTTCTGTAGTGTTCAATAGCCCATGTTCAAAAGTGGAAATTTCTTCTACTTTTTTGTTTGGTAAAAAAGGGGAAAAATGGTGTTAAATGACGTGGAAAGGAAACAACTATAGACCCATTAACAATGTTTCCATTTTGTTTGGCTACCATCTTCGAGTTTTTACAAAGGGGTAAGTAAGCCTATAGTTTTGGGCCAAAATTGGAAATTTTTCCAACGTTTTTGTGTGGTAGAAATGAATAAAAAAATGGTGTTTCAGGAGGCTTTGGAGAAGTGACAAGGGAAGCTAGACCTTTAACAACGACTTCGATTTTGGCTCCCAGCCATCCTGGATTTTTTACAAAGGGGTTAAACTATGTTTTTGCGTCAAAGTTGGAAATTTTTTCTACTTTTGAGTTTGATAAAAATGAATCGAAGCGCCGTGTTTCATAAAGTTTTGGAGAAGTGAAAGGGCAACTAGAACATTGACAGAGATTTCGACCTCAACTGGCGGCTACTTTGGATTTTTTACAAAGGGAGTCATCCTTCAATTTTGAGTCAACTACTAACTGGGGAAGTTAGTACTTGGTACAGTTAGTCCACCGGTTGTTCCGTTGGTATTGGCGAAAAGTTGATTTAGCTAGAGTAGTTGATACATAATTATAGCTAGAGTAGTTGCTAAAGTATTCTGTGTAGGTAGCCCATTGGTTGGAGGTTGGAAGTTTCGCAACACTGCACCGAGTTGGTGAGAAGAGCTCCTGGGATCAATTAAATAACACTTCAACAGATGTAAATTAAAAGTGTAACTATTCTTTTAGGGTTTGAAAACAATAGCTAAGTTGACCCCTGATTCGGAACAATGGCATCACAGTTGGTGTAGTCCGTGATTGAACAATACGCTTGCATGATGAAGACATACTAACCTAAAAATGTTCCCGGAGACTGGGTTGACCTCCGGACATCAGTAACAGTTACTAAGTGCAACGTTAAAATCTATGGAACTGAACCCTGATCACCCTTCAAGAGCTGGAGTGGGCGTTGCAAGATCGTTCCCCAACACCACGGCAGCTCTGTTGTATACGTTTAGAACTTTGATGAGACTCGAACTTGAGTCAATTCGACACAAATTAAGTCAGTAAAACAGACTGGAGACAATTCAACACGAGCGAAAGTGAATTCGGCACAAGCTAAACTCAATTTGGTCTGAAATTTTCGTACTGATGGAGCAAAAAAAACCGAGTATAAGATAAACGTAAGTTCGTGCTGCACGAATCGATTTTTCATTTTTTCCCCAATTTTGTAGCACACAAGGCCTCGTTGGAAGTAACTTGTGTGAAGTGACAAAAAAACTGACTTAAAGCATAGGGATGTTGCAGAATATATATTTGCATCTAACGAAAATTGTTTACAACCTATGAACAACCAAAGAAACAAGTAACATGCAACAACTGTAAACAGACATTTATTGACTGCAACATGACGGCAAAATTTTGAAAACGGTTTCGTACAAAAACAAATAAATAATACAGCGACATAAACCGAAGTCTTAAAGGTGAAACTTAACGTAAAAATCATGGAAAAATAAAGAGAATATTCTGTTCTCCTACGCAAGATTCTCTAGAACGAAAAACCTTTAGGGGCGCAAATATCTAACTATGATATCAAATATATATATTCGCCATACAGTTATTTCTGCGCAGGATACTACTTTTCAATGTAAAATTAAATAACATCTCTACTGCGGGAACAAAACTCAATATTATTTTCGAAAATGGCTGTTCTATGAACTATTCAAAGATTGAACAGGACGGAAGTACCTGTTAAAACCGGCATAAGTAAATATAAAATCAATGGAAGAAAAAAAAATTCGATCCCTTCGTAATACAGATTCTAAATCAAAACCAAAATCTACTTTAAACAAAGATGAAACTTCCCATTACATTTTCATCAAGTTTCCTTATAAATAACGGGCAGGAAATGCATCATTAGATAATGTAACTGCCTGCTTTTTCTGAATAAAATCTCGTAAGACTCAGTTGAAACTGCCTAATAACTTTTATCGCTTAAGTTTAACTTATTTCGCATCATTATACTGACGAAATCTATTTCACCTATAATATAGCTCACTACAATAATAACATTTATATAATATTTCTTTCATATGCATGAAAATCTTAAGTATTTGAAGAAAATGTGTTAGCATAAGAAGGAAGAACGATTAACGCATTCTCAATATACTTCAGTGTTTCCAAGGACTTCCACAAATCGAGCGACCGATTGGAAAACACAAAATTTGTTAATGCGGACGTGAAAGCAAGGTCTAGGTCAAACTTCGAACTTTTCATGGGACGAACTAAACTCTAATTTGGGTCGACCTAAATAAAGTTATGATCGTCTGTTGGGTCAGACTCTGACCGACTGAGTCGAACTTAATAAGACGCGTCGAACCAATCAACTGATCAGACCAAAAAGCAATTTTAGCCCAACAAATTACTAATTTATTAGTTTAGTTCGCCGCATGTGAAGATCGACGCTTGTCTCGGAGACGATCTTCAGACGTTCTATCCGCCTGAAGCAGACGGATAGAACGTGTTGGACGATCCAAACTCATTCAGACGAACTTAACTGAGCCAGATATCGAACTTTTCATAAACTTAACTCATTAGGTTTGGTTCCTCTCATGAAAAGTTCCACGTTTGGCCTAGGCCTAAAACGCGGATAGACAACGAAGATCAAAAAAATGGACGCGGGAGAAGTTTGCCGCAGTAACGACCTTGAGGAGCTATATCTCCGTTAGTTTTCAGCAAATCACTTGCAAACTAAATTAACTTGTCAATCCTGCTAATTTAAAGGCGCTCTTTTCAGCGGAGTTAACGAATTTTCCGTAACTTGCCATGTCAAAAGTTGAAAAAAACGTCTATAATGAAAACCGCTAAAATGCAAGGCTCGCCATACCCGGTCAGGTAGCAGCCAATCAGAAGACCGGATTCACTCCAGCCCGCTCGGGGAGCCAGTTGTGTAGTATAGGAAATCGATGAATTTTCAGCTGCATTAGCGAGTGATGAACACATGCTAATAAAGCCAAAATTATGAACCTAAGTTCAACATTGCATTTTCCTGTCTCTAACTCGACTCCACCCCCTCCCTCAGGGGATGAGGCGGTGGCATAAAGGCTTAAAGGTGATGGTATCGAGATACGGCGTAGGAAGTCAATGGCGAATATATCTTCTCCCTGTATAACAGTTTTCAATCGAGTGTGCAAGTCTTGCGAAGCAAGCTCCACCAATCAGAGGTAAGATTGTGACATTGCCGCGCTTTTTTCCCGCGTTTAGCGCCCGTCCGTCTACACGAACAGACGTAATTCGAGCTCTGATTGGTTCGTTGGTTTGTTTGCTTCACTGGCCTCGACTGACTAGTCCCTCACTTCTCTCGGGGGTAGTAAAACGAGCAAAATATGCCAGCGCGCGGAACATTGCCAGCCACGAAATAGGCCACACGCGCGTCACCTTCCTCGCAAAGGAAAATGTTTTTACGCGCGCTTCGTGTATCGCTTATTCTACTATTCATAAGAAAAACGAGGGAAAACTTGTAGTCGGCTGTTTCGAGACTCAATTGAAAAATGTTGAATGAGTACTCTGTATAGCTGTTACCCCCGAACTATTTACAAAATTAATACGGAGTAAGCATGAATGATTTAAGTTGAGACGGTATACATCACCACTGGATTCATCAGAAGAGCCTCTTTTCGTACCTGCAGAAGAAAAGAATCCAATAAGTTTGACAAGAAAACCTGTATTAAGCGGTTAACCTCGGAGAATGGCAGAGTGACTGCATAACAAGTTGCGTAAAGACCTTAAAGGAAGATGGTAACATTCAAGGGTGTCCAGCACAAACCTTAACAGCAGCCCATAACACGGAGCGAGTAACACCCATGCCAGGCTTACGTCACGGTTTATTCCAGATATATTTTAGAGCACTCCGTCCACTCCATCCGTGAGTCAATCAAAGTATAAGATATATAAAAAAAAACTAACCGTCATTATTAAAAGGTCACAAATACCATTTTGAGGAATGTAAATGGTGGTGACTGATATTCTAAATTCGCACCAAAATCGTTCAAAAAATAAACTGGTCGGTGAAAACGGTGTGACACGAGTACATGGAAATTGCTCGCTCCGGGTTATGGACTCCTGATCTCAGAAGGATTTTCTGTTTCTCCTTGTGCAAAATAAAAGGAATAGGGAGTTTAGGAAACAGAACGACAGCTACGTGTCACACACGTGCTACGTGACCGATAAAAAGAGGTCAGCTTTACAGTAACTGAGGGAAATGGTTTCTAGGACTTCAGCCAGTGACCACATTATCAGCAGCTGAATACTAAGGTTCTCTCAACACACACTTGGCTGTAATATATCGTCAGCTAACTCGCAAACGTTCCCGCGCAGAAGGCTCTCGAATGAAAGCAGTGTGCGCAATGAGGAGGAAATTACAAACAAGTTTTCTTACGAGTGCAATCCATGAACTCCTCCCTCAATCTGTGCTGAAGTAGTCCTCTTCTCAAATTTGAGCTCTCCAGAGTACATCATAGCTCTAAAACAAATCCACCAGTACGTTAAGCTAGTCAATGAGTCTCCGGTTCTCACCCTTGCCGTTTTTCTCACAGCATTGCAATGATTATGCGAAGTAAAGAAATGCATTCAAAATGTCATTTTGCTTTTGCCTTTTTTTCTTGAGGGATAAGAGGCGAGTCTCTTTTGCTTTTGTTCGTCTCGCGGTTTTGCCAGCTTTAGACTGCAAAACAGTCGGGTTTTTCTTCCTCAAAATCGTTTTAGCCTAGCTTTAGAGTCCCACACGCGCGAAGTGCGGGAGCCTCACACACCCGTAAGACGTGTGAGGCGAGAGAAAAAAAGCGTCTTTCGCCAGTCTCGCTCTCCGTTTTCACCCTCGCTCCAGACCTTTTGTTTGATTGTTCGCAAGTATTTGAATACACAAAAAGGCGGACTGTTTTGAAGTCTATGCCAGCTACGTATCTGGCAGGTGCTTTTAATCTCAAACAACAAAGCCTGCTTGATTTGACTTATCAAAGGGCCTTCATTCTCATGATCAACAAATATCTCTTGTGTGACAGGTCCAAAATGTCATGCACTCGAACCTACCTAATGTCTACATTAAGCCAAACATGAAGTTGCCGCTTAGGCGGGTGCTGGAACGGCTCCGAAGTTCTTTTGGTTCCATTTTCCTTTATTTTTGTATGAAAGTAGCCGGGGATCATACAAATATAAGTAGTCGGAGGAAATCCCCGGCCCCAAGACGTTGAAAAACGGCCTAATTTACCGGCGTTTTGGTGGCAATATATCAAGCATGAGACGCAGTGTTTCATCACCAGATGAAACACCGAGAAGAGAGTTTAAAATACAACGCGCAGCGGAGTAGTTTTTTGACGACCTTCGAGGTGCTTCATCTGGTGATGAAACACTGTCGAATGCTTGATATTACTTCTCAAAAATGATTTTAGAAGGAGAAATTAAGGATGCAAAAATGAGCAGTTTTTCATCTGATTTCCAAACACTCATTTAACATTAATTTCCTTTGTATTTTCTTCATGAATTATTGATGACTTTAAGAGGGTTGAAGTAAATACTCCTTTGGAGTCCCAGTGTGGGGCTTCCCACATTGGGTTCCCTGTGGTGATCACCGCGATTGCAGACAAGCGCCACGATTCTGAGGGCGCTTTCCATTTGTCAGAACTGACTTAGCCTGCTAGCAAGCTCTCCCGTTTGGGCGAGTGAAACGGGTCTCGCGAGAACGCGCGAATTGGAATTGGAAAGTTGCCGATCTGGTCAAGTCTCGATAGATTTTGATTCCTCGGCCCCTCGCTCGCTCGCGCGTTCTCGCGAGGCTCGCTTCGCTTGCCCAAATAGGAGAGCTTGCTCGCAGGCTAGAACTGACTGGCTAGCCCATTCCCATCGTAATGAGAATGTCACTTTTAATCAAAACCAACCATCCAGATCAGTCAAATCCTAAATATTATGCACAAAGGAGATTATTTTTCAGCAAAACCTCTTGGAAAAAGCCTGTTTCATTGCCAAAATGTCTGGTCCGGCCATTGTGCGGCCAGCCAGTTCTGACTTTTGGAAAGTTCCCGGAGTGTGACAACTTGAAAATTTTTCTCCTGGACAAGGGCTTCCATTGCTATTTAAAATAAGTTTTGAAATAAGAACTAACCTTAGCTGAGTGAGACTCTTTGCTCCCAAGTCTTGGCAGCCGTGTTGAATCCCGGTACATAAATAGGGTGAAAACCGGTGGATGGAGCCCTTATCTGCCACTGACCCTGATACTCCTTGGGCTACTTTCACTTTGTCATGTTCACTTCAAAAAAAAATCAGTTAAACATTGATGTTAATAATACAGTACTTCAGGAAAGGTGCCGTCAAGTCAGCAAAAAGGGAGGAAAGCATGGTCTCTATGGCAACCCAGACACCTCCCACCTGCAGGCACCTATCAACAGCAGAAGAATTCAGCTCCAGGAAAGTTTGCCTATATTGCACAAAGTGAGCAAGTTAATATAATCGCACTGAAGTTTCAAACAACGCGAAGTCTCTTTCGCCGCCGTCGCCGTCGTGGTATCTTAAACTCTACACAACCTCAGAATGGCCAATCAGTACAATTTTGTTGATTACGTTCAAGAAGTTGTATTACCTGAAGTATCTTTGCGCGCCGCCCTTGTTCTCCATTGCACTTAACGATCCCATTCCTGAAATGAAAACAGTTAACATTATGCAAAAAATTCCAGACAGGAAGGGAACTCGCTGAGTTAACTTTCGCAAAGACTCCTGGGACTGTCACTAGTCATAGGGAGGGGAGGGGGGTGGGGAAGTACATGTACGATCCCAGAAGCAATTGCGGGACACATCTCGGCTCCAGTCTTCTTGTCGTTTCTAAACTTTCAACTCATCAATATATAACAACTGATAAACTCGTCAACTGATGAGAACAGTTAAGGTTTCTGAGATACTCACCTCTGTATTTTTTAAGTCTGACACCATCAGCAAAGAAATATTCGCCTGGAGCTTCTGTTGTACCAGCTAACAAAGATCCCATCATAACTGGAAAGTAAAGTAAAATATGATGAACCAAAATTTATGCCACGAAGGACATTAATTTGAAAATTGTATGCTAATTTTAATACCAAAGCTTTGGGGGTTCTTCCTTGAAACTTCTTCAAGAATTGTTTTACGTATTTATCCTCTCCCATTTGTCTTATATCACTGCCTTATTAGTGTTCAGTTACATTGGGTGCTCAGTGCTAAACCTAACCGTAATATTACAGTGTAGGGGGCTTAAGCACCGACGACGGCGACGGCAGCGGAATTGAATTCGTGATTTTTCAAACTTTGTCACGATAATTCCCACTCGTTTAAAATGTCAAATGTAGGTAAACTTACTTGAAATTGATTTCTGAATGACAATATTCAAGAGAAAAAAAACATATCTGTCGTCGTCTGTTTACGTCCCCCAAAAAAACATCGCATAACGAAATTTCACATCCTTGTCGTGCAGAGACGGCGATGAAGAGATGTACAAAAACGCCTGATACACGTGCGGAGTTGTTGCTTGTATTTCGTTGCGGTTCCCGTCGTGTTACTAAGTTCCTTTATATTACAGTCAGGGTAACAGCGATTGATAATTGATATTAAGGAAATGTCACGTCTTAATCGTGGAACGACGGCAAGGAAATGTACGAAAGAAAAAGCGTAATGCACGTGTAGAGTTGTTGTTTCGCTTGTTAAACCTATTGCTTTTTCTCGATGCTGCCGCCTTCGTGGTTGCTAAGTCTCCCTTATGTAACAGTCAGAGTAACAGTGTTTGATAAGCACATCATACCAGTTGACGCTCCCAAGCTGAGCGCTTTAGAAATATGCCCCACATTCTGAATTCCACCATCAGCAATCACAGGGATCCCAAAGCGTCTTGCATACTCCGCTACCTTGAAAACAGCAGTGGCCTGTGGCCTGCCCACTGCCATAACCTCCTGAGTGATGCATATGGAGCCAGCTCCCATGCCAACCCGCAGTGCATCTACTCCGGCATCGATCAGGTTCTTTGCCTGAGCCGCGGTTACCACATTACCGCCAACCACTTGCAGATCTGGGTAACGCTCTTTTATGAACCTAGGAAAAGTGATTTATTCAAAATCACCAACGGTTCCATGATAAAACTTCTAACATTAATTTTAATAACTTATTTCCATCACTATGACCCTTCCGATAAAACCTGCAGTAGACTAACGACAACTACTAGACAGATTAAGATTCACGTTTACCGCAAACGGCAAACGGCAAACTTAAGTTGAGAATTTCTCAGAATCGAAAATAAGCAGATAAAAACAGCCCCGAACGACTCCTATGTTTAAAACTGCGATAAAACTACTTATTTTTGTGTAGGAGCAATAAAGAGTAAACGGAAAATAAGGGGGAACATTGGTCTCGTGGTACAAATTCATGTCTGCCGTTTGGCGTAAACGTGAATCTTACTCTCCGTACTATTACGTTTTCCCGCCAAAATGATGCTAGTTCACCTGTGCGCACTACTTAGTATTAAGCCTATTCCAGGCGCTCAGATCGTGGGGACGGCGTGAAGAGATATGAGCACAAAAAAACAGCGAGGGGGGGTGCGGGGGGGAAGGGTTGGGTGGGTTTCCTCCTTTTTTGTCCCGCTCTCTTACTTCGCGTCACACTCCACTATCTGAACCCTTGGAAAAGGCTTCTTAGTTTTGAGAAGATCTCGTCCTCATCTTAGAATCTAAAGCAGTGCCGGATCCAGACTTTGAGATAAAGGGTGGGGGGGGGGAGGGTGGGGGCCGCTTTTCATATCGTTTTTTTTTTTGGCCCTTCAGGCCCCAGTTTGGTCTAAAAATAAGTGGTGGGGGGGGGGGGAAGCGGGTCCCCCGGGCACCTCCCCTGGATCCGCCACTGTATAGGTCTATAATAATAATGTATGTCAGTAAAGTACAATACATCAGCCATCAGATTACTAAAGAGTGCATCAGTTAAACACAGTTTTTGTTGTATGCACCGTCATTACGGGGTGTTCGTCCTCTGAACACTCGTCATGGAGTCAGGTGCAAATTTCTCTTGGTTTGATTTTACAATGGGTAGCCATGGAAAAGGGAAACCATCAAGATTTCAAACCGCTATAATGATGTATTAAAACTCTGGTTTAACATTGATAAGTCAGCTGTAACCATAGTCATCATCACTTGGCTGATGTATTTAAACCCTAATACAGTGAAACCTCTACTAAACGGACACATTCGGGACCTTTCCAAGTGTCCGCTTAATAGAGGTAAGTGAGGTTTGTAAAAATTGCGTAATTTTTGTTAAAGATTAACATTCAACGGTTACTCTGTACTGTGATAAGTTCCATGTTGTTAAGGTAGCTATCTAGAGTTCAGGTTCATTACCTTTCATCAAGAGCCATAATGGGACCATAATGTCCCATTATGGCTCTTGCTTTCATCACCAAACGGATACTGGCCTAATCTACAGTTTATTGACAGCCAAAAGTATTGATTTATCTTTATTGATCGACTACAGTACGTATTCCAAGGATATAATTCAATAATACTGTTGTCAATTCAGTCCAGTGCCAGCTTAATAGAGGTTTTTAACAAACGAAATTAGCCGAATGCAATTTATTTTAGTGTCCGTGTCCGTGTCCGCTTAATAGAGGTGTACGCTGAATAGGGGTTCGTTATAAAGGGAAATATAGGACGTTAATTTCGGAACCCGGCTTAGTGTCCGCTTAATGGGGGGGGGGGGGGGGTCGCTTAACAGAGGTTTCACTTTAATTATCAGCATTCAGATTCTCTACACTTTTTTCTATACAGTTCCTATGGTACGATAAGGAGAATCTCTTTGATCAGCTGCTTAACCCTTTGAATCCCAAGAGTGACTGACATCAATTTCTCTTGACAATATCAATACAACATCAAGAGGAAAGGTTGTACGAATTAATCAAATGAAAATTCTTTGATCTTTATACAAACCCTCTCAACTTGTTCTTCAAGGAGATGTAACAATATCAGTATAAAGAATTTGTAGTTGATATTAGGGCTTAACGGTTAATTTTCATGATCGATCCATTATTTGATTTAGCAGTGATATTTTTGGGAGAAATGTGATTGCAGGGGTGATTGGGGTTTAAAGGTTAATAAAGATTTCCAGCTTTATCTTCATACAATTGGCTGAATACTATACACACTGAGGAAGACTGGGAAGGTAAATATAGTGAACCTTTGTTTAGGGCACCTTTTGAGTCCTCCCAGCTCCTCTACTCGTTTAGAATTTAACAAGGCAATTACGTGAGCAGTAACATTTGCTCCCAGGACAAAACAGGTGCAAAGTATGCTACTCAGTCACATGTGTCTGTACATTCCCGATCAAATTGGAATTTAAAAGTTTTAATCTATTTGTCTAGTGATCTAAAATATTTGAAAATGCTTTACAGGCTAGAATCCTACAAAAGCACTGCGTATATATAAGTAAAATGACAGTTTACCTGATCATATCTAACTGAAAGATTGAATTTCCTTGAGAAGAATCAATAACCACGACATCCAAACCACTTTGGACTAAAGCCTCTAATCTCTGCTTATCCTCATCTCGAGTCCCAATGGCTGCACCCACTAAGGTCAAAAAGAGAATTTACATTGTGTAATATTACATGTAATTATCACTCAGAGGCTTAATATCTAGTACATAGTAAACTTCCAAATATATTCTCTATAGATTTCTTATTGAAGAGATAAGAAGGCTTAAAAACTCTAGCTTCCAAACTGGCAATTTCTCTTGGGCACAATGAAGAAAAAGTTGGGAAAAAGCGAAAAACAATCTGTGAAAAATTAATGAAACTGCTTGCTATGAAAGGAAAGACAACGTTCTTGCAGGCCTATAATCAGGCATAGGTGACAGTTGCTCTTTGCTATGGTTTTGTCTTGTTAGGGATTAATATTTTCTTTTCAACCACATCAACTTGGCTGCATTAACAACGGAGGCTATGTTCTCACTTTTCCAGATAGTTTTGCACCTGGATCAGGATTTAATTCACACACAAGAACAGTGATTTCAACGCAATTTTTGTAATGGAACGAGGCTGCGCTAAGCTGACCCCGAAAGTACATATCAGATACCCTGTAGGTTCTGTGCCAAACTTTACTGTAGTGTCAAAAGGTATTCAAGCCAAAGCGGCATTGAAATGGAAGAAACTAAGACTGGACTTCAGAAATGGGATTTAGTGCAATAAACCCTCTTGGCCAACTGCTCTGATATGATGTTCAATGGGTGTAAACAACTTGTCTCAGTTCTGCGCCATTTCTGTTCACACTATACTCGATAGCTTTTCGGGTTGGTACATAAAGCTATCGGGAATAGTATGAACACAGCCTGAGTTACATGCAAAGAAAGATTCAATACCAATCAGGTCATTTTCTAGTATCACACAATGCTACAGTCAACTTTTTCTTCATGGACACCTAAAACAGACACCAGTTACAGTTTCTCTGATTTTTCAGTCAGTCTCTACTGGACAGATTCTTTGTGCCAGCTCCAACAGCATCCAGATAAGAAAAAGTTTACTGCACCATCATCTCTGTGATCACAAGCTCAAGGAAGCACCTTCCTGATCTGCGATAAAAACAGTACAATACCTGGCATACCTAACAGCTGCTTGTTGGCATCTTTAGAAGCCAGTGGAAAATTTCTGTTTTTCTTAAGATCTGTGCGGGCAATCAAAGATACCAATTCTCCCTTCTCATTAACGATTGGAAGCTTTCCTGTCATACAAGAAGAAGCATTGTATATTAAAAATGGACAATATACTCGCCCTCTGCAGTTTGTCAGTAATGTGGTACAAAAATGCCAAGCTTGAACTTATGCTTTACAAAGAAGACAGCATAAATATAGGTATCAGGTCAGATTGTTAACCTTTTTTGCTCCTTTGCAAAATGCTGTTGGCTTCTTGAAGTGTCACACCATCCTTAGCAACAACCAGGTCTTCTCGACGTGTCATCACCTGCATAATTATATAATGCGCATCACACACAAAAGGTATGGAAATCAAAGTTTACCCATTAACAAATTCATAAAAAAGGTAAAGGAAAAGGCATATTCAAGCCAAGTGGGAACACAAAGCCAGAGCTTACACTGGTCTGGGTCGCATCAATCAGCAAGGAGTAAACAGCGTTCTCATTAAGTTCTACAGTTGACAGCTAGGATGTTAAAGTAGACAGCTCGGCAATCAAGTGCTGTAGGCAATTAATTTGAGGCTTTCAATCCCTCAGTTTACCCACTTTCCCCTAAAAGTAGATGGCTCAGACCTCAACGAGAACCCCGAAGATCTACTACCCCTTGGATGAAATGTTGGTTTATTGCAGGGTTAACCTAGCAGTGTATCTCCCAGGGTCCCATTTACACAGTGTACACCTGGATGAAAGGTGACATAATGTTTCCTGTCCAAGGAAATGATGGATGATGGAAAATTAATGATGCAGACTGTCGGCTGGCACTGGACATACACATACAATCCAAGTGCCAACACCACCACATCATAATTGGGCAAAATAAAAGTCCCTGGAGGTGATTCATGTATGTACATTGTACATTGTGCACAAAGCACACATTAATTTAGTAGACACTTCGCAACACCTTTATGTGCATTCAGTATAACAAAAATCAGTTTAGATAGTAACATGTATTGTCCTTCAGGAATCCTAAATTAAAGACTACAGTGCAATCAAACAGATAGTTTCATATTTGTGTCTGTTACCTCTTTGATAGGCCTGGACATGTCTGGTTCATGTGCGAAGTCAATATCTCGTGATGTGATGATGCCCACCAATATTCCGCCCATACGTCCATTTTCTGCAGAAAAAACAAATGGTTAGAGAAAATCAATTTACATGCAAACAACTTGCCAGGAACAGGGATAAGCAGTCATCCAAAAATGAACAAGAGAAGGGGTGCTCAGTAATATTGTGGTCTATCTCTAACGTTATGATTGCTGTGCCTATGTACATGTACATTTTGGCTATTTTGAAGTTTTGCAGGGATTGAACTGGGTTGGTATTGTGTCATAAAGCACGAAAGGATTGTTTTGGGAAAAAAAAAACAGCCTGCTGAAAGGAATAACCTAAAAGATTGCTTCATGCTGCACAAGCCTTCCACCTTTTGAAACAGTTTAAACCATTAACTTTTACCTGTAATGGGGATCCCAGAGAACCCATGTTTGGCTTTAGCCTCTGTAACATCTCCGACACAGTTGTCAGGGCTAAGAACCAATGGATCCAGAATGAAACCCTGTTCAAACTTCTTGACCTTTCTTACTTCGTTCGCTTGGAACTCCACAGAGCAGTTGTGATGGATTATACCAATACCCCCATTCAGCTGATGATGAAGGGGAAAGCATTAATTATTTTTGTTTTCATTTACCTAAGGCCAATATTAAATAATAACGGTTAGTATAGTCAACATTAACACATCCCTTAATTAACCTATTCTGCTTTGATGTTTGTTTGACATGTCAGCATTGTGCTAATCTGTTTAGAATGCTGATACCTTTTTTCTCAAATTAAAGGTTACAGTTTGTTTTATTTTCTCCTTGTATTTTAGTATGGTAATCAAGTGATGTATGAGTTTCCAACACAAGAAAACAAACTTTGCACCAAAGATAAAAATGAACCACATGAACACATTATGTTCATACATGTGCACGTATTCTCAAGAAGGTTTGAGCAGAGAAAATATTGTATGCAATCACAATCATTTTACAAATAATAAAAAAACACAAAATGCAGAGGACTAGAGAGCCTTAAAGCTATGTAACTGTGCAGTTTAAAAGGTACAAATTAACATTTTCTTATATGACCTATAATACTTACAGCCATTGCTATAGCCATGGAAGATTCTGCAGAGAGAAGGGTAGAATGTGATAGAGACTTCAAACATTTTTATGATCACTACCATGTGTGTCCATTGATGTTAATGATTAGAATAAATTGTCCAGTTTAGAGTTTGCTATGACTGCTGCATAAAGGAAGTGAAGAAGCATTTTCAACTGCTTGTTCGTTGTCATCAAGACAGCATGGAAACCATCATCATGAGGAGAAAGTGGGGGTGGATTGGGCACGTGCTTAGGAAAGACGCCGGTAACATTACCCACTCAGCCCTACAATGGACACCACAAGGCAAGTGGAAGAGAGGCACATCAAAGAACACCTGGCGATGAACAGCAGAGGGAGAGATTAAGACCTTAAACCACACCTGGGGTACCATCTGGAAGCTGGCCCAGAACAGACAGGAGTTGAGGGCCTTCGTTGCCGCCCTTCATGCCAGAGGGCATTGCGTGCAGTAAGTAAGCCTCCATCTGAAGTTAATACGATCACACATTCCAACAAAAAGAAGACCTGTTTATTACTCTCTGTACTGTGCACTTTCAAATTTCAAACACTTACTTGCCGGAATTTTTGAATATTTTACTTTATGTCAAGGCTAACCCTGTATGAATGTGTCGTTAACGTTTGTATTCAGTGGTAATTTTTAATTTCAAAACTGGACTTTTGCCTTACCAGTGACAGTATCCATTGGAGAACTGACCAGTGGTGTCTTCAATGTGATTTTTTTAGTCAGGGCTGAGGTTAAGTCCTGTACGGTTTACAACAAAACAGAAATATTAATCATGAAACAGAGTTCCAAAATATAACACTTGAGAAGAGAATTCATGTTAAATCTTTTAGTCTAAAATTTGATGCTTGTATGCTCTACATATGATTAGATGAAATTGAAGGGGAAAATGCTCTTAAACAAAAGGAAAAGGAACCTGGATTGAAATTTAAACTCAGATACATGTACAGCGTAGATTAAATCAGCTTTTCAAACAACTGGGCCAGACTGGATTCAGATTGTATCAACATATAACAAATCAATAAACTCAACTCAATTCTAATCTATTTTTTGACAGTAAAGTAGCACAGAATTCAGTTTTATTCAAGTGTCCAGATTCAGATCTTCTCAAAGAAACCCAACCATAAATTTTGCTTAAAACTCAACATTACTCCAAATACCCAGGCGGGAACTCTAAATCTCAAGCCACGGGGATGACTGGAAAGGGTTTTGGGGGGTTTGAAATTTTCAAGTCTGGGATTTTTTTGGGTAGGAGATTTTCTCAAGTGTTTTTTGGGTGGCTCGATTTAAGTAGGGATTTTTTTAGGTATTCAAAACAATCTGACGATTTGTGTAGTGCCTGAGAATCCTGGCCATGCAGTTCTATGAACAAAGTAAAACCATACTTGTTTTGAAAAACCTTAATTTTTTGTGTTATATTATTTAATGCTTTCTGGAAATTTTAAAGGTGCGGAAATTCGGCATGGGATATTTATGAGGCTAATTTTTATTTGAGGGATTTGTCTGGATTTGTTGGAAGCCCTAGGGATTTTTGGGGGTTTGATTTTTGCCCCCATTCAATCATCCCCATTATTTGAAATCCGGAGTACACCCCCTTGGGTCCAAATAGGCTCTACTTTACACCACAGACTGGTTACTGCGAGAGATTCCACTCTAATGAAAAAAATCTGGAGGTAACATACCACTTCATCAGCTGTAAAATCAATATAGCCTGGGAGGATAATGAAATCACTGAAAAAAGACAACAAGAATAATTTACTGGAAGAAACCTCATATTAAAGGATCACATTTACAAGTGGTGTGTTGGGCATTTGAACAGCTATTTATCCTACAGAAGGTTAATTTGAATAAGTTTTTAACCTAGATTTCAATCATTACAATGCCGGGTGGTTGCCATGGAGGGTATAACAGGCTGATTAAGCTTCACTTTAATTGGTACACAAGTCTGATGGAGACGACCTTCTTCTACCCGTACATGTAACAGAAGAAATGCAGAAACCATGGACACTCATCTTTGTTCATGAAATTTTTTGGTTGATTCTAAAGATAAAATAGCTCCTGCCTTTACTTGAAAACCCATTATGAATAGGTTAAATACCGACATGGTCTACTCCTCAGAACGCCAAATATTTGATATTCAGACTACGGATATTATGTACAACCCCGCCCCCACCTAACAAAGACGGCCTCTACAGTCGGTGTATGTCCCAAGAGCTATGTCAGCTGGTCAGTCTTGCTCTCCTGGAAGGGCCCCCATTTTAATGGAACAGTCGAAGAATACAGTAAGGCCGAGCAAAATGTGATCCCCTGGTCCTACAGATGTGTTACAGTAAAAACCCGCAACTAAGAACAGGCATTTTCCCAAGTTAGTTTAAACAGGTTCTTACATAAATAGTACTTAACACAAATTTAGGCCATTTAGGTTCTTACATTGAGGCTAAGAGTATTTTAATGGTATATTCAGATTATTCCTTAAAAAAAATCTGCATACCACTAAATTGCAGTTGGAGTGATAAGACACCTTATGCCTCCAAAGAGGATTCTGAATACTGACTTATCTCATTTGGCGAAGTGTACAGATATTTTTTTATACATTTCACAAAATAAGAACCTGTTTCAAATTTTAGGCTAAACAGGTTCTTGTATAGAGGGGGCCTAACAGGTTCTTAAAACCCAGGTTCTTAGTCATGGGTTTTTACTGTAACCATCTCCTGCAGAACCCACCGTATTATACAGAAAATATAAATATATGAATGAATAAATAAATAAGTAAGTAAATATAAAAGAAGGCCTTGTGTGCCACAAGCCACAAAGCAGATAGGAGACGTAATGTATCTGTAGGGGTCAAAATTGTAATTCTTTCTGTCGCTCAAAAGGTAAGAAATATTTTATTCGATAAAATCTGAGAGTGGTGACATTAGGACCATTTATAAGAGGAAAAATAAGACGCGTCTTACATAGGACGCGTCATAAAATAGACCGCGAACTTTCCATATAAACGGCACATTTCGTCTAAAATAAGAAGCGTCTTATTTTAGAACAGCCCTTAACACCTGTTCTTAGATAAGACGCGTCTTAGCTAAGATGAGAAAAACTTTGCAGAAATGACCTTCGCGTCTTAAATAAGACGCAAACACATAGTACGCACGCGTTAATTTTTGGCGCGCCACGTTGGATTGCCGTTGCTACGGGCAACATTCACATGAAAACGAGTCGAACAGAAATAAGATGCAAACCATTTATACGAGCTGTTCTCGTCTTAGATAAGACATGCTCGTATAAATGGTACAGTTCGCGTCTTACTTAAGATGCATCTTATGTAAGACGCGTCTTATTTTTCCTCGTATAAATGGCCCTAATGTTATGTAAGCTTAATTAACTCTGGAGGAAAATAAAATTCTTGCTTATATAACAAACGTGAAAAAGTGCATGTCAAGAAAATACACTCCTTCCCTTTCACTAAAACTTACTTTTAGAGAATTCATATTTTTGTCTTGAACAAAAATAACTTTGTGCTTATTTACATTTACTAAAAAGTTCGGCCAAACGTGACTTTCCGCACGAAATCACGCAATCAAAATAGTATCAAAACCAAAATTAAAGCAGAAGTCATTGAAATGACTCTTTGCGAATAAAATTTAGAATGATTCCAGAAAACCTTGTTTAAGCCATAAATGTGGGGAAATACTTAAAAACTGTCTTCAACCTAAGGGACAAACGTGTATTTTAATAAAGCTTGCCAGGAAAAAGCTTGAAGGAGGAAAGCGCGTACACAATGCAATGCAATCGAAACGAGCTAATTTCTTCATTGTTTGGTCAGCAAAATAATTTTCTCTGGTTTATTGAACAGATTCGCACTCATACCCAGCTTTTCCCTTCTTATATTTCACGAAAATTAACACGAAATTTCTTCATTTCATTCGAAAGTAGTGATATCCAGAAGAAAAAAGAACATGCACTCACTTGTAAGTTAGTCCTTCTCCCGCGTTGAACAGCTGCATGGCAGTCAAACCGTCTTGAGGAACATATCCAGTTCCTCCAGCTATCAAAAACTCCGCCATGGTGTTAGTCTGGTGCTGCATGTTTTCGCCCTTAAACATGAAAGAAAACGTGAGCTTGGGTAAGCTACAGCTCCGCCAAGAAACCTTGTTTTTTCTGGCATCAAACAGAACTGTTTGGTGATTCAAAATGGCCGCGGAGTACACGTGCGTGCAAATAACCCGAGGGGAAGTTGGGACCGGATGTTGGGCTCAATACATGACGCTATATGCATGAGGTCATTCATGACGTGCCCCAAAAAGCATTAGTTCCAAAACGGAATTTAAACTTTTTGTCAGAAATCACGGCCTGTGTTATGCGTTTTAGATGGCAGGCTAGAAATATTTTGGCACTACATTTAAAATGAAGTTTTAGGCGCCGTTTCTTGATTTTTCTGAGTATATTTAATCTCCGTCCTCGGGAAGCTAAGAACTCACCTGTACGTGACACGACTCCCCCCCGCAAAATTTTTGCACGCAAAATGTAATCTTTATGCTTTTCATTAACACAATAATAGATCGATCCATCAAACTAAATTTTTCAACCTATGTAGTTTTGTAAAGATCGGCCTTAACCTCCCAATTCCCAAACCTCCTGCTTATATTTCTTAGAGTTTGTAACGTATTTTTATCAAACTTTCACAGTTTCACTTAACTTAGTATGATGGATCGATACATGAAAATGTATGTTCGTTTCTGCGGAAAACACTCTAATTGCAATCTTGCGTGGCATGACATCAGTAAAATAATCCACTGAAACGAAACGTGCAATTGAATTTAAATTTCAAATCGGAAGCCATCCATTCAATTTCAAGAGCAAAATGTAAGTCGTGTTTTTCTGTTTTCTGAAAAGCGTAGAAGAAGTAACCTGGTATTAGAATTTCTCTGAGATGTTACTTTGAATTTACGATGGAAAATCTCTCCCTATATTTCTATGTTTATGGCATGAAACTTGTGTGTAAAATTCGTGAGTAAAAGGGCGTTTTTTCAAACACCATATCCCGGAGTTGTGGGAGTTCTTTCTTCTTTACGTACAATAACAACTCGCACGTCATTTTTGCCAACAACAGAAACAGCAGGATATTGGAGTAGCCACGGGTGCTAAAATAAGCGGTCCCATTTCTAAATTTTCGCCTTTAAAGAAAATCAGGCCCGTAGCTAAATGATGAGGTAGAAGCTAGGACTGAATCGACAAGAAAAAAGAGAGACTATGCTAAATGCTGGATACAGCTGTGAGAGAGGACAGAATTTTTTTTTCCCTCGGTGGTTGCCTAGCAACGGGCCCTCACTTTAAACTGGGCGCGCGTTCTATTGGCTGTTAACATTGAAATATTGGAATTAACCAATGTATACAACGTTCGAGTACAAAATTTCAAATTCAGAGGCCTCCATTTTTTTTATAAAAAAAGTTCCAATGAAGAATTTTTTTTTGAAGACTGCATGCAGTCCGCCTTTTCTCTTAACATCCAACTAATATAATAAAGACCGAGTAGGAAGCAGACCGATGAATCGATAACAAACAAAAATTCAAATCGAGTGAGTACCGGCAAAGTGACCATCACTTTATAATTTAGCACGTTCTACAGGCCGGCCGGACACAGAGACTGATATATCGATTCTGATGATTTTTTTTTTTTTTTGACATATTGGCATCTGCAACCCTGGCTAGTTTTAAATATTTCAGATGTAGTGGCTACGATTTACTAATCGAGGCGAAGTTAGTTGTTGGAAAATATACTTAAAAGATATTCTGTAGGAATTGAGCTCGTCAAAAAGCGAATTTTGAGATAACCTTCCCCTTAACTGAACGCAAAAATTCTTTCCAGAGGCATGGCGATAATAGCTGATTCTATTGGTGCCCTAAACAGTACGCCTTTACAACCAGATCATCAAGAAATGATTTGTCATTAACTTTTAAGAAAATAATAACTCTACACTCATCTCTCTCGTTCAACTTTACTGAGGCAAGATTTTAATCATGCTACAGTTTTTTACTAATTAATAAATATGATTGCAAAATCATTTGAGGTGTGACCTTTGTTTTTGCGCAATTTTTTCACTTGCATAGCAAAAAAAGGAAATAATAATATAAAATGATATGAGAAACAAAGGTTTATCTCAAGGCATCAACAAGACCAACAGAAAGCATCAAAGCGATTTAAAGAGCAAAAATAATTTTACCTTCATCTCCAATTGTTGTGTACTCGGTGAAATCTCAGCGAAATGAATGCCTAAGCACGCAAAGAAAACAATTTAAAAGCGTAGATATTACCACTGAAATAAATTGTCGTTTTTTTGTAACACTTGAAGTATTATTTGTTTCTTACAACTGCACATATTATTTACAAAATGTTGCTTTGTTCAAGACGATAATTAACTGTCTTTATAACCTAATTAATCCTGAGTTGTCACTCGGTTAATTAGTCTATTGTTAAATGGAGATCGAATTTTTTTTTAATTCATCGAAAAAGAGCTTAGGAAACTGGCATACCACACGAAAGCGATCATAATCGCACAGATAATTCCGGATTTTTTGTTTTTATTATTTTTTTTTTTTTTTTGTTTGTTTTTTGCGACCCTTTGATTTAAATTTGGAATTATCCGGCATATGCCCAACTCGTTAATGAAAATAGTGGCTGAGTGCATACGTCAGTCATAAGATGCATTGGCGATGAAAAACTAATTGCTGTTTGCAAGGCTCTTTAGGCTCATTTATGTATTTTTCTTTTTACTAAGCTTATTCCTGATAATTGCAAAATTGCTTTTTAAGTTTGAAAACAATAAAACTTCGAACGGGTGAATAGGAAGGCTACGCGCGGTTGCTGGAAGTCCAACATTCAATCGGGGATCAGAAGTTGAAATGGACATATGAAGACCGCACTCCTAGGCATTCAAATGATTCACCTGTATACTCGATGGGTTGTTGTATTAGTACAGTCTCATGCTCCAATCAATTTAAATAAATCTGAAAAAAAATTGAAATGATGCAATGTACATAGATAATGATAATGTAGCCTGGCGTTATCCAATCAATGGCGATTGGCCATTTAGAATCGATGATGGCATACATTAACCATTAATGGCCAAGCCTTTAATACCGAGGTATTGATTGTCCAAATAAAAAACAACCAGAAAGACAACCAACAACACTTTACAAAGACAAGGCAAGTTAGAAGTGTTTGTTCGCTTGTCTTTTTTCAATACAGCTAACCAGTTGTAGACAATTATAAGCGAGAATCAGTTTCTGAGTGAGTTTCAATCCCTATAAGAAGAAAACAAACTTTTTATCTTCATCTCTCATTGTTGTGAACAAGATGAAAACTCAATGAAGCGAATGTTCAAGTAAACCAAACTGAATTCTTTTTGTAAAGTAAGGACGCATGAAAATTGTTTCTTACAATTGTACAAATTACTCACTGTTTTGGTAGCTTATATTAATTAGTACAAGACGATAATTGACTGTTTATAACCTAATTAATTCCTAGTTATCCCTCTGTTAATTGGTCTATTGTTAAGGGGGTTCAGTTTTCTTTTTTTGTTTTCCGGCATTTTTCGAAAAAGAAAACTTCAGAAAATGGCATACCACACAATGAGTGATGATAATCGCACAGATCATTTCCATTTTTTTGTTCTCGTTTGTTTGTTTGTTAGTTTTCGCGATCCTTTGATTTAAATTTGGAATTATCCGGAATATGCACAACTCAGCAAAGAAAAGTAGTGGCTGAGTGCGCGCGTGAGTCGGGTTAATAGGATGCATTGATTATGAAAACCTAATTGCTGTTTGCAAGGTTCTTTGGGCACATTTATGTATTTTTGTTTTTACTTAGCTTATTCCTGATAATCAGAAAACTGCTTTTTAAGCTTGAAAACAATAAAACTTCAAACGGGCGAATAGGACGGCTATGCGTGGTTGCTGCAATCATAGCTACAAATGCTGCAATGAATCCACAGACCAAGAAGTCGAACATGGAATCGGGAGTCGAGTCAGGAGTTGAAATGGGCCTAAAAACCGCACCCATAGGTATTCCAATGATTCACCTATGTATACGATGGGTAATGCTGGCACTAATGACAGCCTTATGTTCCAAACTATTTAAATAAACCTGAAAAAGTTGAAACGTTGGACTGTTGGTCAGTATCGAATCAACCGAGACTAACGTTCTGCAATCGACGATGGCGACCTTTAATACCCAACCCGTTAACACCGAGGAATTGATTGTTCAAATAAAAAATGATAACCACAAAGACAACCAACAATACTTTAGCAGCCCTATATAGATCTTTGTTTACCAAAACAACAAAAAGTTAGAAGTGTTTTTTTTTCGCTATAAAGCTAACCAGTTGTAGATCATTACGCGAGAATTTTGGGTGAATTTCAGTCCATAATATAAGCTGAAGTATAATCTACGAATGTCTAGATTTGCGTCAACGAACGGTTCAACTAATTTTACAGCTTTTTAATGATTCGTGCTTTTCTATAATTCATGAATAGAAGCCAATTTTTTGCCATTGGAGCCAAGATGGAAATACATAGCTCAACGCCTCGTAGCAAAACTACTGAGTAAAGTAAATTCAAGAGAAACGGTCAGTGGCTCGAATGGCCACGACCCACCTTTGTGATTCCTTTCTCAACAATTAATAAAAAAAAACATCATGATTAACAACTAAATTATACTCACCAACAAATATAGAGGAATGAGTACCTTCAAGGTTGGGCGCATACGAAAAACAAATTCACGAAAAATTGATGTAGTCCGTAACCTAACCTGTGAAAAAAGAGGAATGATAGAAAAATAGAGCCCCTTACCAAATATCTACAGACCACTTTTTTGATTGAGAGACTTCTTCTGCAAAAATAGCAGCCAATCAAATTGATTGCTTTATCTCAAAGTTCTCTGTATGCAAATTTTTCAAGGCTTTAATGATGATACGTTATAGTTGTCATGGCTTCCCTCTTCTGTGACTTCTGTGCCCTTACTGGTACAACGAACAAAGAATGGAATTCGCGTTAAAATTAGGTGGAGGATGGAAGGAGAGAAAAAGCGGTCTCTCTCCTTTTCTTTCCCATCGTTCCCCGCGAGCTTTCTTTTTTGCCTCCGCCTCATGCTTTCCACTGGCACACACGGGCCTTCTCAGAGGAGAAGGGCTGGAGCTTTGTACTATACTAAGGGACATGAATGACTGAAGGCTGACTTTGTCTTAACTTTGAAAAAAATATATAACGGCTTTTTTATTTGGAAATTACTGACATTACTCTGAATGAATCCTAGCCAAGTCAGCCTATTTGAGCCAAGGCTTGTCAAGGGTGTCATTGGGGTAAGCCTGAACACCCAACAAAATAAACCTTTATTTGATCAGTTTTCTTTCATGCAAAATTCTGCATCACTCAAAATGTGAGCAGCTTACTGAGGATATGTCAGTCAGTCAGTCAGTCAGTCAGTCAGTCATCTGTATTCAGCCGTATTGTAATCAACAAATGTACTTTACCACAAACTACAACTAATGATTGGATCTGGCCAAGCAAAATCCATAGAAAACCACTGCACCTTGTGGGAGGGAGAGAGAATTTAAAAGCCCTCATCTGTCATAGCTGTTGCTCGACTGCTATCTCCGAGAAAATACCCATGGATTCTCTTTTTTAGACCTTAGCGACAAGCAAGTCATCCTCCGAATAGACCCGTAAACGGTTTTTTCAACTTTTGACATGGACCAGTTAGGGAATCGACACCACCGGAGAGAACGTCTTGAAATTCGTAATTGGCAATGTTACTAATTTTAACACGCTCTTTCTAGTGGTATCGACGGCCTGATTTCCCCTAACTTGTCCATGAAAAGAGTTTAAAAGAACCGTGGAAGGGCCTATTGTACGAAGAACAGTTAAACCCACCTTTTCAATCTATACCATGTTTCATAAATTAATATGAAGAATATTACAAGTAAGTTCGATGGAGATATGAACCTTGTGTTCTCGCGACAAGAACAATATCTCACTTGATGGCTACTTTCAAACTTGAGATCATTTCTTGCCACCCGAACAAAACTTCATATCTTCTGGCCATCGTGTAATATCCTCTATATCAAGTTTTCAGGAGCCTATTTTTTATTCTTTCTTGGATAGTGTGGAATTTCGTTAGAGCAACTAACTTGGCCGCGGTTAGAATTAATTGCTTTCATCTCCGCTTTTGGCTTGTCTTTTTGTTTGAAGTGTTTTAAAAAGTATAATAGATTAAAAGCAAATAAAGCGGGAGAAAGAGACACCGGCGGCGAAAGATCACTTAGTGGCACACAATCATTATTCGTCATTTGAAGCTACCAGGTGTCAATATTTACACAGTCTTCGTTCTTGACATTGAAGATGGATTTTCATGTAAGAGCAAAATATCTAATGGACCCATGACCCTTGGACTGCTGGACCATTTTTGGAGCTATTTGTGTCAACCTTTTTTGGGGGAGGCAGGCGCTGCGGAAAAGTTTACTTTTTCCTAGAGGGTGGTAAGGAAATGCGGGACGATTAAAATGTGACGCGGAAAAATTTTTCCCTCCAGTCTTCATTTTGCGACACTTTCCACCAGCTGTATGCCTGGAACAGGCTAATTCCTTCCGGGACTCTTCAAAACACTTTTGAAGAACTTAGTCCTCGTTTTCTACCTGTAATCTCCTCCAGGATCTGTTGCTTGGGAGAGATAACTGTCCTATCAGTTCGAAAAGACAAATGGAAGTCACTGGAGTTGTCCATCCGTGATTGCAATTTGCGAGAACTTTTTTCTTTTAAATCGTACGATGTTGATTTCAAATCTTTTGCGTATATATAAAAAAATAATCAAAGTGGGAATAATTCTAGGGAACAATTACGTAGATACTTTCAAATTTAGTTAAGCTTTTATTATAGTGCAAGAATGTTTTGCGATGCGTAAGCATATCCCACACAACAACAGTCAGCACTGAAATGGTCCAACTTCGTAGTCCATACGGTCCATGAGTCCAGTCCATATGTCACATATGCCAAGCTGAAATCTTAAGCATGAAAACTAAATATTAAACTACGGTGTACATTAGAAAAACTGCATTAACGTATAATATCAGTGAATCATTCCCACGTTTTTATGCTTCGGGACATGTGGTGATGAAATGGTGACGCGAAATCTATCTGGAAACAATGCTTTTCAACTATTGGCTACGTTTTTATCGTTGGTTTCCTTGCTTTCGGTTCTAGCGTGGGTGATCAAGACAGATCAAAAGCCTACGGAAGGACAGGTAAAGGAAAATAAGCTTTAAACACGCCGACTCATATGTAACTTATAGCACGTTAAAAAACGTGAAGTTTCCAGAATCATTCCAAGTTGGTTATCACCGTTCCAGCTTGTGATCGGTTCCACCAGGTTGTTTTTTTTAACCCAGAATCCCGGGGGGGGGGAGTACTGCCATATATGGGCTATATGGGTATGTGCCGCTGTGAAGGGTATGGTTTTCAAGCAGTTTACTCTAGGATAGGGTATATAAATCAGAGCGTTTGGGTCTAGAATAGGGTATCATTTTTCACGAAACTGATCAGTTGGTTGAAGATTTTATCTAGACTGGGGAAACAGCTACTCTAGGATAGGGGGATTTTGGGAGTTTACTCTAGTATAGGGTAGCAAAATTCAGCTGAACTAGCTCTGGTATAGGTCAAGGGTTCCACGGTCCCAGCAGCACATCCCCACCCAGAAATTCCTAAAGTGCCCCCCCGGGCCCAGAATGAGCCAAAGGAAGCAATTATTCTTTTTATTCTTATGATCAAAATTCCGAACGATATAGACTGATTTGAGGTTCTTAAGCCATTTTTCCTTACCCCAAATTAAAAATTTAAACTTTAGGTATATTTTCGTGGCGTCAAATGGTGTACATACGTCGTGTTTCGTGGTGTAAATGCGGGCACAATTCAGTCACTTAAAACAATTAAAATCCGCGTGAGGCATTTCTTATTAAAGCGTTTTTCTTATAAAGAAAAACCTTTGGCTTAATCTTTTCAATTCAAGTTTCCGAGTGTTTATTTAAGTTTTTTTTTTTTCTTTTGCTCAATAGTCAAAGTCAAGGTGTGTTTTACTTCTCGCTTGGTTACCGGGGGTGTCATTATATTTTTGTTTACTCGCTGGTGCAGAAGGTTTGTTCATATGCCGAGTAATATGACAAAATTTCTTCAATTTTAAATTCAACGTGAGCAGTATTATCCATGGCAAAATACATGCAAAAGTCCCCTTTTCATCCTGAAAATTTTTTGTGAATTTCAGGTTCTAATGAACTTAGTTAATTTAATTCGTTTGTCTCTACATCAACAACAACGACAAAAATAAAACCACTCTTTTCACCTGACGGAGTACGGTCAACTCACGCCTTGCAGACACCCCGCTATAACGGACACCCCGACAATACGGACAGCAGCTAAATCCCCCGCAAAAACAAAGTACAGACGTTTGACTGAGATAAACTCTCGCTACTACGGACTCTCGCTAATGAGGACACTAATTTGAGGTCGCTACATTGTCCGCAATAAAGGGAGTTGACTGTAAATAGGGATCGATGGAAATGGATGGGGTCAAAGCTATGTATGTACCATACATACTAACGTATTCGCCTGAGTAAAAGACTTCCATGTTTTCTCGAAAAACGCCGGGAGTAAAAAGGGAAGGCTCCAAATAAGCTCTTCAGGAATTTGTAATGGCTTAACATTAGACCATAGGCTATAAGGTTTACAGTACTCTAATTTCCCGTATAAGATCGTCATGATCGAGCGCTTTGAATAACGAGCCGCCATCTTGGTTTCAAATATATAAACGCCAGAAACGCTCCACTTTGACAATCAGTTATGGATAAATAGGGGACTGTAAAATGAAAGGTCTAGTTATAAAGACAAGATAAACGGCCGTCAAGGACGGTGTTTATAAAGCCTTGCCTAAGTAAACACCGTAACTAAATAAGCGGTGGTCTCAACAAAGCCCGAAACCACAAAGCTAATTTAAGTTGGAAAAAGACGCCTGGGATGTTGAGTTGAGAAAATACAGTTTGAATCTTTAAAGTTTCCTTGTCTCGACTGTGACTACCGTAAACTACCGCTCATAAACCCTCCCACTCTGTTTTCACATTTTTGTCTCTTTCATATCTATAAAATGCAACTGTTAGCCCTTTTTGGTCTTTTATAGACCGAAATGATGGATTTTCATACTCTTTCATATACCTGAATCAGAAAAAGGGGCCCTTTCGGGTGTCAATCTGTTTTACCAGTCACATTGGTAAATTGTTTCCCTCCCCCAACCGACGGAGCACCTTTGAAATAAGGTAAATCTTTTGAAACTAAACCCCTCATTTATTATTGTTTCAACAGCTTCAAAATGAATCGGAAGTATCGATGAGAGGCAAGCACAGGAAAGCAACGAAAAATATTAAGGAATATTGCGCAAAGTATGGAACAGATCACCAAAGCGTGGACGCCGATCCGGACTTGGATAACTTATTCGTTGTGGAGAAGTACAAAATTGTCTATTGCTCTGTCCCAAAGGTAGCATGTACAGTCTGGAAGGGAATAATGGCAAAACTACAAGGTCTTAACATTTCAAAAGGGATTCACAAGAACACTAAAGGAAAACTTAAAATTCTTAGCAATTATTCCGTGGGGGAACGCGAGAGAATTCTAAAGACATATAGGAAATTCTTGTTTGTGAGGGAACCGTTTGAACGCCTAGTTTCTGCCTATAGAGATTGCTTCTGGGGGAAATTCAAGGCGAAACAAGATTACTGGAAAAATTACCAGGAAAAAATAAAAGAGGTTCTGATGAGTCGAACTAGCCTTCCTAACGAAACATACTCTGAAAAAGTAACGTTTGAACAATTTGCAACCTATTTGGTTCTTCGACGGAGGGAAGGTGGTTTGTTTCAAGAACACTGGCGAGAACAGTATAAATTATGTCATCCTTGTCGCATACAATTCGATTACATCGGACATTATGAAACACTGGCTGAGGACGCCATGTTTATTCTAAGAAAAGCAAACTTGGAAAACAAGGTAAACTTTCCGGAATGGCAACCAACAGACACTAGCGAGTTGATGCATAAGTACTATTCTACTCTTTCTCTGCTCAGGATAAGGCAACTACAGAGCATTTATAACAAAGATTTCGAGTTGTTTGGTTATAGCTATCCAGGACCGCTTAAAGCGGTAGTTGACAATTTGATCAATGATAAGTTGTAACTGAATCTGTTGCGAGTCCCAGGCGTTGGGTGTCCTGTGGTTCGTTGGGTGTCCTGCCTTAAATTGGGCGTTTCACACATCTCCCGAAGAAACTGGTATGGTATTTCACCACATCTTTCTCGGGAAAACGGGGACTAAACAGGGTGAAATTTAGCCGATCCCCCCCTTGAACGTTACTTCACCAGTGATCGGCTCCTGACTTCACTTAGGTGATCCCTCCTAATAACGTTTGATTACTTTCGCTATCCCCCCCCTCAAGCAAATTTGAGTGGTCAACCTCTTATTTTCACTTCTTATTACCGGGCATAATTATTAAATCTCCCTGCTGCACGCGCCTGATAAAACCTCTGTTATCCAGGGCAAACTAAGTCAGTATAAACTCCGGACTAAGATTTTTTCAACAGCAGCTGTATTACGTTGCTATACTGGGTACTAGCGATTTTTTCTCGCGTGCGACGAGGATCTTCGCACGTCTCCGAAGGCCGAAGACACGAGAGGGGCACTTTTTAAGACTTAACTAAAATCGGAAACCGCGCATGAAAAGCCTCTGGCACGGGTATAACGTGGCTAACTTTGTTATAAAATTTCGCGTTCATAATACTCGACTTTCAAATTCTGTACTCGAGGGAGACCGTTTAATGTTCAGTTTCCTTGAATATTATTTCAACATCAAGATGGAAATTTGCATCTCCTTTAGTCATAACAGGTGGCAAAGTATATGGGTTATGGACTCTTACTATGCACGGAAAAGCCTCAAGCGATATTAGCTCTCGCCAGGTTTTGAACTATGCCGCGTTTTTTATGTTTTCTGTCCACTTTAAGTGGAAATGCCGAAATTAATCTCTATTCGTTTAAGACATTGAGCAGAGCCTCAGAAGCTGCAAAAGAACTGTGGCATGAAATTTTACGACTAAACCCATATGAGAGTCGCTGCTTTTAAGCGCGACTATCATACGGGTATCGCGACTCTCATACGGGCCTCATATGCGTCTCAACAATACAAACAATACAAACAAGATAATCTTAGGTAGTGTCCGGGGGTACTTCCGGCCTATACGGGGAGGGTCCGCCCGAAAGGGGTACGAATGACGAATGACTGTTCCTTGCAATAAATGATGCGCTTCAATTTTATCATTGGTTTAAATTCTACTTTCATCGATTTTAGGTATGGTTAGTATGCATGAGCAAGTTTAAAACAAACCAACGATAAAACTGAACCACGGCATAAATTTTAGTTTTATTTTGTGACAGAAATTGCTTCAAAACAGTCATTTAAATCTAAATACCTAATGTAGCTTGAAACAACTCAAATAAACATTTTCCTATAATTCCATGCCTTACTAGAATATGCTTCTTCAGATCGACGCAGCTTTTACTTCTCGGTGGTTGCATGGAAAATCTGCTTAAAAAATCACCCTTAAAAATAGGTTTCACACCAGCTTTTTCGGCCAGCATACCGATGTAAACATCGTCGACTTTGAACTTTGGGACAACGTCAAACAAATCAACAAACTTATTAATAACATCAGAAGATAAGACAATTCCAAACCCAGAACAGTATTCTGGATAGAATGTTGCATTATAATCTTCAAACGAAATTTTCCATTTTCCCTTCCTCTGCACTTTGGCTTTCTTAAAACACTTTCCGATATAAAGCTTTCCTTGAGGAGTTGCAGGCTTGGCAAGTAGTGAGATTAAACCTTTAACATCAACAAATGTGTCATCGTCCATTTTTAATAGAAAGGAAAAATTACAATACATGAAAGCCCACTCGAATGCCATTTGTATCTTAAGGGTCTGATTCCAGTAATGATCGTAGTATTGCGCTCGTACAAGGTCCCCGAAAACGTTTTCCTCTTTCAGTAATAAGTCTGATACGCTTTCGTTCCGCGTCTGGGCCACAAGGAAGACAGTCTTCCAGCGAGGATTCAAAGCAAAGTCTACACCCCATGTTTGGCGGATGTCTTTCCTTCGCTGTAAATTACAAGGCGCTGAAGAAACCAAAATAAGAAGAATGTAGTGTTGCGAACAAGTTTTCGTTGTGATTAATGTCGTCTTGTGTTTCAGTACTGGGTTCTCGGATTTATTCACAGACTGTCTCGGCGCCCTAGCTTCTTCGTTGTTTGAGTCGTTTCCAAGTAATTGGATTTTCATCCTTTTCGAGTCCAGTACATCGCATTCAGTGATTGAATTGGAGGGCGGAAACAAGAAGAAAAACATGAAGGAAATCCAGCTTAACATTAAAGCAGCGAGATAGAAACATTTAAATCCTCTCCTTGAAAACGTCTTGACCCTGAATTTCATGATAACTAGCTGCGAGTGGGTTTGATAGAACAGATTGTAAGCCTCTAGTCCGTATAGCAAATCTCTCTTTTTAATTTTTAAAGAGAAAAACCCTCTAATAAGCTTCTCAATTGCATATCACGTGATGTTTTACACGGGGCCTCTGGGTGGCTAAGGGATAAAAAGCGGAAAAAAAGTGTTGATTGTTCATTTTGCCTCGACTACTTAGGCATGTTAAGGCATCATGTCTCACCTCATAATTTGCATAATTTGGCGAAGTGGCATTGGAGACGGATTGTTTTGATCAGTCGTCATGAAACTAGGCAAATATTTTCGCATTACACGATTTTATATTTTGTTTGAACAAACTATAAATATTATCGAGAGCTTCGCTTTTAGCCCTGGCTAAATCTATATATTAGCCTTTCAACCCATGCCTTAACTTAGCTGAGTGGAGTATATAATGACCACAAAATCATACAGCTGCTCCTGCAAGCGTGCCGTCGAGAGAAGGGAGGGAGGGAGGAGTGAGGAAACAAAGCCTGTAAAAAAAGAGAAAGAGCTTCAATACGTGAATTCAAGAAAACAAAAGGCCTAATCCGGACAAAAAGGTTTATGAGACGTACAGAATGAAAAAAGATACGAGAATAAGACAATATTTAAATAAAATTTAAGTTTCAAACTCTTTTTCCTTCAAGAACCGTAAATACCTGTTATAAGCGCCCCGGGATGTCTTTAATGTATCGAATCCTCGAACTGAATTAGCATAAGGCATAATATAACCCGGATATCTCAAGTATCACCCCAAATCAGTTCAGCCTCCATCCACGCGCCTCATACAGTAAAAACAGTCAACGTAAACGCATCTTTTCACAAACGGAATAACGCAACCTCGTCCCCGGGGCTTTTCCCTTAAAAAAAATGGGTGGGGCCACCTATTTTTTAAGGGAAAAGCCCTGGGAACGAGGTTGGGAATAACGAAACGATATTCGTCGCCCTAACAATAGTTAATACTGTTGAAAAGAACTTCAAGAAAGTGGAATCTCGATGTGACAATGGTCCAAGGGACTGACAAAATATGCTCGCTATAACGACGTTTCATTATATCGATTTTTTTCCCATATGGTTGTTATTATTAAAACCGAATCACTGGATAATGCGATTCTAGAGCTCTGATTGGCTTAGCCATCATGGTATATTTAACAATTAATGAATGAGGCTGAGTATCTTATGAAGAATTATGGAGATCGAGGAGGGTGTTATCCATCGAGGCCGTAGGCCGAGGCGGATAACACCCTACGAGATCTCCATAATCCTTCATATGATACGAAAGCCGAATTCAATAATTGTTTTATTATTCATTCAAAATAATTCCTAGTTTAAAAACATTGCTAAAACAAGCTTACCTGCATCGATGTTAAGTTTATCTTCGATAGTTTACGTTTAGATTTGTCCAGCTCCGCAAATATTCTCCAAATAGCAGATGTCGCTCTTCGAGTTGTCTTCTTGCTGTTTTTGCTATGTTTTTAGCCATTATTTCTCCTAGTTCCAGCTGTAGTTCTTACTCTTAAAACGAGTGAAGTGTCCGCCATTTTAGTTTTTACAACGAAAACAACTCAATCTCGTCCCCAGGTCTTCTCGGTTAACGGTGCATTAACCTGTAGAGGGGTGCATTTTTGACGTCATTTCCTCGTTAAACACAAAATTCTTCCAAATTTGGTCATCAGTAACTGGTTCAGAATCGGGGAAGTATTTTGAATGAATAATAATGGCTCTTATTATTCACTCAAAATATTTCCCCAATTCTGATTGGCTAAAAGCACACGCATAATTCACCATAACCAGTTACTGATGACCAAATTTGGAAGAATTTTGTGTTTAACGAGGAAATGACGTCAAAAATGCAGCGTTTTTGCAGGTTAATGCACCGTTAACCGAGAAGACCTGGGGACGAGGTTGAGTTGTTTTGGTTGAGAAAACAAAATATGGCGGGTATTTCCTTCGATTGTCAACTTCAAAGAGAGGCTATTTGAAAATCGGTCATGAGGCATTCCCACCGCCATAACGCGCGTTATGTTTGTCAGCGCTGTAATGTCAATCTCTTAAAGCAAACAGGGCCCAGTTGTTCGAAGGTCGATTAGCGCTAACTCGGGGTTAAAATTTAACATGGATTTTTTTTTCTTTTGTTCAAAAGCATTTTCTCAGTTAATTTTCTGTTCTCAGCATCCAATCATCCAACCGTAGACAAAAAGAATTAAACCGAATTTACTTTTTAAGTGTTAATATTTGAACTCAAATTTCGCACTAAACCTGGGTTACCTCAACCCAAACCCATTTTGAACAACTCGGACCAGTTTCTCGCGTTCTGGGAATCGAGCAGGAGAGAACCCTGAGAACGAGGTTGTGTCTATTTATGTCTGTGGCAGGCGGTAGTGACGTTAACAGGACAATTGCACTATGACGTCATTTTACTACAACTACCAGAATCCTTGAGTTTGTTGTTTTCTTGTGCAAATTAAGGCTATTGTTCTTTAATCCACAGCGGGATTGACAAATTTAAATAACAAAGCAAAACCGAAATGAATTCTGGTAGTTGTAGTCAAATATCGTCATCGTGCGATTGTGCTGTTAAGGGTGGGGAGGATTCTGAAAAAGAGACAGTCTCCAGGCCTCTTGAGGGTAGCACGTTGATCAACAAAAATATGATGTTCTAAACTATTCCAACGATGTACCGAAAGTGTGAAGACATTTTTAAAGGCTCAGCAATAGTTTTGCTTTCAATCAGCTTGCTGTACGTGATTTTCTCTACCACAAGCGAGACGCATAGTGGGATTACATCAAGGACGCAGCCAAACAATGTTGTTGCCGGCAAAGTTGTGGATGCTTTAAACGTGCATTCTACATTTTCCACCGGTGGGTGAATTAGATTAGGTTACCGAGATTATGATAAGTGTTTCTTAACTTGCAGTTGCATCATGCTTATCGCAGAAGGTATATCCACATAACAGAATGATTAGCAGGATGAAAAGTTCCTTCAGCCCCCTATGTTTTCCTGCAAGCTTCTTTCACTTTTCTTTCTACATTCACCACTTTAATATCCATTTCGTTTCGCGGCGCTCAGCCAAACAGAGGAAACCACAGCAAATTAACGACAGAACCAAAACTGAGGCGCTCATACAAACTTATTTCATATACTGTAAATTCTTAGTTTGTTGATCCCGGGCTAGCAAGTCAGAACAATCAAAGTTATCACGTTCTGTGCTGTGTATATTTGTTGCTGCCTGGTTACTTCAACCTAATTTACAACAACTTAAGACGTTGCCTTGAATGTGTAACTTCAGTTTAATTTGCATATACTAAAAGTGAAAAACACCCTGGATTCCATTTGATCGTTGTGACAGCAGTTACTGAGATGGACGACAGTTTTTAGCTTTCGAGGCTGGCTTCAATGTAATCTCCACCTTCATGCTCGATCGATGGACTGTTTTTTAGCTATCGTGTATAGGTCGTTATCTTATGGAACTAAAACAGGCTTTATGCGCGCTGGACCAGAAAACGCGAATAATATGCGAGATGAATAAGAATTCTTTCTTTGTCTTTTTATGGTTGATTCTTTACATCTCCCTTTATTTCCTTTATAATATTAATATCAGTGGCATAGGTTGGTTGGTTGGAGGCTCCTTCATGAGTGAGACATTTCTTACTATTAATGTGACTGTGTGATACAGTTAAGCCTTAATGTGTTGCTTGTGATGGACTGTGTGACTGCGAGATGCGATTCGCAAGTCCAACCCACAAAAATGACCCTTGCTCGTCAACGAGTCCTCAGTAGCTCAGAGGTCAGAGCAGCCGACCTAGAACTCGGAGGGTCGTGGGTTCGAATCCCATCCAGGGTCAGATTTTTTCTGTGTCCTCTTATGGTTGATTCTTTACATCTCCCTTTATTTCCTTTATAATATTAAAATCAGTGGCATGGAACAAGAATCCATGGCACAAAACAGTATTGTTGATCACATCAAATGTTTAGTGCCTTGGCTCTTTAAACTCAAGATTTGAAAGCCCCTTTAGTGGCAGAGCAAGTGTTCGAATGAGTCGTGCGCGCGTTTTGACACACATAAGTCCTTTTTTCACTTCTCACATGAGACATCATGCAGTCAAACCCAAAGTGATCACTACATACAACAGCAAAAGCTCTTTGGTCTTAGACCCCCCGCGAAGAGAACTACATGGTGCTTTTGCTAGTAGAAGCGATGTTTTTTTGGTCTTAACAAGCACTAAAAAGGTCTCAGCAGAAACATTTTGTTGTCCTTAATTTTTTTGAGGGTTAAAAACCTCGCTCATGAGTACGAATACGCCAGTTAATTAGTAAAAATGAACCTCTTAAACGGATCAATGACGTTCTATTGTAACAGCCAAGATAGCATGTCGTATTCAAAGTAGCTGTGTCATGGCTAGCTAGTTACTACGCGCCTTATTTGCCATGGAATTTGAGAAATTACTTGTGAATGAAAAAATCTCAGGTTCGTGCCTCCCAGTCCCAAGGCATTATTTAAAAATTAACTTTGAAAAACTGTCAGATTAACAAGCTTTCAAAAACCACATTTGAAACCGTTTTGAACATCGTTCTTCAAGTTTGTCCATCCGTGTCTCCTTTTGTATCTGAGTTGTTTACAACTTCTTCCAACTTGCCGTTGCGGAAAAAATTATTCATGAAACAAGGGGCTGTAAATAAACGCATACAAAACATGCTTGTCCTGTACTGAATTTATGAGATCCATCTACAAGACTTTTCAGAAGGTTTGCGACTTAATGTGAACGCAGCGGCAGCGATTCTTGACTGTTAATTAAGCATTTCCCTTTTAATGTTGTTTGTATATGTTTGCATAATCTTGGCTAATTTAAAAGGAAGGCAAAATTGATGCCAATCGGTTCATTAGATCTATTACCACTAAAAACTTTTCGATGCTTTACTTTGCTCTTTTTATCCAACTTTTGGTACTTTTAAGGGTTTTCTGATCTAGCTTTTCTTCGTCATATTACTTGTATCACTGGGTTTCAAGGTCACGCTGCTAAAAGTACGTTAGATTTGAATCGCGGTTTTTCGTTATGATTTGTTTTCTTTGGTAGGTTTTCTATCGACACTACTTTTTCCCATACGGACATCCCCCCTTTTCTTTCGTTTAGTGTCGAATGCGTTTCCTGATATTGAGTCGGTCGGTCGGATTGAAAAAAAAAAACCTAAAAAAAGAAATTAATAAGAAGTCTCAGAATAGGAAGCCCTGGTACCACAGGATGACGTTAAAAGTTAACATTCACATATTTGGATTAACAAAATACACAATATACTGTAAAAAAAGTTCCTGTTTTTGTTCCTGTTTTTCCCTATGCTGTTACTATGCTCATTTTTCAGTTTTAAAAAAATTATTTCAAGTAAAAAATGGTTTAACTACATCTTACTTTTTCGGGCTGGAAGCTGAATAATTGGATCACGATTATTTATTGCTTTTTTCTCTAAATTATTCATTATTCATTTCAAATTTTTCCGAGATATTCATTATTCATTTTTTTAGTTTTTGTATCAGTTTTCCGTTCCCAAATTTTGTACAACGCAATTCTATACATTGTTTATAAAAAGTTTACATTTCAGTATACATTCAAACTTATCTTTAGCAAGTATCGTTCTATTTTTTCTATAAATGTGGTCAAAATAATGTTATCCTTTTCGATCAATAGAATGTCTATGCAATTACTAGAACGTGAAGGACCAAACAACCAGAACAACAGCAGCTTAATAACCATAAGTACTAAAACATAATAACTAACAAACAAAGTATAGGTGGTTTTCATGCAGTCTCGGGAGACACAAATAACAATGGTGAAATGAACAAATGCTGGTGGACAAACAAAACGAGCTAATGAGCGATCTTTTGTTTACCGTCCACCAGCATGGCAGCGATGACGTAACGTGAAAACCACCTATAGCTGAAGCGAACACTTTTCATAATCGTAATCGTTCGTAATCGACTTGGATCACAAGTCGGGCAAGATAGGCTGCTTGCTTGCAAGGGGTTTTTGCACCACCTACCAGGTTACTCACTCGGTCGGATTTTAGGACCCTATCTATTGGCAAGGTTTCATTGCAATTTTTACGCTGAGTCATTAATTAATTTCCAAATTGTCCAAACATTGTGAAAAATTACAATGGAAGATTCTTATATTGCAATTTTTTAGACAGTTGCATCTATAACTATATATTAGTTTAGTTTCATCCTGAGCCTCTGTCAAACGATATCAACATTCTTGAATTCCCCGCACCCAAAAAACTGACAACCAGAAATGCGGTGCGGGATAAGCAGACAATTCTTAGCCCATTTATTGAACTAACCAACTAATCACAAAACAAAAACAACTGTTTACACTGTTTAGACACCAAAAAATTAAACAAACTCTATACGTTCGATCCGGCCAAAGTAAATTGAATAAACAAAACCACTTATAATGACTGTCAATCATCAGGAAAGCACAACTAAAATCGTTACGAGGAAATGGATTACAGGATTTCAACCAAAATATAAAAAAGAACAAAATTTAACTGTCCGCTTGTAAAAATCCACAATGAAACTTGTTTACAGTTCAGCGAATATATACTTGCTAGTTTACATATCACACTTTCTTCCCATAATCTCACGCCGGCACTTAAAACACACTGCCGACAAATGCACTTGTGCTTGGGAATTCAAGAAACCATTTATCTTTTGTTTCATTACGCTTCGCTACATTCAGGCAAAGATAAATGAACAATTCTTGAATTCCCGCACCCAAAAAACTGACAACCAGAAATGCGGTGCGGGATAAGCAGACAATTCACAATCAGTGGCAAAAGCATATAAGGATACAATATAAGGCAATGTTCATTAAGCAAACATATTTACAGTATAATAGATAGCTAATCGCTTGGATACCATAAGGGTACTGTCCAAAAATTGTTAAGCATATCCACCTGCGGCAAGGATTCTGTGTCATCAAGCAACGTTAAGCCATCAGAATTAATTGGGCAAATGTAAATCTCTCCATACTGCAACAAACAACACAACTCGCGCAATGTTTATCAAGTAAATCACATACTGAAAATTAAAGAGCCAAATTTCTAGATACCACAAGGGTATTTTCCAAAGATTCATCGACATAACCATCTGCGGCTTGGATACTGCGCCAACCACCATGTCCACGCCATACTCTCCCAGAAACTCCGCTGCGTGCTGCTTGGGAAGCACCACCTGAACGAAGGCTATGTAAACCAAATTCGTTCGAGTCTAAACCAAGTTCGGAAATCATTTGACGAAACTGTTCCCGTGCCCGAGAATATGACAGAGCAGCTTGTCGCAGCTTGTACCCGGCACCCAATTTCTGGCAGAGACAAAATAATGACTGAGATGGTTGATGCTCTCCGCGCTCAAGGAATAACTCTAACAGTTTCACTGGACAAGAGCTGGAAGGTAAACGAGCAACTTTAACCACAGATCCCTGACGGAATTGATCGTTCTTACGCCTGTCTAGGAAAATAGACATGTGGGTGGCGCAAAACCTTAAGTCACAGGCACGTAAGTCACGCAGCTCTGACCAACGTAGGAAAGCACAAAAACCAAGCGCAACCAGCGACACCATTTGTAGGTTCGGTAGAGAAGCACGAGGGTGACCATAGGAACGAATCAGCGCCCTGACGTGATGAGATTCAATAGGCTGCTTTCTCCTAGATGGACCAGCCAGGAGGCGTTTAAAGCCAGACAAGGTCTGAGAAACGAGCGGATCGTCGACAGGATTAGGACATCCAAGTTTCTTATGTAGCCATGCAATGCCATAAGCTGCTCCAAGGATTGACGAGCGAGATAAGCCTCGGTCTGAAAGACTTGTTAAGTAGAGAGCAACTGCGGTTGGGTTAGACTGTAAAGGAGGAAACGAGTAACACTTGCACCAGTCAATCCATCGATTGGCTGCCCCTGCATACGAAGACACGGTTGAAGCGGCACAGTCATTAAGTATGACAGTCTTTAACAGTTCTACAAGCCTCTGAATCTCCGCGTTGCTCCGTTGGTAAGGCGACAAGCCTAAAGTGAAAATCAACAATGTCCAAAACATGGCACTTTAAAGACAGGAACAACATCCAATTGCTACAGAACACTAAACGCGCAAGATACACATCGTCTGCAACGAGAACTGCCCACATGGCAAGTTAACACAGCACCAGTACACACTCCAGCACAAGGAGGCTTGGCCCACTCGGCGTCAACTGGTAAGCAAATCCACACAAAGGATAGAGGAGTCCACTTGACTCTAAAAACGAACACACTACTGTGTCGGCAGTGCCCTCTCGGCTTGCTTCAGCTGCACAACTCGTGCGTACTAGTACAGTTCCAAGTCCACTGACTTGCAAAGAGCAAAGGCCCACACCTAGGCCAAAAAGGCTCAGATAGAACAAAAACAAATAATTAGGATGAACAACTCGTTCAAGGTACTCATCTAATACCCGAAAAACGTTCTACAGCAAAACTAAGGAAACACAATTCTCAAAGCAAATACCCTACACGAGGGAATACCATGCCCGAAAAGACCCGCGGCTGCGGAACCAGGGAGAAAAGTAGATTCATGTAAAGGAATCTCCCGCCAGTCAAGAACAAAAGGGTGGAAAACCCCGGGGCTTCGAGACACCAACGGCCACCAATGAGCAGATTGCCAAAAGGGGATAATGAGAGTGCCCTGCTCTCTACCCAGTTTCATGTGATTGATAACCCTGGGAATAAGGAACACTGGGGGGACCAACCAATTGTTTTCCCCTCCCCAGCTGACGGTAAAAGCATCAACAGTTTCGGTCCCAGGACACCACCATCGAGAACAAAACCTGGGCAACTGGAAAGAATTATGACTCGCAAAACGATCTACAGTGTGGGGTCCCCACAGAATATCCAACTGGCGAAAATAGACAGGGTTGAGCATCCAATCATCGGTGTCGACAACTTTCGACCAATAATCAGCTTTGAAATTAAAGTGGCGAGGTATCCACTCCGCAGAAAAGCGAATACCGGCTTCATGGGACAAATTGTAAATGGCAACCGCTTCTTTTTTTGCAAATGAGGCTTACTACTGCCGACGGACAAAAAAATACTGCAGACGCTCTGATTGTCAGATCTATGCTTGCACTCCTTACCCGCCAAAAGACCGGAAAACGACTGAAGAACAAATCTAATTGCACGAATCTCGCGGAAAGAAGAGCTGCATAGGGCCTCGGAACCCAACCAGTTCCCTCTAGCGATGTGCGTACCAAATTGAACAATAAATCCCGCCCAACCCACATTGCTGGCATCCGAATAAGACAAAAGCTCTATCTTCGGGGAGGGCCTCCAGATTGGTTTGCCGCACAAACGAAAGAAATTATCTCCAAAAATTAAGTTCCTCTACAGCTTCACGCGTTAAAGCCACCTTGCAGCTAAGGCTATGAACGCTATTAAGGACTGCGTACAAGGCTCGGGTGCGCAAACGCACAATTGGACCTAAAGCGAGCTCCATGGAAATAAGGGTACCCGTAATACGAGACACATCCCTAGCCGTGGGTGAAACATCGTCAAGAAGCAGTGAAATCAGATTAAACAGGTGATCAATCTTGCCTGGTGGGATACTAAATTCTCCTTTTGTAAGGTCCAAAATAAAGCCTAAGTGCTCCCCTTTTTGGCGCGGTTCAAAATTGCTCTTCTCCTCATTCACTAGCAGGCCAAGGCGATCAAGATCGCCTCGCACTAGTTGCGCTTCCTGAGAACACGAATCTTTACTTGAATCGGTGCCGATACCGTCGTCCAAATAGACAGAAATCCTAATGCCTTGTGACCGCCAGTGTGAAACAACTGGTCTTAACAATTTGGTGAAAACGTAAGGAGACGTACTTAAACCAAAAGGAAGCGAACAAAACAAAAAATAGCGTGGCTTACCATCGAAAGTAAACGAAAAAGCCAAATACTTCCAATGCTCTTGAAAAATGTCAACATGATGGTAGCCATTACGAAGATCGAAAGTAAAAAACCAATCACCTGGCTGAAGAATTTCCGCCACGACTCGAAGGTCTTCGAACTTAAACTTACGCTTGGCTAGGTGCTTGTTAAGAAAGCGAAGGTCGAGAATCAATCGAAGTTTGCCATTCTTTTTAGGAACTACACCTAAGGGACTGCAAACATGAACTTGGTCACGCTTGACTTCCACCGCGCTACCCGCCAACAACAATTGCTCGATAGCTTCACAAACAAAAGCTCTATTATCAACAGCGCTTTTATGATTACTAAAGAAATACCTCAATGGAATTGAAACAAATGGTAACTTATAACCGCTTTCAATAACACTAAGAACAAAAGAAGAGGCCCCAATAGAACGCCAAACATGCAAAAACTTGCGCAAGCGGCCTCGAATCCAAAATACTGAGGAAACGCCCGTGTCAAGTTCAGCCTCGCCGCGATCCGAAAATTCGTCAAAATCAGAGTCAGCTAGTCATTTAGCGGAAGAGGAAACTTTACAATCCTTGATAAAATGGCCTGCTTTGCCACAACCAAAGCAGCGGTAAACAGAAGCTTTTTTCTCCGGTACAGGATTAACCAAAAGCTGACCGACATCTGGGCGGAAATCCACGATTCTATGTGATGGGCCAAAATTAGGACTGGGGCCGCTTTTGGAAGATGTAGACTGAGACTTAAAACGAGTTCCCATTTTGCTTCTCAGACTATTTTTTCGATTTCGTTTCTCCCGAGACCTCTCTGCTTCCTTGCGCGCGACACGAAGTTTCTTTTCTTCTTCGTCATTTTTAGTGAGTGGGTCCGCCTCAAAATATTCTACCACGTCCCAGCCATCCCGGTCAGCAATAGAAATAAGCTTATTTCTGTTATCAAGGAGTGACATACCTTCGTTGGCAATCTTAGTGATGGCGTCATCCGCCCCAGCCCTCTCTAAAATCTGGTTGAACTTATCCTTGACGTCAGTGTTGAACTTGAACTGTTTCTTGTTACTCTTATATTTGAACTCTTATTATTGAGTGTGTCTGGGGGCATGCTCCTCCAGAAAAGTTTTTTAATTTAGGGTCTCGGAAATGGCATTTCCAGCGTTTTCCGCAGGAAATTTTCTGTAAAAATATGTTCAGTTGTTTATTTCACCCATCTCCAGTGTTGTTGGTAATAAGGTAGAGTGTTTAAGGAAAAAAAGACCAGTGACGCCATCAGAATCTGATGATTATGGAATAATACTGAAGAGAAAAGAAATACTAACACAAGAACACCAATATATGGCGAAAAATATATCAGTCCTCCCTCGTTTCTCGCGGGCTTCGCCGCTCGCCGCTCTCGCGTGCTCGCATTCTACCGTGTCCAAAAGAAAAATAAGAGACTACTAGCAGTCAAAACCTTAATGACGCCTTTTCGGTGATCTCGATCTGGACAGAACCATATAGTAAAGACGAGACGGTAAGAAGTTGATTGTCTGAATATCATCGAGTATAAAATCTTTTAAATGATTACTAATAAGCTGATTAAAAGAACGGTACGTTTGTACTGACCTGCTCTGATTGTGCATTAAACGTCAATTTTCAGGTGCCAAGGAAAGCGAGCTGGACACATTGTCAAGAATGACAAATAGACCTACCCTCGATGACGATTTCTCTTCATTCTCTGACTTCTTTTTTTCCATCGTTCAAAATCGAATGAAGAAGCGGATTTTAGAAAAGCGATCCAATCACACGAAAATACGGTGGGCGTAAACTGTAGATACACGACACATCGAACTAAAAGGGGAACCAAAAGTCAAACATCTCAAGTGATTGACATGCAACTTTGCAGGCTGTCAATTACGTGGTATCGGATTGGCTGTGGGAAAAGAACGCTGATTTTCAGGAGTTTTATAATTTTATTTCGGGGTTTGCCGCTTTGGATTTCACTGATTTCGCGCGGATTCCAATGTTTACGATTGGCAGAAAAGTTGAAATTGTTTCTTTCGTCATCAGTTTTTATGGTATCATTTAGCAGCTATGAGTTATTCATTATTCCGAGGCTAGATGGTGTTATTCATAATTCCCGATTTTCTAACTCCAAATATTCATTATTCATTTTCTTTTAAACCCCGTCACTCATTATTCATTATTCAGCTTCCACCCCCGATACTTTTTTTTTTAAAGATGCCCAAAATTTGGGTCGGTCTGACGACGCTAAACGGAGAATAAAAAGAGGATGGCCTAATATTTGAAATGGCTAAGTACAGTAAAAGCCCGCGAATAAGTATCTGGATTTTCCCAAGTTACAGAAATGGCGATTAGAACAAATTTAGGCCATTTAGGTTCTTAAAAGAGGAACCTATTTAAAAACAGGTTCCTACTTTCTGAAGAAAAAAAAACATTGTAGCCAATAGTATTTAGGGGTATTCAGCTCATTCCTTACGCAAAACCTGCATATTATTAATTGCAGTTGAAGTGGTAAGGCACCTATGTCAAAGAGGAACGTGAATGTTGACTTATCATATTTGTCCAACGTACAGAATTTTTTTTATAGAGTTTAGAAAATAAGAACGAGTTTCAAATTCTAAGCTACACAGATTCTTCCATAGAAGGGGCCTAACGGGCAAATTTTAGCAAATTTCGTACTTAAAACCGGGCTGGCGGGTTTTTACTGTACAGCTATAATTTCGTTATCAAAGAACGGAAACGTGAACAAGGAACAAAGGGGAAAACAGTTCAGAAAACATTTGGGCTGACACAACGACTGCATCGTGCAGTCACAAATATATACTCTGAGGGAAATAAATACTGATAAAAGAAATGATAATCGATTTTTTATTTGGAATCACTCGGAGCAAACCTCACTCTAGTTAGCCAACGAACGCCGACGCCTAGGGTTCTGTTTCGTAAACGGTCGTTGCCATTTGAAACGGTCGGTGCCACCATTTGTAACCTAAGCCTTTAGTCATGATAGATTACAATAAGGCAGAAACAATCGACAACTCATATCACGAACCTTCAAGGGAAAATCTACAAAAGTTCGAGTCTTTCGGGAGTTCGAAGCAAGTAACGGAAAATTTAGGAAATAAGGGATTAGGCAACAAAGCCTCATTAATTGACAGGGCTGGACATTGCAATTGAACTAGACTGTAAAGACTAAAGTAAAGTAACAAAGAATACACAGTTGCACTGCAGTACACACTTTTCTTCTCTTCGATCGACTTGTCACGCGCTTTAAAAACATGGTTCGAGTTATCGAGGTTAAAATTATATAGAAATCATCTGAAGGGAAACAAAAATTACTTCGAGTTAGCGGGAGATTCGAGTTATCGAGGGTTCGAGTTACTGAGGGTAAAATTACGGTAAATATATGAGCCGTATCCAGGGAAATCGATTTTGGTTCGAGTTAGCAAGGATTCGAGTTACCGGGAGTCGACTGTAATACGTTTTTGAATTAACAGTCTTAGAAAGAACGACCTTGAAGCCTAAGTTGAATTTACGTTAAATGTTATGGAAAGGGCTAGGGTCACCTTGCGGTTTTTGATGTACCAGTTAAGATAGACATTTTGCTAGTTTATGTACTTTTAATATTTTTCGAAAGTTGGGCTGGTCGGTATGGTAATGTAGTGGTAAGAGGGAGAGAGGTCCGCGTTCGAGGTCCAGGTTCGATCCTGGGTTGCGATTTTCTTTCTTTTTGATAGAAACACTCTCAACAACAGGTGAAAAATTTTCCAGGTGTCTTAAAAATGGCAGCGATCGTTAGCGAAAGGGACAACTCAACGCCTACTTGATTTGAGGGTGTCATTGGGGCACTGAACCCAAGTTAAGGAGCAATAAAATAAATCTGTAATAGGCCTTTTCCGAGTTCCCCCGGGCCTCTGTATCAAAACGAGACGTCAATCGCATTGATATCGGCAAATATCATCCAAATATGGTCACACGTAAGCAGTTCCCATGATTAACACAAGAAAGGTCTGAGATAGTGTAAGGAATTTTTCGAAATTTTGGAACAGGTTGGAGAAAATCACAATTTTCTCTGCGTATCAGTGTATCCTTCCCAAGCTTTTTTAGTATGTTCTCGGGAAATGTTTTGATAAAATGGTTACACAAAATCTATCTGGAAGGAAAACATGCTATTGAGTATTCAACTGCTGGCTATGTTTCTAACGTTCGTTTCTTTGCTTTCTGTACTAGAGTGGATGATCAAGACAGATCGAAAGCATATCGGCGTACAGGTAAAAAGAATTAAGCTGAAAATACACCTTAGTAGAAATATAAAGCACGTTAAGGGACGCTAAAAGTGATGTTACAGGGGACAATTCACAACGACGATTTTAAGCGAATCATGTTGTGCGCTAAAAATCGTCGTTGCGAATCACCTGATAGAGTGGTTTTCGTTTGAGCGTCGTAAAACCAAAACCAAAGTAATTACTCTGGCCAATCACATAGGACACAGACAATACATTGAACCAATCAAAACTCGAAGTAATTACATGTGGCTGACGCAAAGCGCGGGAAAATGCATGCAAGACCTTTGGGATTTTGGCGCGAATCTTTTAAGCCAATCGCATCGCGTAGAAAGTGCAAAACCAATTACTTTTCGACACTCAAATGAAAACCGCTCTAGCCTGCGTAGGAAGCGTTTCCGTTTGGTTTCGGAGCAAAGAAAGACCGGTTTTGGCCGCGCGAGAAATGAAACGAGAGCCCTCCCCCCGCTCTTTTACTTGCGCCATTTTTCGCGCAGTCTTTGATTCTCGTTCCTCGTTCTTTGCTCCTAAACCGCACGGAAACGCTTGCTACGCAAGCTAATCACCTCAAGTCTCCAAAAGCATTCCAATGCAAAGTAATCCCCGTTTCAGCTTGTGATCCGGTTTTGCTGCAATTTCCTTTTGTCATAAACCCAGGATGACGTCAAAGACAGTAATTATTCTAACGAACATAGCGCTGGAGGATGGGGACTGATTTGCGTTTCTTAGGCCATTTTTCGCCCGGGGGGACCCCCTATAACGGTTTATACGGGGAGGATCCGACCAGAAGGGATTTCACTTGTTGAAGTTTATATAAAAGGGTAGGAAATCTGTAATTTGGGCGTAAAAAGGCCTAAAAGGGCTTACAGACGCATTTTATGACCGTGAAAAAGTCAAGAAAACGTTCTGGTTTCATTCAAATTTTAAAGAAAGTGCTTTAAAGCAGTTAAAGGGGATCGCCCCATATGAAACGAAAACGACCAAAGCGGTCGTCAACGGGTTAAGAAACAGTACTTTTCTTGATTACAAGATCTAGAGACTTGTACAAAGCCCTGATCTATGCCCGGTTACAGGAATTTGTACTATAACTTACCAGTTTTTCTTTTGGCATTGTTTGTGTTAACTTTATCTATTAGCTATTTCTCTGAAATTCGAGGTGAAATGAAGGTTGCAATATATGTATGTATGTATGTATTATACATGGACATTTGTTCCTATCAATGAACTTAGACTTAAACTCGATAGACTCAAATTATCACCATTAAAAAGATTGAAAAGTTGACTTTTCGATCACTAGCCCTACTTCAGAGATAGCACTTGCGGTGCATTAACGGGACGGTCACATTCATGGTTATTTGCCAAAACCTAAATTTGTGCAGCACTACAGTTTCTTTTGAAACGAAACCCTTCATTCTTTATTATTTCAACAGCTTAACAATGAATTTGACCTGTCAGTGAGTGCCAAGAACAGGAAAGCAAAGAAGCAGATAGAGAAGTATTGCACAAAGCATAGAACAGATCCCCAAAGCGACGCGGATCCAAACTTGCGTAACTTCTTTGTTGTGGAGAAGTACAAAATTGTCTATTGCGGTGTCCCAAAGGTAGCATGTACAGTCTGGAAGGGAATAATGGCAAAACTACAAGGTCTTAACATTTCAAATGGGATTCACAAGAACACTAAAGGAAAACTTAAAACCCTTAGCAATTATTCCGTGGGGGAACGCGAGACAATTCTAAAGACATATAGGAAATTCTTGTTTGTGAGGGAACCGTTTGAACGCCTACTTTCTGCCTATAGAGATTGCTTCTGGGGGAAATATAAGACAAAACAAGATTACTGGAAAGATTACCAGGGAAAAATAAAACAGGTTCTGATGAGTCGAACTAGCCTTCCTAACGAAACATACTCTGGAAATGTAACGTTTGAACAATTTGCAACCTATTTGGTTCTTCGACGGAGGGAAGGTGGTTTGTTTCAAGAACACTGGCGAGAACAATATAAATTATGTCATCCTTGTCGCATACAATTCGATTACATCGGACATTATGAAACAATGGCTGAAGACGCGATGTTTATTCTACGAAAAACAAACTTGGAAAACAAGGTAAACTTTCCGGAATGGCAACCAACAGACACTAGAGAGTTGATGCAGAAGTACTATTCTACTCTTTCTCTGCTCAGGATAAGGCAACTACAGAGTATTTATAACAACGATTTGGAGTTGTTTGGTTATAGCTATCCAGGACCGCTTAAAGCGGTAGTTGACAATTTGATCAATGATAAGTTGTAAGTGTATTTTCTACTTCCTCATCATTGTATCGAGGATACTGATGTTATGAGGTACTCTGGATTTCAAGCGACGAGGATGATCGAATGGGGAAAAACTCAAAACCCCAAAAAATCCCTGAGAGTAAACATTTACCCCTCTCCAAAAATCCCATACGTTAAATATTATAACAGGCGCATATATTAGCAGAACTTCGAGGCCGGGATACGCGGGCAGTGCCACGAATCTTCAGATTGTTTTTAATACCCCCAAAAATCCCTACTTAAATCAAGCCACCCCCAAAATACTAGCCAAACCAGTCGATACATGGTCGAGCACTTCCGGAACGTTAGCGAGAATTACGAGATTCGAATCTGGTACAGGGACGGGGGCCTCATTTTTCTCATGTTTCACGATGTTAGCTCCAGCATCATGGCCGCACGCTTATCGCGATTCCATTATAGCTTATCTATCCGATTATCGAATAAACAGAATTAGCGTATTTAAACGCTCAGAAAATCGTTTAAACATATATTTGTATACCTTGTAACCAATATATACAAGCAATGTTAAACTTGAATGCAACTGTATGTCCCATTTATAGACAAAGATTGTATAAAACCCGCTGAGAGAAGAACTAAATAAAAATCAGTTGTTACTCCTAATGTGTGATAGGCACGTGGAACTTACAACATTAATAAAGGTTGCGTTCCTTTTAGCCACACTTTTTCGGAATTAGACAATCCAGATTGTTTGGATTTTCCTACTAGCCGCGGAACAAAAATCTGAAATAAGATTGATCCATACAGTAGCTACCTAGCTGCTGCTGCTATGATCTTCTCAATTTCAACGCATCGTTTTTCACTTCTTTCCCCTAAATTGAGCGCCTTCTCCTGGAGAAATGGAAAGAAAAGTAGCTCTTTCACTAGTGGTGGTTCATACTGGGAACTTGTCAACTAAAAATTATCTGGAATTTGATTCCAGAAAATTCAGAAGACAATTACGAACTCTCAAGTGCTGAGAAGCGCGCTCTAAACATACACACACACTGGACACTATAGTTTTACGGTGAAAAAATCCAAGCGTTTTCGCTTCCTTACGGATTTAGTTACAGTGGAACTTGGGTTCAATATACTGCAATCCCTTAGCGACATAGAACAACGGAAGAGTATGAACAACTTTTGCCTGGACTAACCTTGACCCGTCGCGGTTACTGAAGGACGAGCACGTTCTTGCGATCGAAAAGTAGACCCGTTAAATGGAAGAAAAATCTGAAACCAGATTGAGATACCAATCTGAACGATCCAAGTGCGAAGGTGGATCGTTCAGATTACAATCTTAGATTGGTTTAGTCCTCAAGGGAGGAAAGAAAAATCAAATTTCACATCGCAAAATCCGGAATTAGATTGGTCAAAAGCAACGAAAAATGCCGTCCGGCTAACGTGCGGTCTGGAATTATACAACAAGAAACAAGTACAGTTTTAAGCTTGGGCAACTGCGAGAGAATCTTAGAAATGAAACTGCAAGGCTGTTGGCATTGAGTTTTCTTGGGATTAAAGTTTTAAGTGGCTATACGACTGCTTATGATAAAAATTTTGATACATGCTAAAGTTGACTGTTTCATTCGTCACATAGAACAGAAAGGAGTAATAAGCAAGTGTGCAACGACCTGCAACGGTAGGACACTTTCTATTTGGAACTTTAAGAAAATACTCCGGATCTTCCGAACAAAGCAGGACCTAACCTTCTGAGAAATAACCTTCTTTTCACCACTCGACTATTACACACTCGCCACATGTACGTCCACATGCAGCACGATCCTGTTTTCAAAAAGCTAGGTAATTAGTTTGGTCAAGCGCTAGCTCAGACAACACAAATTCTCCCTCTCCAGTCACTTTCGTCTAGCATTGCACAGGGGCACCCAACGGCAATTTTCGGGAAAATATCTGTTCGGAGGACGATTTGAGAACTAGAATTTTCGGAACATTTGTTGTAAAATTTCTTGCTTGCCTGCCTCTCCTAGGATTTTTCGAACGTCTACAAAATGGTATAATTACCCATTTTAAACGGATATTTACCCTAAAAAAGGCCACCTAGAATTTTCGGAAGCCTTTTCCTGGCTGAAATTTTCGAAAAGGTAAGTTTTGATCCCTATAATTTTCGGATCACTAGACTTTCAGCTAGGAAATCCGAACAGATGAAAAGTTTTTAGGGGATAAAATATGCCTATATCTACCGTTTAAATACTAAAATGCGTTCAACAATGCTGTGTTAAGTGGTTTGGAACTATATCCTCGTTGGGTGCCCCTGATTGCAATTCTGAATTCTCCGATGGTGGCGAAGCCAGTGTCCTCAAGCACAGTGTGTATGTACGTGGTCCTAGGTCTTCCTCTCTCAGTTTGTCTGCGTTGCGGATGCACAACACAAGCTTCGATGCCTCCTCCTTTTTGTGACTAACACAATGCCCAGCTACTCTAATTCTTCTTTCCCTGATCTTGCCAGAAAACGTTAGGAGGAGACCGTACAGATCTTCATTCGAGATGTGGTCCCTTCGAAAAAACGTTTAGTGCAAAAAACAACAACAACAACAATCATATGGAAAATTTTATTGAGATTAAGGGCGAAAGTGTCCCGCATTATATATTACATTTGTATTCAACTATCTCCTAAGTCGCCGCTGCGCGCGCAGTCATCTACTATATATTAAAATATTGCTAATAAACCATTTCGTTCATTCATCGTTAAAATCTTATCATATAAATACAAATCTCATGTCTTGCGATTCTCAAAGAACGAGCACTGACTTTACAAAATGATTCTTTTTAAATTATTCTTATTGAGGTCCATTTAGACGGATGCCAAACTGAGAAAATCTCCCATTTGCTTTAGGATATAGGATTAAGGTGCTCGTTTATCACATTGAAATTAAAGTTTATAATTGAAATTAACTTTATACAACTCCTGGCGTATTTCAAAGGCGAATAAGGGCGCCAAATTGCCATTATTAACAAATGAAGAAGATAGCCGTGACAGAGTCCTCTTAAACTTAGTCCATCATCTGTTTACATTACCCGATAGTGCATGTTAAGGTAACATAGTTTAACCTTAGGCCAGCATCTGTTTATATTACTAAATGATGCTGCCGTAATAAAGTTTAACCTTAGGCCATTATCTGTCCATAGTTACCTAATGGTGTTGAGGTAACATAATTTGACCTTAGGCCATCATCTGTCTATATTACTCAATGGTGCATGTTAAGGCAACATAGTTTAACCTTAGGTCATCATCTGTCTGTATTACTCAATGATGCTGCCGTAATAAAGTTTAACCTTAGGCCATTATCTGTCCATAGTTACCCAACGGTGTTGAGGTAACATAATTCAACCTTAGGCGATCATCTGTCTATATTACCCAAAGGTGTTGCGGTAACATAGTTTAACCTTAGACCATCATTTGTCTATATTACTCAATGATGCTACCGTAATAAAGTTTAACCTTAGGCCATTATCTGTCCATAGTTACCCACTGGTGTTGAGGTAACATAATTAACCTTAGGCCATCATCTGTCTATATTACCCAATGGTGTTGCGGTAACACAGTTTAACGTTAGACCATCTTCTGTCTATATTACTCAATGGTGCTACCGTAACAAAGTTTAACCTTAGGCCATTAACTGTCCGTATTACCCAATGGTGTTGAGATAACATAGTTTAACCTTAGGCCATCATCTGTCTATATTACCCAATGGTGTTGCGGTAACATAGTTTAACCTCAGACCATCATCTGTCTATATTATTCAATGGTGCTGCCGTAACAAAGTTTAACTTTAGGCCATTATCTGTCCATATTACCCCATGGTGTTGCCATTCTAGTCGTCAAGCTGACACAACATGGCGACTCCCCTCACGACCCAGTGGGTTTCTGGTCTGTTGGACGGCAGGTTCACAGATAGGACATAGTTTGTAGAATGTCCGGTTGTAGAAAGAACGCCACGGCGAGCGCTTGTTTTGTAAACTAAGACAACAGAATAACCCATTACTTAGCTACAACTAAAAATAATCATCTATTAAAGTATTCTAGAGCGGTCGAGATTCCATTTCGTGTACGATCACAAGGTTTTAACGAGAAAATGAGGCAAGTAGCCTGCGTGAAAACGAAATATATTTTCGCGACAGAGGAAATGGCCGCCATTCTCGATTTTATACCACAAAATTAGGAACCGATAAAGAAAGATGGTAAATTTTAAGCTCGGTTGTGCATGAGAAAGATGTAAGAATAATGATATCCCAAGAGCGTGAAACAGAGAAAAAAAAATGTCGAGTTCCCGACGGGATTCGAACTTATAACCTCCCAGGCACTAAACAGTTACAGATCGCAGCATTTCCCTACACTAACAGTATCCACTGTAATAACTTTAGTAGGCAGCATGGCATGTTGTTTTACCGTTTAGGCAGCTGGATTACAATCCCACACTGGTCAATAGCTTAGGTTGTTCTCGGTAGCCCCAAGGTCAACTCCCTCCCTTTGCTTGCGCCATCATGACCGATATGCCGCTTCATTGGTTGCTATTTAACAACAGTAACGAACGTTTATCGAGCATAAACCACCTCTTCAAGGGGTAAGCGTCAGGCAGAAAGAAATTGGGACAGTGTGACGCACTGGAATAACTTTTCATGCGTAAGTAGGCGAAAAAAGTGCTGGAATAGCGCAAAAAAACGGACCATGGAGTGAACGATGATAGCGTCTTGTATTAGCTACACAAAAAGTCTCATACCTGGACAAGAATAGGTCGCCTTTTCCTCGAAATCCGCAGTTTTACCCGGTTTGAGCCAAATCTGTTAATATGTTAAGGAACCTCCACGCCATGACATTGTTCAGCATTTTACAAAACAGTTTAAGAATTCATATTTCATTCTTAAAACTGCTACTTGAGCTCATAAAATGTTGTCGAGTCTTAAGTCACCAGGTTCACCGGTCCAAAATGACAGTCTAAAATAGACCAAACGAATTATACCCAAAGATGGAATTTTAACTTTTAAGCCTGTGCTAGCTCCAACCCGCAGCTGTCAGGCATCTGGGCTCAGATAAATAAAAAACTGAAATAACTCAGTCGTTAGCAATTGTAGCTCTAGTACTAGGACCTCAAAAAAAAGGTCGCTTACAAAGGATACAATTGGAACAGGATCATAAAGGATCTTTGGATGTGACTCACCGACAACCTGAAAAACCAACAACACACTGGATCGCTATCTATTCTGCTATTTTTTTTGTTGGGGGCGGGGGCTAAGGAAGTTAGATATATCGTTAACTGCCCCTTTAAATCCCCCCTCCGTGTTATCGGCCCAACATCCGGTTATAAGCTCTCCCGGATATGACCCCCACCCCCACCAGTTATAGGCCCATCTCCCTGTAAAAAAAAAACCCGGATATACTTCCCTACAACTCATCCAAATATATTGAAATGAATTTGATTTATTATGACGATTTGAGCCTTAATTGAAAACCCGTAAACGCAAAACGTATTTTGATGATCAGCACCACTGTAGTGTAGCTTATTTCGCGCGCTTTTTTTATTCCGTTTATAAGCCCCCACGGATATAAGCCCCTCCGTTTATGACCCCCTTACACCCCTTACGAAGATATATCACCCCAGGGCTTATAAGCGGCAATTTACTGATACGGAAATGAGTTAATCAAACCTTGTTTTGTCTGTCCCATCTTGCACCCTCAATGAACAGACCCTTGACGTACACGCCATCCTCCTATAAACAAGCAAGGCAAAAAAAGAAAATCACAGAACGCTGATTAAAGAGGAGTTTTACCTTTACAAACAGAATCGTACGGCGGGTAGCAAAGGAAAACCTGAGGACAAAATTAAACTTAAATCTGGCGTCTTGAGCGCGCAGTTTTTGTCAAAAAGAATTCTGAGGACTGTCTCCTCGAAGCGTCTTTTATAAGCTCCGTACTTCCAAACGGGGAACAAGAAAAAAAAATAAAAACTTTGGTTTGTACTGAACAACAACAACAAAAAACAAACATTACGGCAGCAAACTGCTTCATTCCATCCGCAAACTCAAAGTTAAAAAAATACCTTGCATAGCATGATTAACAGTTCCACAGGGAAGTGTTTCTTAGTAGCTTTTGAAGAGTCGCGTTCAACAGCATGAAAACAAGTACTACTGGATAGTTGTCGTGAGTAGCTTTCGTTCAAATGGTCACACCATGCAATAAACACTGATTTTGAACAGTGGGATAAATAGCATTGCAGGAAAGTACTACTCAGTAGATTTCATTTTAATGGTCAAACTTTGGGACTATCACCTTACTTGAAAGTTAGAATCACCTTGTACAGCATAATACCGTTTGGACTACGATCAGAGTCGTACCTTATCCTTTGGGACACTAGAGCGAGGGAAATATGGCCACCCACGAGGAAGCAGACACGTGGAGAAAAGGGGGAAAATGATTTTCTCTCTTCCTTTCGCCTGTAACCTTCCTCGCGGTTGGCAGTCTTACATCTCGCTCGCTCTACTATCTCTGACGTGATGAAGTACTTTTCGTAGTCCAACTAACATATGAACGTACTCTTCAGTGGCTATCTCATATGCGGATAGCGTAATTGATTTCCCTAATACTTATCCTCTGGATAGTGATTTATCCGATGGATAGCGCTATCCAACGTTTGAACAACCGGGGCCTGATCCACAAAACACTATTCCCGTCCCATGTAAGGTAATCCAAGACAGTCTTGGATTCTGGATTCCACCCCGTGGGTTCCGGATTCCAGGTACTGGATTTCAGATTCCTCGTCAATGGAACTTGAATTCCAGATTCCATTCCTTTGTGGGATTCCGGATTCTTGAGTTGTATTGCGGATTCCAAAGCCGAGGATTCCGGATTTTAAAAGTTGAAATTTCCTGGATTCCAGAATCCGAATTTAAATTTGAGACGGGTGGGACGAGCAAGTACCATTCAGTAGCGTTCCTAAGTCATTTAACCACACTAAATAATTACATGCGAAACATACAGGCTTGTGCTTCATGTCTTGCTCCTCATTTGTCACTTCAAATTCAAAGCCCAGGTGATCTATCGGAATCTTGTAGCGTCGAGCAAAATTCTGCATCGCCCCTGAAATATACAAGTATCGTTCAAAGTCAGGAGTTGGTGATTTTCCGTGTGTTTAAATACAGTATTACATTACATTACGTTATTATGATAGGGTACTTGGTGCGGGGACTGCAAAATCTCATTCTTGATAATTCTTGCTATCAGGCTCAAATTCATCCAATAGTTTAGTTTTAATCAACAGTCACACTAACCTGTGAGAAAGGACTGAGTGAAATAAAACCCAGATATCCAGAACACAGGAGGAGATCCTTCATCAATCCAGGTCTGAACAAACATAAAAACGCTCACATGTTTAACAACTGGTAACGAACTACAACAAAATGCAAACGTTTCACACGCGCGCAGGGGAGAATAAAGCGAAAAGCTGTCCGCCTGAAATGTTAAGACCAGAAAAGTAGAGTAGTAAATTGGAGATGGCGCTCGGTATACACTAGTTCTACCATGGTGGATATTACTAAAACCTTCGAGTAGAGAAAGAAGATTTTTGGCGTAAGGAATCACCACGTGACCATCTCGGCCATGCAGCAGAATGACCATAGTTTCATTTGAATTATTAAGATATTTTCCTTATATAACACCGACCAGTGTTCATCTTTATAGGCCTCTCTCGAATCCTAATGACCTTCATTTTTAAATACCCGGAAGTTTTTTCTTATGAGATCATCAAAGCCAAGAGAAATTACCTTGAAAAACCTTAGGCGCGCTACTAGGTCCGCTACGTAGCTACCAAGCGGTTTCAGGGAAGGGTACGATTTGGCCGCCCACATGTTTGGAACCTGTTGATAAAAAGATACAAAATAGCTGCTGTCCAGTCCGGCATAGCCTGCAAGCAAGCCTCGACTCGGGGATACTGAGCTTGCTCGCAGTCTAAGACCGTTAGGGAGCAAAGGGTAGCTGGGGCAGGGAGAGGAGCATGACTCTCTCAATGAGTTCAAATTTGACATTTGGCTAACAGGGTCAGCAGTTAACGACACGCAAATATAACATCGGCGACACATCGCCTTTTAAATAGGCCAGTTTCGAAATATTTAATTGTCTCCGAGGTTGAGGGAAGTTAAACCAAAGAAATTATAGAGGATCCGGGGCGAGATGAACAATTCTGTCTGTGGAGAGTCTTAAGCTATCTTCAAGCTTTATCGGATAGCTTCTCGTGCCGACGCGAAATGCGATCTGGTATAGTACGACCACCTATCTGATATGTGACTCTCGGCGCAGCTTCGCTCCGTTACAGAAATCGCGCCAAAATCATCGTTATTATGTCAGTGTGAACAGAAACCTTATGCGCTATGGTTTTCGATTCGGCGCAAAACCTATCCGGTAAAGGGTGAAAACAGTCTTAATCTTACCCTTCCCACCATCATGCTTCCAAACACGTCCTCAAGTTCCGATGACATCACAACAAGACCCTGGGTGAGAGAGATAATAACAAGTTCAAGCAACAATATAAAAAAAAAAAGCTGATCCATTTATTTATTTATTTATTTATCTCTTCCAGGAAAGCTCTCGAGTTTTTTTTTATATCGGGGTTGTGAACGTCAAACGTACAAGACCAAAAGGGAAGCGAGAGCAAACAAAGAGACAAAAGAAAAAGCAGCAATCGCTTCAGTTCCACTCGTTTGGTGCTGACTTATCATGAAGTGTGAGGCTACTTCAATACAGCACGGGACGAATTTTCGACCGGCTGAAAATTTGTAAGCTCAGGCGTTCCGTTCACACCTAGTCTTACAAAGTTCCGTATGAAGAGAGCAAAATTATTGAACGGTCTCGTATGAACAAAGTGTCAGAAAAGTGTAAGGTCCATTCTTTCAGCCGGTCGAAAATTCGTCCGGGGCCATGCATGTGATCGTAGCCTAGCTTAGTAACGCAACAACTGTTCGGTTTACCGTGACACTTACTAACGCAACAGCCAGTCGGTGTACACTTCTTTCTTGAAAGTTCGCTATCAATCACAGATTAGGATAGACCCTTCGAGAACAATCGTCCTGTTTTTCTTATCTTAAGGACTCTTAAGAGTTATAGATTGAACATACTCACCTTAATGGCTTTCTGAATGTTTTGAAGACTTGATCGAACTACGCCCGTCAAACGATTAAACCTGAAAGCAACAAAATAGAAAGAAAGAAGAAACACTGAATGTAAATTGTCAATCGGTGATAAAAGTCACCGAAGTCGCATTTAAAGTACATTTGAATTACTTAATTCTGCTAAGGTTTTAGAGCTTTCAAGTACATTAGTTGTTTTTCTGCTTTAAACCACATCATTCAAGGCTTACACTGTAAATTAAAAAGATCTGGTTCCGCCCTAAAGTGCCAATTCAACCCTTCAGGCCAAATGAGCAAAATTCAAGCCAAAACAGGCCCATCAAAAGCCTATTCCAGCCCACGATGGAACTCTCTTCACCCTGCGGGTCCAAACCAACAACGGGAAATTAGACTGTACTGAGGGAGCCAAAAATTAGGACCAAAAACTAGGACTGTATTTTACTCACCGAAACGACCCCATTTTTAGGGATAAAACAGACTATTTTGATGTACAGCGAACACATAACCGCAGCGGATGATCTCAACGGGCTAAGTGCTACAGCCGACAATGGATAAGGAAAGCCAGATCGAGCTGAACTTAATTTATGGTATAAAGGTAACAAGGGGAGACAGGAGACAGTTTGCCAACCATTGTAGTATTTCGTACCTAATGAGTTCTTGAAGAAGTACAGTGTTCATCGATTCTTCATACAACACAGGATACTTTTTCTGTAGAATAATCACCACAATTATTACAACATGAAACATTTATACATGCTTAATCATATTTATCTCAGTCCCTTTTGGCTTCTTTTCTCTTTATTCATACCACTTGACCCCTTACAGCCTCGCGAGGTTTTGCGACAAACATATTTCCAGTTATAACAGGGATTATGCTACAACCTACAATTTTACCTTTTTCCTCACATTACTGTGAAAAGAGGTGTCTGTTACAGGTGGTAATTAGTTCGAGAAGAAAAAGATAAACATGACTAGTTAAAAGACTCCCATGAAGTTTGAAGACATAGAGTGACCGTTTGAAGAGGTGATCATTTGGCATTTGCTTATAACCATAGCGGAATTCTTTAGTATGTCATTTATTAAAGGTATATCTCCAATATTTTACCGCATTATTTCCTGAAAAAGTATTGTCTCAGGGCTCGAAATTAAAAAAAATGACTGGTCGCAAATTTGCGACTAGTTACGAAAATTTGGTCGCAACTTTGAAAATGTTAGTCGCGAAATTAATTGAGGCCATTTAATCAAGAAATAAGTAGGCTTTTAAATGATTAACGCTTTAATTTTCATTCTTTCAACAGCATTCATGTCATTTCGAGACTTAATAGTACAGAACGTTTAGCATCTCGGACAACACCAGTTCATCTAAACGATCAAGTTAAACCAGCGTTAAGGCACATAAATTAGTGTCTGTTATTTTAGTCAAAGCGATAGATTTCCAAATCATGAACAGATATTACAGCAGGAAACTGCAGTTCTTAAAAGCCTCCAATCTCTGCAAAATAGCAATAACATTTGTACTGGGCGGACATCCGACATGGTTATAGGTTACGTTACGTAACTAAATTCCTTTAGTTTTACCTTTTGCAGGTTTTCCACCGATGACAAAACAAGTAACGAATTATTTTATATATTAAGCTTTACATCTGAAGTATCAGGGATGTTACTACAGTGATTATTCAAAGAACCCTGAAGGACTGAATCATTTAATACGACGATACGTGCCATGCGGACATTCCGCCATCTTTGTTTGCTAAACCTCGTTTTCATGTATACGTAGATTCGCAACCCACTTGGAACCGATTTATTTTAATAATAATAATAATAATAATAATAAAATATTTATATAGCGCTTATACTTTTAAGTTCTAAGCGCTTTACATTACTTCAAAAATGTCTGAATAAAAAATAAAAATCCTAAAATCATTACATATATACATATATACATATATACATAGTCACAAAAATACAAAATAAAAAAGCTAAGATAGTTCATAAACTCGTTTAAAAAGAAAGGTCTTCAATTTAGATTTAAACTTATTTACATCATCGATCGACCTAATGTCAACAGGCAAATCGTTCCAGAGTATAGGGGCAATGACTGAAAAAGCCCTGAAACCGTATGTCTTTAAGTTATAGGGTTTAATAACAAGACGCCACTTGTCTGAAGATGATCGGAGGTACCTCGCAGGTTCATAAACATGAATTAGGTCAACCAAATAATCAGGAGCTAAATTGTTGAGTATCTTAAAACAAATAAGATTAATCTTAAAAATTATTCTTTGCTCCACTGGTAGCCAGTGCAACTCCTTTAGAGTATCACTTATGTGATCAAACTTAAACGTAAATCTTTTTTTTTAAACTAACCGTTACTGTCAAACGAAGAAACAATGAAGCCTTAAGTACTCATTTTTTACCAACGAAAGTTATTGACTCCAGTTTTTCTGCTTGTTTCTGTTCCTTCGATCTTGCTCAGTGACTAACGACTTTCAGCGGCAAATCAAAACGAAATATGAGCCTGCAATGTACATGTTTACAGAACCCGCTAAAAATGGGGTGCTGTTGAAGGAATATCGTTGCGTGTATGCATTCCAGGTAAATTACGGTAAACCTTCAGATTGTAACAAAATTATAAGACGCTACTTCAATGAATCTTTTTATTTCTAAATTTATTTAAGCAAAAATTCAAGTGCTAGTCCTTTTATTTCGTATCAGTTAAGGCAAAACCTAGTCGCAAATTTGCGACTACTCTCGTTTTTCTAGTCGCAAATAAGAAAAATTAAGTCGCAAATGCGACCGTATCGGTCGCAATTTCGAGCCCTGTGTCTATTTAATTTTTAGGTGCAACAGGAAAGTAACTATCTATATCTTGCCGAAGAGCAGTAAACAAAATGAAAAACCTCTTAACAGTTTGACCCCAGTGGACGCACGAGGAAGGAGAACGCGTGCTATGGTAGTTTTTCGTGTGTGTGTAATACACGTTAGAAGAATCTCACTCACCTGAACCACTTCGGTATCAAAAGGAAGAGGAATTTTAGATAGAATGTCGGATGCTAAATCCTCGATCACTTCCTGCGATGATTTTCCTCCACTGGATGTCTACGAAAATACAACAAAAGCCTTAAAAAATGGAAACTTCCGAACTAAAAATAAACTTTCACACTGAAAACAAGAGGGACAAATTCAATAAAAAGTATCCAATAAAACTATTTTACAAATAAGCTTTGCTATACGTACAACGTGTTGACGTATAAGCGAATCTCTGGCTTTGTTTTATTTTTTGCGTCATTAACAAGTGCTTACCATTCTCTAATCTAACATCGCTGAACATAAAAAAAAATTGGGGGCCAAAATAAGGAACAGTTTCGGAGAAATTCGTTTTTAAAAACTGGACATCTGCAAAGACTGTATGGCCCATTTTTTGCCATGCAGGAATTTCGCAGCTTTTGATGGCTGCTAGTTCCTCAGATATTGCTTGTAAATAGCTGAATATTGCCCAAAGTGTTCAAGTAAACCGGCTCTTTCAACTTTTTACTTAAAAGTTAGATCTACACTCTACACGTACGCTAATGAGCAAAAATCAAAGATTCGCCTATATCCGGTGATTAGAAATACATCTAACTCAGAGACAAATGGGCAGGAAACGTGTATTTCTTACCTGTCGGGGTAATGTGAGGAGAATACCGTCAAAGAGCTGTTGAGTTTCGCGCTGATTTTTCGTTATGTCAGCGTTTTCGTGCAAACCAAATACCTGTCAATCACCGAAAACAGTTGTCAATCAAACCAAAGACAGCTTGAGAAACTTACTTAAACATTGCACACAAAGAGTTAACAAGCAGGGGTGACAAACTCTTCAACGTTTCAAATGAATGGCTTTTCTCGTGCGTACGTACCTCGGGGTGTGGGGTCAGCGGAAGACTCCGGATATACTCCAAGTAACTGTCATAAGGACCCTATGTTCAGATTTAAACATTAATCGTGAGTTAATCTGATGCAAGGGAAGAAAACGATGATTTCTTGTTTCTTGTAAAGGACAACCTAAGGGAAGCTACCTCTTAGAAACACTGTCTCTTGTCATTTTCACTTGACCAATATGCTATTTGTTGATTTACTTCCAAACAAACTTTTGGAAAGTTGCGTCATTTCTTGTTCAAATGGCGGCCGGAAAAACCCTTGTTTCTACAAGCCTCGAACAAGAGAACAAACTGCGTTTCAGTGTTTATCAACGATTGTCCCCATGTCTTGTCCTGACGCAAATTCAATCGTAATACAGGGAGGCACAAGGAAACGAATAAAACTTAGAAGTTACAACAACTTAAGTTTCATTTACACTGACTCCATGAATTTGCAAATCTTCTCTGCGCGATCGTCCAAAAGTACCATTACCGTTCTTTGTCCCGTGTTAACATTTCTTCCCAGTGGCCTACCATTAGGTGAGAAATCGTCACATCAACAATTTGCCGATCATCACCGACTAGAATCACAGGATCTATTGTCTTGTGGAGATGCAACCGTAAAAACAGGGACAGTTTGTTATGAAGTCTACTTGTGGGGGCAAGTGGGTTGAACAAGGTCCAAGCCACGCTTGGTAAACATCCGACCCGGACTTAATTAAGCTCACCTCAGGCGGTGCGAAGTAAGAGCCACTGCTAGAGAACTTATAGCTGTCATCTTCGGTTACCTCTCGGCAGTAAAATATGGATAGAATGCTCATTATAAGGCGCCTAGGAAAAAATTATAATAATAACGATAATGTTCATGACGTGATGGTGATAATGATGATGACCATCATGATGACTATGATGACGATGGAGATGATGACGAGGATGGCATTGATGATGACGAGGTTATGATGCAAATGATGATGATGATGATGATGACGATGACGATGACGACGACAACAATAGTGATTATGAAATTTATGGTGGCGGGTTGTGCCGGTAACGATTAGTAGGACAATAAATCGAAAAAATGGTCTCTGAAACAGTACGATGATGACGATGGACATGAGAACGACGATTGCATTGATGATGACGAGGTTTTGATGCTAATGACGATGATGATGATGATGATGACGACGACGATAGTAATGATGATGATGAAATTTATGGTGGCGGGTTGTGCTGGTAACGATTAGTAGGACAATAAATCGTAAAAATGGTCCCTGAAACAGTATCCTATGCTTCTGCCAAAAGAATTCAGCTTGCAAGTATTGAAATTAACCCTTAAAGGCCTGGTATCCTCCGACAAATTCTCCAAACTGATCTCCATACATTTCGTTAAAATATTAGTTGACAGAATTTTTTAAAAGATCAAAGAATTGTTTCCTCTGGTGACAATTTCATTCATTCTCATACCTTTTTTTCTTGATTATTTTTTGATATTGTTGGGAGAAGGTTGATGTTGGTCACTATTGGAACTTAAAACTACCTGTCTCTCTCATCAGTGACTCTTCCTCCGTAGTTGCACTGTCCAGTAAGATAGGTTAGAGCCTCCAGCGGAACATCATCATAATCATTAAGAAACATCTGTAGAGGGAAACAGTACCCTAACTGCAAGACTGCACTAGTATGTTTGACACAGAAATACAGTTATTTTCGTCTCTGTCAGCTACAGGTCCCACAGAGCTAATTACAAATGTGTACCGTGAAGCAAGCGCATACATCACATATGTGCTTATCTAGGTACTGCGTTTCTAATATTAAATAACATACACCCGACCACGTGCTTTTAAAAATACGCCGTCCCAGACTTGCGGAACTCGTCTTTGGCACCAACTTGTCTTAGTCCACTACTTTTAAAATTATCTGAACTTGAATAAAATCGAAATTCTAAATTCGACTGCGGGCCATTAACCCTTCTACAGCCACAGCTGAATGAGTCTGTGGACAAAACCCTATGAGTCTGTGGATGAAATCCTATGATGTGACCATTCAAATGAAACCTCTTCAGCAGTACTTTCACATGGTACTATTTGTTTTGAATGTGGTTCTAACTCTTGAGTCTGTGGATGAAATCCTATTGTGTGACCATTCAAATGAAACCTCTTCAGCAGTACTTTCACATGGTACTATTTGTTTTGAATGTGGTTCTAACTCTTGAGTCTGTGGATGAAATGCTATTGTAAGACCATTCAAATGAAACCTCTTCAGCAGTACGTTCAAAAGGAACTACTTGCTTTACAACATTTTTCAAAATGGAATTTAGAACTGTTGTTCAATCTTGACTTAAGCCTTCTTTAGTAGTGAAAGGGTGAAAGTACTGAGCGTTGCTCACCTGTTGTTGGCGCACGCTTATCCGAAGGTCGGACTCGTTGAACTCATAAGGAATATTCCAACCCAACGGACCAAAATTCCTCCTCTCTTGAACGAGCGCATGGAAGAAACACAAACTGAACAGCAATTTTTTCCAAACCTGCAGGAAACAGTTGCAAGTTTAGCAACAGCAACAACACCAGGGAGAGGAACACAACAAAACTTACTTTGGTTTTATTGCAGCCATTGAAAAACGCCGGGTCTGATATGGGGTCGCTATGGTATGACCGCAACAGATTCGCCCTGAGACCCATCGGCGGCTCATTCGTCATCTTTACCCCTGAAAGTAGCCATGGTAACCTTAGTAATGTAGCTGTGCCCACGAAAACCACACAAGTGTCCGCTTAATACAGGTTCGTTTAACAGAATACATGGGAAGAAAGGTATATATGTCTGTACAATTTAAGACCATAGGAGACGCCAGAATGTCCAGAACTCAAATTGTCGTTTTGAACATTCTGGCGTCATTTCTATGGTCTATAAGCGTTTTTTTTCTTTTTTTTACAGTAACATGTACAGGTTTAGCCTGGGAAATCAGCCTTTATTTCGCGACGGTACCACTGGTTTCCCCGCGAAATGACGTCTGAGAAACGACTGCAGAAATTCCATACTGATGACGTGTAACGACCCAAATCTGGGTAGTGCTTCTGATTGGTCGTGCCGCGAAAGAAATTTGCTTCAACCAATCAGAAGCGCTATCCAGATCTAGGTTGTGACACGTCATGAGTAAGGAATTCCTGAAGGCGTTCCTCAGACGTCATTTCGCGGTGAAATTAGTGGTGGGGTCGCGAAGTGCCGGCTGTTTTCTCAGACACGTTTCTTGGACAATCGCGCCCGAGATAGAGAGAGAAACAAATTGCGCGTTCACGTCATTCTCATGATCTACACTCTCATAGACCATACCTCTTGACCTATCAGCGCGCGAGAAATTGCTCAGTTATGGTAAAAAGGCGGTACATGTAAGTACATGTAGGCGTTATCAGATGAGGAAAAATTATGGAGCATTTTCAGTCACGAAGCCAGTGATTTTGTATGTTTATAAGAACACAAGAAATTGTCTGTTTACACCAACATAATCGCCGTTTGACTGCTTTTGCTACACCAATATAGCAGATGTGTTGTCGCGCGATAAATTCACCTAGTAGAAAATAACTTGCTTGCGCTTGGACCAAAGGAAAAAACAGTAGCAAGGACGACAAGCAGAGATCAGAGAGAGGGGCGTAAATGAGTGAGAAAACCCTTTCGTTTTCCCGATCACTTACCATTCTGTAAGATCGATACAGGAAATCGTTCGGTTGGGTAACTGGTCAACCACAGCCTAAAACTTTTGTGAGTCTTCTCTGGAATGATGACCTGAGCAAAGTCATAACCATGATTTGAGTAATTAATGAAGAACCTTTACTTTTTAAACTCTTGGATAATAGCACGTTATCATGTAGATGCCCCGTGCTTTTTACCTTATGATTATATAATTAACAGTTATTAAATGAGGCTGAGTATGACGTACAGAATTTACACAGATCAAGAACCGGCCTCGATGAATAATAACCACCGAGATCAGCATAATTCTTCACATCTTGCGAAAGCCGAATTCAATAATTGTTTTATTATTCATTCAAGATATATATTTCTTAGTCCTTAATAAGCTTACATCCTCGTAGAATTTCTTCAAAATTATGGCGCAAATTTCAGGGTATCAACAGAAGTTTATTTTTGTCTTGCAGATACTTCTCAAAAAGTAGATAACATCCATCGAGTAATATATTTTTTCGTGTTCTTGCAATTATTACATCCAGTTTTAGCCAGAAATTCAGCTATCTCGATGTCGGATGGCCGTCAACTATTGCCCAGGCAACCCCGTTTCCAGGAAAATACACCATCGATCAACCTCGTTTCCAAGCAAACATATCATTAAATTATGGCAAGCGCGAGTTGGTTCCGAGGAATTGGGCGGGGGATTGGAGCCTATCAGAAACGGCAAAATGTTTTGAATAGATAATAATACACATTTACCTCTTCACATATCTTCTCTAGGACAGGCATCCAAGAAGTTGCAAGATGGCAGTTTTGCAAGACTACCCAGTCGCCCACTTCAATAGCCTAAAAAGAAAAGACAACTATCGCTTTTCAACTGTATGGTATCGCTTATAATTCTTATTCACCACTTCTCGACTTATCGACTAGACTTATTTTATGATGAAATCCAGTTACTCGTCCAGTTAGAGTGAGTTATTCCAGGGTGACCATTATACGATGGCATCCTTCCTAAACAGGAATGAACCCTCCATGGTGTCACCACTGAAATGAAACCTCTTCAGCAGTACTTTCACATGGTACTATTATTTTCTAAGTAGCTCTAACTTTTGAGTTTGTGGATGAAATCCTATGATATGACGATTCAAATGAAACCTCTTCAGCAGTACTTTCACATGGTACTATTCTTTTTTAAGTAGTTCTAACTTTTGAGTTTGTGGATAAAATCCTATCGTGTTATCATTCAAATGCAACCTCTTCAGCACCTCAGTACTTCATACGGTGCTATTTGTTTTCTACGTAGTTCTAACTTTTGAGTCTGTGGATGAAATCCTATGGTGTGACCATTCAAATGAAACCTCTTCAGCAGTACTTTCACATGGTACTATTTGTTTTGTATGTGGTTCTAACTTTTGAGTCTGTGGATGAAATCCTATGGTGTTACCATTCAAATGAAACCTCTTCAGCAATGCTTTCACTTTGTCCTATTAGTTCTAATTTTCGAGTCTATGGACGAAATCTTGTCGTACCACCACTTAAATAAAACTCTTTAGGAGTTGGTATTTTTCGATGGGCTACTTATTTTTAGAATTCGCCTGCGTTGCAGCTGACTCACGCGCTCTCTCTAAACCACTGGTATAATCCGTCTATACCGGCAGTGCAGAGTGTCTGCAATGAAGTCCAAATAACTAGTATAAAGCAAAATAAAATTCCCTTGGAAATGCTTCAAGTGTGGAAGAGTTAACTGCTAACAGAGAGCCTGTTACCTGATTGATCATCTTGGCCGCTATGGGTCCTTGACCTTGACCCAATGAAATAGTCTGAAAATGAGACCTGGTCACACCTAGAACAGGAAAACAAAAAAGAGAAATTTGAAAATATCCACAATATTGATTTAAAGATTTTAGGAGGTGTTACGAGAATCACTGTGACGTAACTAAGGAAGGAAGATAGTAACTCTAAAATTGGCTGCTCGGAAGAGAAGTCAACAATGGTGCCTAACTCTGACCACAAACAATACTGAAACAATTGAAATAATGACGTCATTGTTTTCTGCGACCAATCAGGAGAGGCCTTACGAGCAGCTCCTACACAACCGTAAAATCGAAGTTGATTTTCCCGTGAAAACCAAGTAAAATAGCTCGTCGGAGAAATCTTTAACCGTGAAAAACATTCAAAGGTAGTAAAAAGCTTTAAAAATGTCCGCAAGAAAACCACGACGATGCAGAAGTGAAGTTAGTCGACTCAAGGCAAAGAAAAGAGGGGAAATAGCAGCAAATTGTTCACCGATGAAAACACGATTCCCTAAAAACATTCTTTCTTTTTTGTGATCATTCAACAATATACAGTGAAACCACGAAATAACGAACCTCTATATAACCAAGTCCTCTGTAAAACGAACAATAACCTTCACCCCAGTAATAGTTAAATGTATAAAAAATAACCTCGCTGTAGGAAAAAAATCTCGTTTTTACAAACAAGTCCCTGTCCCCATGCAGTTGCCACTCCCCATGCCCTTCGTAATATCGAGGTTCCACTGTATATGAAACAAACAACATCAACTACATGAACAACATTATGAAGTATGTATTTGTAACGGTTGGAAGGCGTTAACGATGAGTCAGCGGTTTATCACGCGGTGCACAGTCTTACCAATGTCTTCTGCAAACTTGACCAAGCTAGCCATTGGATCGGCTCCCGGTGACAACACGAATATTAACGGTACACAGCAGTCCGAGTCTTCATAACACTTGGACAGGTCAAAGGTGGGTGGCTCTATGAAGGTGGGGCTCATGTAGAACGTGATGAAGTCACGCACTCCAAGAGTGACCTGAAACGACAAGAGAAGTGATGCTTAACACCAGGGAGCACGTCTTTATAACTATGTGGACCATACAGGGCCGGCCGCGCCGCTAGACAAGACATGGCTTTTTACTTGTCTGTCATAGGGTAAGGTAACGTCGCAGGCGCACACAAGCCATGAGGCGTACACGTCCGGGGGGGCACTCCCTAAAATGCCTATACGGGGAGGCTCCGCCCGAAAGGGGTACCTTTTTCAGGCTTCAGGTATATGAAAGGGTAAGGATTTTAGTTGTTAACGTATGAGAAAGGGTAGGAAAATCTGTCATTTCGGTTGGTAAAAAGGCCCGAAAGGGCAAGCAGATGCATTTTATCGCTGTGAAAAAGTCGAGGAAACGTTCTGGTTTTGTGATTTTTAAGACTGTACATTTACGGCAGTTAAAAGGGATGCATAGTTCTAAACAAGGCATTCGCCAATAGGAGGTATAGGAGAGGAGTACCTTTTCTGTCAATTAAAGTGGTACATAAAAGGGTAAGTGGTCGGGCCTCGGGGAGGAGCTGTCCCGTATAAAAATCTTTTAAGCCCCCCCTCCCTCCCTAAGCTGCTAGTCCACAAAGAATATATTTGTACTTGTAGTCCATGTAACTTTGTAGATTGAAGGCGCTATTCCAGTTTCTGTGATACGAAACACGCCGGAGCACCACATTTACTTCAAAGCATTTCCGACTAGGCGTTCATTTGCCACGCAGACGTTCTTTTGGCTCGTCACGCAATCCTCCCCAACGTGGCAGGAACGTGTGACGAACCCCTAAGAACGTCTGCGTGGGATGCTAGGTATAATGTTAATGTAGCTTTCATCCTGCACCTTATCTGGCCTGAGACATCTTAAAACAATTAGATGCTGTATCTTGTTGAGTTCATCTTCCCACGGTTCTGGGAGTGGTTCAGTTTGGGGATTAGCTGAGTCATAAAATGCTTTCCACTCTGAAAGCTATGAAATAAATAAAAAGAAATAACGGGTAAACAACAATTAGCCATTATAAAATAATTTCATTGCCGAATATTTCTTCAAGCAGTCTATCCTTTTTCTTACTCCAACGAGAGAAACCCTAGCCTGCGAACCGCAGACGTATTTCCGGTCGTTTTTCAGAAGGAGAGAAGCGACGACCGGAAATACGTCTGCGTTTCGCAGGCGAGAGAAACGCGCGAGGGCGGAAAATGTCCCACGCACACTCGATTGGAGTCGCTAGAAAACTGAAGGACATCGCTTCTCGCGGGAATCTTAAATGGGGGGGGGGGGGGGGGGATCCTAGGGCAACCACGGTGTAGTTTCATACAAAATTTGAAGTCGAAAATCTTGCAGTGCAGGGACTACCACATACTTCCACAAGGACCTAACTATGCATTGCCAAAGCTATGAAAGATCTGTGACTTTGATCTGGAAAAATGATTCCGAAATAATTCAGAAACTTAATTCAACGCCAGCTGCGCTTTGCTTCAACCGTGAAAAATTCAACTTCTCATGGAAATTTAAGGCGGAGAAAGAGCGAAAAAATTTTAAATGTGAATTTTCATCACGGTTTACAAAAGGCTTCTAACAACGAAAATGTGTTAATTTATATGTTTCTTTTTTTTTCAGTCAGAGGTTGCCATAAGTTATCTACAGTGGTGGCTTAATAAGGCCGCTCTCGCGCTTAAGTCAGTTGATCTAACTGCGAACGTAGCGTTCGGTAAACACACCCTGAATCGGTAACCCAGAGGAACAAAGCGAAAGGTGAAAAATATCAGATTGATAAGGAAAGTAATAACGGAACAAAAAATCCAATTCTAAATACGAACAACGAACTGCGGATAGGTAACTTTCATAATCATTTTTCTTATTAGTCCATTTAAGTTTGGGGGTCAGATGGCAAATTGTTTTTCACGCTTTTTAATATAACACGCAACACAATTTATGAGCTCTGGGATGACTCTTTTAAAAGTTTCATGAGACAAAATGAAAATAATGGCATCTGTGCAAACGTTCCATTTATATGCAAAAATTATCTTATTTCTGAGTGCATCAGTAATCAATGCTTAAAACACATTGTCAATCAATACGAGCGGGGATGCCCCACTAGGCGGTGAATTTGTAAATAAAACAGCGAGTTCTAATTTTTGACATTAACATGTTATTTTGTAGTTTTAATGAAGGATATGGGACCGATAATTTTCACTTATTTTTGAATCATTTATTCAAGCAGTTGCAATCCGACCAAACTGCGCAAACAGGTGTATTCAGGGCAAGAAAGCGTCAGAGAGGACTAGGGTATTAAATAAACATCAATTTACCGAACAGTGGCAAACGAGAACGAAAGGTGACATTTTGAATGATCGCCAGGTGAATGACAAATCATTCGGGGGGAGGTTCAAGTGTCTTGCCTTACATCTTAAGTACAATCAGCGTAAAATGCAAGCTGCAAAATGATTTGCTGAGTTTTATTGATTGACTAGCATAAGAGAGTCAACAACAAAACAATGCTGCTCATTCGGTGCTGAGTAGTTTACCTGGAGGCTCTTTCTCCGACGAATTGCAACTGAATGATATCGTTTTAGTGGGCAGGCACCTTCAATCAACAGACTCAAGCATTTTAAAGCCATGCTGAAAAAAAATTTTTCGAACCACATCTAATAACATCAGCTATTAGGCCCTTTAAAGTTTAGAAAAGACTCGTCAAGACAGGAAACTTTATCGCCTTCTACATGGAACCAAACATTGCTGAATGGTGCTCCGATAACCGATTAGAGAGTGAATCGGTTATTATCCTATCTGTTTGGCTTAGTTTTACTAGCCTTGCAGCTGTAGCTGGAAACGCCCTTGAAATGTGGTTGTTTTATAAACACGAGTCTTTAAGAACTACTTCAAACCGTTTTATAATCTCGTTGGCAACAGCGGACTTCCTCGTAGGGCTTGTCATAGCACCTGTGTGGATAGCCGTACGTTATGTGATTCAGCCGCAAGATACTAGTGCTTGGACCAAAATTTTGAACATGTTATGGGTATACACGACTGCGGCTACAACTTTTAACTTGTGCTGTGTTTCTGTGGACCGCTTTATCGCAATTTGCTTTCCTCTTCGTTACACATTCATTATAAACAAACGTACATGTCACTCTTCGATCATTTCAGCTTGGGTTGCTTCGATATTACTGCCGTTATCTTTGATATTCGTAAGCGAGGAAAAAATGGGAATGATGTTATCGGTTGCCACGTTTTTACTGCCCACCATAATCGTTGCCTTCTGCTACGCATGGATTTTTAAAGCTGCAAGGAGACAGATCAGAAGAATACGAGAAAACTCTATCGAGAACAATACTATGTTTAAGGCCAAACAGAACTATAAAGCCCTAAAAACAGTAGGGTTTGTACTGGGCGTATTCATCGCTTCATGGATGCCTTGTTTAGTCGTCTCCATTGTGCACCAAGTGAAAGGACATGATCCTTGTTTAGATGGCAGATATTTTATTACTGTGTGGCCATGGATTGAAGCGGTTGCTTTTACGTCATCAGCGATCAATCCATGGATCTATTGCTTCCGAAACACAGACTTTCGCGAGGTTTTAAATCGTAGGTTTAGTTGGTTTCCGTCGTGAAAATTGTGAGATACAAAGTTCGTTGGATAATCTAAGAGGAAGATTTCTGTTCTCAACCCAGATAGCTAAGACTAAAAAGAGGGCCTTTATTTTGCCTTTGCAAATGTATGGCGCATAATACTTGGCTAAAAAAGCCGTAGTTTATAACTAATAGCACACACAAAAATTGATCTTGAAGTAGAAAGTATGTTTAGCAATACCAAAGGCGACTTGTGAATTTCGAGTCAGAGAATTACCATAGGAGATTCCTTTCTGTTAATGACCAATACATACAGCTATTTAAAAGATAAGGTAAATGTGACAAGTTATTATCTAAAGCATACGAACTTGGTTTGAAAACTAGTATTCGTAATCAGTTTCCTACTCGTACACCACCGCAAGTGCTTTTTTTCTTTTAACTAGAAGCGCCGGCCACGAAGCAAACTCGTTAAAAAAGTGCAGCTAAGTCCGGGCTTTTAAAACTCCGTGGAGCCATTATCACTCACTCATGGTGTCTTTATGCAACTTACTTAACTTAAGTGTTAACTCACTTAATAATAACATTACAACTTGAAATGCACAAATCAGCCTCTCTTTTTGGAAGGAAATCCATTTCTGTTTTACTGAGACGTAAACGTGATCACTTCATAACATCACGCCAAGTTAACTTGTCACAAGCTCTTGACAGTGTCCTTACTGGAAATTAATGGCACAGTTTTTCTTTCCTTACCCTGGCTGCCAGAGGCTTTTCATGCGCGGTTTCGGCCGAAGACGTGTCGGCCTTCGACTGACGAAGCTCCTTGTCGCGCGCTAGAAAAAACCTCTGGTACCCATACTTGCTCTCTCCTCCGCAGGGTCTTTTTTTTTTGTCAGCTGGAACACAGGGACCCCAAGCTCACGAATGAGAATTGTGTTGCGTAACAAATATTATAAGGCGTTCTATGGAAAATTTATCGATCGCTATTCAGGGCTTGAAAATAGAAATAAAAATAGATCAAAACTTCTTACCTTGTCTCCTTGTCTTGTTTGTGGTACGTTCTTAGCATTTCTGGCCGGTTTAGAGAGAGCAACAGTAGAACTAAAACTCACTAGAATCGCGCGGAAACGGCCAGAAATGCTAAGAACATACCACAAACAAGACAAGGAGACAAGGTAAGAAGTTTTGATGTATTTTTATTTCTATTTTAATGCCCTAAATAACGTTCGATAAATTTTCTATACAAACCGTTATAATATTTCTGTTACGCAACACTATTCTCACTCGTGAGCTTGGGGAACCTGTGTTTGGAACTAACTGCCAAGAAGACGTGCGGTAACCCAGAGGAACAAAGCATCGCGTGAAGAATATCAGATCGCTAAATTAATAACAGAGCAAAACATACAATTCTAAATACGAACAACGAACTGCGGAAGTAGAACTTTTATAATCAATTTTTTCATTCGTTCTTCTTAAGATTGGGGGGTCAGATGGCAAATTGTTTTTCACGCCTTTTGATATGGCACGCGGCATAATTTAGGAGCTCTGGTGTGGCTCTTTTAAAATTTTTATGAAACAAAATGAAAATAATGGCATCTGCGCAAACGTTTCTCTTTATATGCAAAAATAATCTTGTCTCTAAGTACATCAGAACTTAATGCCTAAAACACATTGTCAATCAATACGAGCAGAATGGCAAAGAGGGCGCAAACTTGTAAATACCAGCTGAAATGAGCTGCCTCATTGCCTAATTTCTATCATTTACATGTTTTTTGTTCCTTGAAAGAAGGAGGGGACACCGATAATCTTAACTCATTTTTGTGCTAATTTCGAGCAGCACTGCTTATCTGGCCCGGGTGTAGGAGGCACAAAAGGACGTGAAGGGAAAACTAATCTAACAAAAAGAAAAAAAAAAAAAACACTTCAGTCTACCTTATAATGTCAAGTGAAAACGGAAGTTGTCAGTTTAAATGATCGCCAAGTGAATGAAAAATAATTAGGAGGTTCAAATGCCTTGTTTTACATCTTACGTTGAAGATGCAGGCCGGAAAGTGATTTGGCAGGTTTTACTGACTTGACTAGAGAATCTAAAACACAGTGCTGTTCATTGGACGGTGAGTGGTTCAAGAGCAGACATTTCTGAGCTTCTGCAACTGGATGATATAGTTTTAGTGGGCCACGAATCTTCCATCAAAAGACTCGTTTCTGGAACCGCATCCTGACTATTAGGTACTTAAAGACCTCAACAGAGGAGATTTTATCGCCTTTCACATGGAACCTAACATGAATGAGTCGTGCCCCGATAAGCGATTCGCAAGTGAATCGGTTTTTATCCTTTCCGTTTGGCTTAGTTTTACTAGCCTAGCAACTATTACGGGAAACGCCCTTGTAATGTGGTTGTTTTATAAACACGAGTCTTTAAGAACCATTTCAAACCGTTTTATAATCTCGTTGGCAACGGCAGACATTCTTGTAGGGCTTGTCATTAACCCTGTGTGGATAGCCGTGCGTTATGTGATTCAGCCGCCGTCTATTAGTACAGGGTCCGAAATTCTGGAAATGTTATGGATACACACAACTGCGGCTACAACTTTTAACTTGTGCTGTGTTTCTGTGGATCGCTTTATCGCAATTTGTTTTCCTCTTCGTTACAGACTTATTGTAACCAAACGTACATGTCATTCTTCGATCATTTCAGTTTGGGTGGCCTCGATAGTTCTACCGTTTTCACTGTTGTTCGTGAGCGAGGAAAATATGGAGATTCTCATTATAATACCGGCCGCCACGTTTTTGGTGCCAAACATCATCGTTGCTTTCTGCTATGCATGGATTTTTAAAGCGGCCAGGAGTCAGATCAGAAGAATACAGGACAACTCTTTCCAGAACAATACTGTATATCATGCTGTAAAGAACTATAAAGCCCTAAAAACAGTAGGGATGGTAGTGGGTGTATTTATCGCTTCATGGATGCCTTGTTTAGTCGCCACCATTGTGCACGAAGTGAAAGGAGAAGATTATTGTTTGTATGTTAAATATTATAATGCTGTGTGGCCCTGGGTTGAGGCGGTTGCTTTTACATCATCAGCAATCAATCCATGGATCTATTGCTTTCGAAACATCGACTTTCGCGAGGTTTTAAATCGTAGGTTTAGCTGGTTCCCGTAGTGAAAATTGTGAGATTCAAAGTTTGTTGGTAGTCAGTAAGGAAGATGTCTGTGTTCAACCCCAAATAAACAAAAACAGCCTTATATAGTGCATAATAATCGGCTAAAAAATCCGCAAGTTTAAAAGCACACACAAAAAAATTCATCGAAAGTGCTACTTTGGACTTTCGAGTCAGTCAACTGCCTAGGACGATCATCTTTCCTGTAACGACCAGTACATGCAACGATTTAAAAAGTTTAAGGCTAATGTGACAAATTATTAATTAAAGCATATGAACTTGGTTTCAACGCTCGTATTCGTAATCAGTTTCCTACTCGAACTCCAACTGCACGTTTATTTAACTGAAAGAGAAGGCCACGAAGCAAACTCGTTAAACAAGTGCAGCTGAGCCAGAACACAGTAAGTCCGGGCTTTCAAAAATTCGTTAAAAAAACGTTTAAGGCTAACGTGACAAATTATCAATTAAAGCATATGAACTTGGTTTGAACGCTCGTATTCGTTATCAATTTCCTACTAGAAGCGAAGGCCATGACGCAAATCGTTGCAAAAATACAGGTGTGCCAGAACTTGGTACGTCCGGGCTTTTAAAACTCCGTTGGCGCCCTTTACGCGTTTTCAAAATGTTAACTTACTTAATAACAACACTGTAACTTATAAAGCACAAAACAGCATCGCTCTTTCGACGGAAAATTGCGTTTCTGTTTTGCTAAGAGATTAAACGTGATCATTTCACTACAGGAGTTTTTTTCATTACAGCAAAATTTCTACGGCAATTTAACTTGTCACAAGCTCTTAACAATGTCCTACTGAAAATGACACTGTAATTAAAACGCTGTTTGAGTGCTGCGGAGCAAAGATATTTGTGTACGAACCACTTCAACGTCCATCAATTAGATACATAGAACGCGCCATATTTCTTTGAAGGGCGTGATGCCTCGCAACTGTGTCAATCAACCTATTTCAAAGAACAGACACAACTACTTCGCACTTTTTACCTTGAAGACACTTTCCACCGTGTTTTACTCAACGATTAAGGAAGAAATACAATGAACTTGGTTGAGAAAGTATCTTTCAACATATGAACGGGTTAAAACGAATTACATCGCCATAGGGCTAAGGTGAGTTTTGAACTTTCGCAGGGTGGAGTGGAGAAATGCCTGGGTAGGGCATTCTCGAGGTTTTACGTGGATAACTAAACGTTTCGTGGAATCTGCCCACCTATCCCTCCCCTAAGGCAACATTTTGCCCTCAGTAAGAACTAAGTGTTAATGTTGGCATAGGGCAGGGGTAGGTGGGCAGTTTCCCGGACTTGCATCTAGTGAATTGCACGACGAGACTGTCTGTGGGAAAAATGTTGGCCAAGACTCGCGCCAGCGCGCAACGTCGAAAAGGTCAGTAGAAGAAGCAGTGTAGAGGCGACAGCGTCCCCCCCAAAACAGTATCAAAGCGCAATTTTCTCCCATTTGAAATCCGCTATCCAAGTTCCACTGAAAAAGAATCTGGAATCCAATACCTGAAATCTTAAATCCATGGAGTGAAATCCAGAATCCAAGAATGTTTTGGATTCCCTTACAAGAGGATAGCAGTTAGACGAGATACCTACGTGGTCTAAAACCTCGCTAACTCAAAATACTGATAACACACTAATAAACCACCAGGAGTTTTTTTTCACGTGAGAGCTAGACTGCCCACGCCTCACGTCAGAGAGTACGTGGAAAATATTACAAGCATTTTTCAGGAACTTCTGCGAGCCGTCTATCTAAAACTCACGTTTTCAGTGAAGTGTTTCAAGATTCCCTTGAAAGACGGTAGCGCTGAACAACGAACCATTTCAGCCCAGGACTTTTCGGTCAACCAATCAGAGGCAGGGTTTGGGAACTTGTTCTCCAGGGCAACTCCTCCCGTCAGCAGAAACCGCCACTCTTGTTCATCAATTTTACCGCTGCAATTGAAGGAAAATGATATGTTATAGAGGTTTTTGTAAGGACCAATCAGCAAATACCCTTCGCAGCTCATTGAAAGAGCGCCTTACGATTAGCAAAATTTCCAAGTTTGAAGGTCAACAAAGAACTGCAACACAAAGTGGAAACCTTAGTAAGAGTTGGAGGTCTTGAAGCCGAGGATCAAAATATTAACGCTGTCTTTTTAACAAATTTAAACAAAGTGACCATCCTTTGTACCGCTTAAATTACTCCCTACACAGTAATTTTCAAGGAGTTACAATAACTCCTCTAGTGGGGCTAATTTAACTCCTTACAGTGGAGTTATTTTTTGGGGAGTTATTTTAACTCCAAAAAGGAGTTTAAAGAACTCTTTTTCAGGAGTAAAAGTGACCCCAGATATTGAGGAGTTAAAATAACCCCCCAAAAAGGAGTTATCCTGTACCTAAAATTTTTACTCCACTTTCAGAGTTAAATTAACTCCAAAAAGAGTAAAAACAACCCATGTAAGGAGTAAAAATAACCCCATTTCGGAGTTATTTTAACTCCAGACTGGGAGTAAAAAGAACTCTTTTTCAGGAGTAAAAATGACCCCAAATTCGGAGTTAAATTAGGAGTTAAAGTAACACCCAAAAAGGGGTTATCCTGTACCTATAATTTTTACTCTATTTTTGGAGTTATAATACCTCCCTAAAAATTACGGTGTAGGTATAAAGAATCATCTCCGCGCCTTAGGAATAGAACCAGTGTTAGTTCCGACGAAGCCACGATGCACAAAGCACCACATGTAGCTTGTGCTCTACAATATACTCAAAAAAAGTTGAACTTAAACAATTGTGGTTTTTTCCAAGAGTAGGTGATTGTTACCACTTTCCAGGGTGAGCGATGAATGCCTCCTACCTGCCCCTTTGAATGCCAATACACAGCAGAAATGAAAATAAGAGCTTGTCCTTCTCAAACAACGATCGGCACACGTTTTTGTAAATACTGAAAAGAAAACAAGAAGGAGATACAGTGAAGAAACAGTCTAATCACAGAATAGAACTATACAAGTTAACTGTTTGACGGCAGTGAATTTTATTACCAGGAAACGGCTTGAGACCATTCAAGTCAGGTTTCACTTTCCAATGGAAATACAGAGGATAATAATAATAAATAATGAGATATAACATTTCAATACACAGGGATATAGATAACCGAAACTAAAGGATATATTAGTGACGGAAGTTGGAGAAACTAAAAGTTTTCAAAGCTAACTCCCAAAAAATGAAATCAAAAATTCTATTTACAAGGAAATTAATTATTATAAGTTATATATCTTATTGCTGCGACAAAACAGACAGTTATCTAACGTTGAGTTTTACCTTTAAGTTAATAGAGTTTAGCGATGTAGTACGAGAGAAGAAAAGAAAACTAAAGCCTCACTTCCAGATAAAGGCCAGGTCACCTAGCCCCAACTGCAAATTTGACTGATATCATGACAATAGACCCTTGCAAGGTTTTTTCAATTTTTGACGTGGACCAGTTGGGGAAAATCATTCGACATCACCAGAAAGAGCGCCTTAATATAAGTAAACTTGCCAAGTTTAAAAGTGATACGTCTTAAGCGAGCGAAGATATAGCACCGCAAAGTTGCTAAAATTTAAAGACGCTTGTAAGATGGGGCTACCCTGGGTGCAAGAGACTCTTCTAGCGTGGTTTCCGGTCTTTGCCGCTCGTGGCTTCGGCCAACGGCCGTAGATGTGTCGGCCTTCGGCCAACACCGAAAATTTCCGCCGCACGCGAGAAAAACCTCTGGTGCCCAAGGTAAGATGGGGCACACAAGCGTCTGTAAAATTTCGCGACTTTGAGGAGGGCCGAGCTATATCTTCGCGAGTTTTCAACAAACCACTTTCAAGCTTGGCAATTTTACTAATTAAAAGGCTCTCTTTCCAGCGCAGTCGACGGCTTTTCCCTAAAGTTGGAAAAACCGTGGAAAGGTCTATTATATTTAGTCTCCTCATTTACTGCCAGCTACGAAAAAGAGAGAGAATCTCGGTTTGCACTTTTGGAAGTCGTTCTGCGTGAATATTGAAAGATAATTAAATCTCACCTGTAGGTAAAATGATCGTTTAGATTTATGATTCTTCTTGAAAGATCTGAGGATGGTTCGCTATTTATGATGGACTAAAAACAGAAAAAAAAAACACAGAAAATTAAGAGAAGAATTTAACAAGCAAGTAATTAATTGATAAAGGTTTTTTTTAATAACTTAAAGCTACATACAAACAGAGGCAACAACTCATAAAATTGTTGGGAGTTGTTGCGTCCGTTTGCACGTAGCTAAGAGTTTGACCAGTTTCAAACTTTGCGCAACAACTTCCAACAACACGCAACAACATGCAATAGGGTGTGCAACCGGACGCAACATGTAACATCCAATAATGTTGGGTCCGTTTCATTTGCGCAGTCATATTGAGTCAAAAATTACTTCCTCCGTCAGTATCATCATTGAACATTCGTTTTTTCATCAATTACTAAAAAGAAATAAAATCCTCGCACATAAAGCATTCACTAGCTAGCCTGCACCACAGACGATGAAAATAAACCTGTGGTTAAGTCCGTCAGCAGGTCTGCGAGCCAGCGCGGAAATCCTTGCTTTGGCTCCCTATCCGTGTACCAGGACTTGAGCTCGAGCCATGGTCGGCCTGTTAAAACAGGCATTATTCAACTGACCAATTAGAGCAGGAAAATTCAAGTCGCAATTCCGGTAACTCGTTGAGTCCATTGGGGGGCCCAAAACAAGGACCTCGGCGTTGCTTCGCAGACGTTACTAGCAGGGGTTAGATTACGTCTGCGAAGTAGGCTAAGCGGATCAATTTAGGTTTCTAGGAAACTGACCACCCACCCCTCCCCTAAGTCAACATTATCACTTACTTCTTACTAAGGGCAAAATGTTGGCTTAGGGGAGGGGTAGGTACGCAGTTTCCCAGAAACCTAAATTCATCCGGCTAAGAATCCATTCGCGTGTTGCGTTAGATACCATGAGACTTCTTTGGCAGTTTCCGTTTTGATTACGAAATACCAGGAGTCCATTTTTTTGCGGTAACTTATTTGTAAGATTCTTTAACTCAAAAAAATTCTAACAAAACAGGGGACTTGCCTGGAGGTATAAGTTAATAAACCAGGTGAGCGAGTACTGATACATTGGTTCAATGTTGGCCAGGTCAGATATGGTGAAGAACAGGATACTGGAGTGTTGGGCCACCTGGGAAAGTAACACATATGATAACATTTAATAAACAAGGTCTCTGACCTATAATATGTAATCAGTGGGTGAATGCTTTAAACTGCACTAATTTGCAATACTTGTAGTTGGCTTATAACAATCCTGAATTGGTACCCTGGAAAATAACTGCATCTCATCCTTCCCTCCCCTTTCCTCCTCTCCCCTCCCCCACTCCCAGCTGCGGTAGCGTTAATCGGGTAACCTTGCCATTCCCTTGACAAAAACAATGTAGAGCAAGAAAAGTGATAGTTGGCCAGTCCGATTGGATTCGTTACTTGTACATTTCCCATAATGCACCTTATTCCCCCCCACCACCCCCTCCCCCCCCCCAAAAAAAAAAAAAAAAAAAAAAAAAATTTGCATAAGCATTGTTTTTCTCTTGGGACGGCTGTAATACCCAGGAGAAGTGAAAAACAGAGGTTGTGCAAAATCTTGAGGGGCAAATAAGATACATTATGAGAGATGTCCAAGTGGCGAATAAAGATCAACTTAACCTGAAATACATAGAACTAGGAAAACAAAGCGCAAATGAAGATTTCAAGTACGGCTTACAGGTTTATAACCACCCCGAGTCTTATCAATTTCTTCTTCAGTCTTTGAGGCGATTTCCTGTTTAACAGAGATTTCTTCTGACAACTTCTTGCTGGATGACAACACCTACAAAATAATAAATGAATGAAAAAAAAAGTAAACGTAATGTTTTAGAAAACTCAGTCCATTTGGTGTACGCAAGAAAAGGCCTATGCCAGTAATCCATGTACTAAAATTAGAGCAAACCCAATAGACAACAATTACCATCTTTCATTGGACCAAACTGATTCTGTGTCGTCCTATACAGGGCTTTAGATTGCGAGGGGACCGGCGTGCAAACATGTAAAACAGTTACATCTTGAAAGTAAAGGGGTTTAAGCAACCAGAAACTAAGGCGACAAGGGCGAGAACAGTACAGAACAGTTGAACAACATATTTCAAACAAAAGCATGGGTTCTCTTTAAATAATAACGTCAACGTCTGATGTTAAAATCCGGAGCTCTCAGTATGTTTTAAGAGTGTCAAACTGTAGGCGGATGGGTACCTCGATGGCTGTCTCGTCCTCCAGTATGTTGCCTTCGCTGGTTGAAAGCACCTCCAGAATCTTATCCTCAATCTCCTTCAGCTGTTTCTTGTTCTTGGCGCTCTCGATAATCAACTCGTTCTTTTTCTCCTCCAATTCAGGCTTCTCCTTGGCAGCTACAATTCCAAGCAGCTGATCCTCCAGGCCGAGAGGGGTTATCATGAAGTTTAAAAGGGTCACCTGTGAGAACATGACAAGAGTTACGGGCATACACAAAAAGAGCTCGTCTAAGATTGGGGCAGGCTAACAACCCGACGGAACTGGGGAAAAGGCTCTTTACTAGTATTCCCTTCCCTCGCTTGGCCTACATTACCTTCAATCAGGGACAAAAGTAGTTGACACACTTGTCTAAAACACCGCTTTCATTAACACTTTCTTTCCTTTTACATACGACTGTATTTAAAGGCCGTAAATCCCCCCACCCCTAAATCAATGTTGTTTTCAGTTGAAGAAAGACTTGATGGTATAAAATACAACATTGATTTCGCGAGAAGGGGGTGGGGGTACACCGGGGGAGGGGATAAGTATGCGTACAATGAAAAATGGGGCCATTTTACAGAAGTGTGTCAACACTTTTGTCCGTCATTGTTGCTCGCACAATATGTTCATCGGCTGTAATTTCCAAAAGGAAATATCTAACATTCTAGCTTGATGTACAATAAATTATAACTGAAAAAGGATCCCATTTCAAAGCAACAGAACTCCGTTTTAAAATAAGCTGGAAATCCGAGCGCTGCAGCTGAAGTTTCGAAGATTTCGTCAGTTGTGTGTTTCGTAAAAATTCCAAACTCCGTGAGAATATTGAAAAGTGGTGTAATTCGTGCAAAAACGTGTCTAAAAATGACTTTTAAAAAGACATCGAGTACATGTGAAGTTAGAGATAGACTCGCTGTCACACAGTAACAGAAAACGTAAAACTACAAACATAAGAAGCGCGCTTTACTGGAGGCAAATCGGTGTAAAAATACGATGTCTAGTGTAACGGCGATATTCATTCGTAGCTTACCTTTACTGACACCTCAGGCAAATAATGTGGGTTTCTCAGTTTTGTAGTGATGTAAAATCTAAAGTCCTGCAAAAGAAAATACGAGCTAAGGCAAAGTACTAAGAAAACAAAACCAACATTAAACGTAAATAAATTCGACAATAAACACCTACCCTGCTAAACTCCACGACATGATCACCCATGCGCAGATATTCTACTCCACCCTAAAGAAAAGCATACGATGAATTTGTATTTCTTCGCTTAACCCAAATAATTTGATAAGCTATGAATAAAATGCAACGATAACGTGCATTGGATGCAAAGAAGAATAGGAAGCTTAAGCAACCACAATGACAAAGAAAACGCCAAAAAGCAGTAGGTTTAGATTAGCAAACCTACAACTTTGTACCTGCATGACGCTATTTTGTACATTTCGTCAGTTTCGTTGCCTGACGACGAAGTGAAACCATAGTAAATAGATTGGAATGGTCACGAAGCCCGCCAGACTTCTTTTTTTATATGCTTTTGTGGATTTGACGGTATACAACGTTGAATGGCGTTCCTATCATTATGATCTTACTGACCAACAGAAACGTCGCATCAATTTATTCCGTCACAATTTGCCAAAAGAAAACAAAGGATTGTGCAGCTTCAGGGAGCTTCCAACATGAACTGCAGTACTATCGTTTTCATTTCTGATGTTTGTTGCCTTACATAACCAGTCTCCTCTAACAAGTATGGTCAAACGTCCTACTTTTACGTTAAAGAGGACGTGAGCACAACACAAAGATTTTCTTTTTCTTTTCCCTAACTTAGATACACTTCGTTCGAATGGGCCAGTTTAGAATTATCAAAATTTAAACTTGGCTCCGAGGCTGAAGGGAATAGAACAAAAGAAATGAATTATTGATCTTTTGTTTTACATTTCTCAGCTTCGGAGCCAAGTGTGAATTTAAGTTATTCGAAACTGGCCTATTCAACCCCTGAAAAATTCGCCATCATCTGACATACTGAACTGGGAGATGGAATAATAGCCATGAAGTTTGAAACAGCGCGAACTCGCCTTCTTTTGTACCCGCCGCCATCGTGGTTACTTAAGCTCCCTATTAAATTATTCTAGCACACCTGTTTAAATGTCTGTTTCAACAAGATTGGTTCCAGTAGAGGATCCAGTTCTTCTCCGACATTCTCCAACAGAACAGGTGTACCAAACTTCAAAATACAATTTTAAGACCCATGAGTAATCAATAAAGATAGAAGGAAATCGTCACCATCAAAAAGCCCGCATACCTTCATGTACCTATTCGAGAATCTTTGTCCAATACATGATGAGTGAGAAGTTTTCCGTCTACCATCCAGACATACCAATAACGATATAAAAAAATTCGAATTGCTTGGGTTTTTACCCTCCCACTTATCGGTGTCTGGACATAGGACGAAACACTTCTTCTACTGTTTGATAGGTAACATCAAGATTCACATAGCTTAGTAAGTCTGACATGCATTAACGTACCATCAGGCACATCCAAATCGATCTATCATTGCAAATCAAAATTTTTTAATTTGGAAAAAGTGCGGCAACACAATCGAAAAGCTACGAGTGGTATTCTACTATGCAGCTGTCTAGTTCTAAACTGGATGTTACTAAAACGGGGAACGGGGAGCGGGGAACGGGAAGCGCGAACGGGGAGCAGGGAACGGGGAAGGGGGAACAGGGAGCGGGTAACGGGTAAGGGGAACGGGAAAAAGGGAGCGGGAAACGACCACCCCCAAACTTTGCGCTTTGCTTTTGTAAAAAAAACTGATGCCACAATAAATTCCTCGGGGCATAAACAATAGCACAATGGAAGTGCGTTCGCGTTCATTCACAAAACAATGAAGTTTACCTGTAAAGAGTTTTCCAAGGTTCGGACGTAGTTCTGATCTGACAATTTGATCACCTACAAGAAAAGTTTAAAAAGTTACAGTGCAAAAGTGACCCACATAACCTTCAAAATGATACTAAAAAGAAAGGCTTGCCATCTTTTAAAGGGAACCTCCACTCTTACTACAGAATAAGTTTAAATCGAATAAAATTATGTTGATAAACAAATTTGTTCGAAATTTGTCTTAAAAAAAGTGTTTATATCAGGAAAAGTGAATTTTATAATCGCTTATTTTCACTTTCAAATTTCGCGGGCGCCGCCATCTTGAATAATTGTGACGTGTTACGGTTGCTCTCTTGTTCTGACACAAAGAGCTTTTGTTTAATAACAATAGGGCAACCATTACACGTCACAATTATTCAAGATGGCGACGCCCGCAAAATTTGAAAACAAAAATGGGCGAATCTAAAAGTTATTTCTTTCGGATACAAACGCTTTCTTTAAAAATATTTTAGATTGACTTGACTGTAACAGTTATTTCCTGTGATTTATAGTTATCTTTTTGTTGAAGTGGAGGTTCCCTTTAAGAAGGTGATCTGAACAAAGTAAGACACAAAGATTCATGATCAGGTGCTTCAAACAATTCCCCTTTGTTTAGAGTGAGTCGCTTTAATTCTCCGCCAGTTTCATTTGAAATAAATGTTTAAATTAATGTCAAAAAAGAAGGCGAGTGGTTCATGAGCCAGGCACTGGGCAACAGAAACAGCATTCATCTGCTTCCACGTGTTTGGAATCCGTGGTGAAGCACGAAGCCCGAGTTTTTGACACGTTATAAGAGTTTGATCTCAGCTGAAAAACATGTTTCATCTGAGATCTGGTGGTGTTTTATCTGCTGTTTCACTTGGTACAATGTATCAGGAGTCCTCCACCAAACCCAAATGGTCGTCATTTATTGGCTTTTGACGACATGAATAATTAATGAGTTTGAGAATCTTTGATAATTTATCATTGTCTCTTTAGGGTCCATTGCAGGGAGTGGCTAATAAACAAATGAATAAATAAATAAACTAGTTACAGCTATCGGTAAGTGCTAACGAGCAAAGATTTTACCTATACGCGCGCGCTGATCGGAAACTCGGAAATAGCTTATTAATAAATTTGTACCCAGGACTTTTAACGGTTAAACCACCGAGGTTGTGCAAATACTTTTGTGGACTGACCTGGAGACTGTTTGGTTTCTCCATGTTCTTGATCCACTTGTTTGCTTGGCCCTGTGGATCGATCATCAGAGGCCAGCGGTGCGAATTGGTTACAATAATTGCGTTATCAAGCGAAAAACTGAAAGTGGAAACCACAAAACAAGAATAAGAACGAATCGAAGCTGGAAAAATCGTGGCTTAAAAGTTCTCTCGAGATATACAGAGGATACTAAACGGCTATGCGGAGATACAAAATGTCTCTTCCAGCTTCGAAACGGTTTTGATATTTTCAAGCGGCCATGCGATGTTCTATTTACTATTTTTATACTACTACATGAGAAATTTCTGCAATATGATTGGCTTAGAGCAGTGGTATTTCAGCTTAATTTGAAGTACCTACATGTGAAAATTACAAAACTATTGCGGGCAGTAGTATAAACAAATAATAGCATGATTTGTACGTGATATTTGGCATAAATACCACTCGTGATATTTCAATATTGTCTCAAATTTCACTCGCCTAACGACTCTTGAAATTACGTATAACAATTTCGAAATATCACTCGTGGTATTTATGCCAAATATCACTACAAATCATGCTATTACCTATACAAATACCAGTGAAATACCAAACCATTCCACTTTAATGATTTTTTTCGCTATCCTGATGTATTACAGTATGTAAAAGAATTATGAAAAGAGAGTAGTACACTAAAAGTTTGCATTTGTGTTTGGGATATTCGTAAAGTAAATTTAACCCTTTCGCTGCCAAATGTGCCCAAAGGCAAATTTCCACCAAATTTGCAAATTTCATTTTCTAAACTTTTGAGAAACAAATAGCACCATGTGTAAGTACAGGCAGAGAGCTTTCATCTGAATGGTCACATCATAGGATTTCGTCTGCAGACTCAAAAGTTAGAGTCGCCTTACAAAACTCCATCAAGTACTAGGACAGTGAAGGGGTTAAGTCAAAAATAAACAAAATCCTTTGGTGTCTTACTTGTCGACAGGTAATCCAGCAATCTGCCAGGCTCGGGTGGACAAGGGATCCCCAAGCGTTGAGGAGAGTGAAAAGTTATCAGAGACTGGGACATTTTTCTCTCGGCACAGGCTCCACCATTCCTTGATGCATTCCTGAAAGAAAAATAGTTATATCTGTTTCGGAGGACGAATTTTGACTCACATTTCTGCGCAACCTCGCAAATAGCCAATCAAAGAAGCAATAGCGTCCCGCAAAACAGACCCATAGTGCAGTTCGACACTCCATCCCAGTCTCTCGCGTAACTTCGCGATGGCCAATCAGGCGGCTTCATTAAAAAAACAGCCCAACATTCGGTCTAACCTGTACTACTTTTAAAGACTCAAATTTTACCCATCTTTGTAACATTTCAAACAATTGAATATTTCGTTTTCTATAACTGCAACTCGCTAGTCGGAACACGACGTGCGAGTGGACGTTTTTTGAGATTAAGATTCAAATGTGTAATTTTGTTAGTTGAGCACTTAGTTTTTGTTTGCTTAACAGAAAGCAGGTAATTCTTCGCTTAAAAGTACAAGGCGCTATCGAACCGAAAATTTACCCGGCGCCTGCCATGCACTGCATCGTCGCCTAAACGGTAAGAACCGTTGTGTTGTTTCGTTCTCTGCGTGGGCCCAATACCAAGCGAATTTTCGTACTGCAAGGTTTTTCCGCGCGTGACATAAGCATTTGTGATCATTTATTTTTGTGAACATAAGCCACCTACTATATGTCATGCCGGTGTTAATGGAACACCAAGTTACCTGTCTAAATTCAACAGTAAATGGTCCGAGATAAGCTACAATGCCCCCAGACAACAACACATCACCGACGATATTATTATACGTCTCGCCAAGCTCCTGCGCCACCTAAAACAAAATAAATTCAAAACGAAAGTGTGCTTTGCAAAGTTATCTAAAATAGGGAACGGTTTTACCGTCCAGTAAGGTTAACTTTTGATTTTGAATGTCCAGAGTTTCTTTGCGGGTACAATTTTTATCATTGAACTTCCTGTGAAACATTTGGTCTGCGCAAAGCCTTGCCGCCTTTGCAATGTAAGGTATTCTTGGTAAAAATTTTTTCGCGGATTCATTGTTTCTTTTGAAAAAGACATTTTGTTTCTTAAATTCAATCCGAATTCAGATCCTTTTTCCCAGAGAAACACAGCCTAATTGTTCAACTTCAGATTGGACAATTTTACCATAACAACTTAAACTCTTTCAATTTTACGTTTTCTTTTCGAAATTATAAATGAAATTAAAGAAATATACCGCCCATTTCTGTTCGAGATGGATGTCCTGCAAGCCCACCAACCTGCGTCCAGCGCGATCGTTCTCCTCCCAGACCACTTATGAGTTTCTCAGCTCGCAACAGCTTCTGGGAACACAGGGCGATATTTCGCTCAAGTTCCTGCAAGAAACAATATCAGTGAGATTTTGTTCTTTGTACTTTTCATTCGTTAGGTCATTCCCACAACTCAACAATCATCGTTTAAATTGTTAGTTTGTTCGCTCATAGCCTCCTCCGCAGAGCGAGCACCACTGTTCTGTTCTGGATAGCACGGGTGGGAGAATGGGGAGAGAACAGGTAGTGACAGTGATAGCGACTCCTCGTCTTTCTATTCTCCTTTTCTAGTTCTCAGACTCCTCGCGGTCAGTGTAACCGTTACAAATGAAGTTGTCGTTGGAGGAAGCAAGCTCGTTCAGTTCAGTTCAGTTTATTCACACTTGTATATAATACTTACACTGTACACAGTAACGAAGGAATAAAATAACAGATAAAAGAAAAAAAGAAAAGAAAGACATTTATGGCTTTGATAGAAGTGTACGGTGGTGAGAGGAGTTTAGCTTTCGAGCTAACCACCGCTGTATGTGCGCTAGGTGCCATAGAAATGTGGACGACGAGGTGAAACAGTCATTTATATTTAGTTAACTTTGAGCGTTAAGCAGAATTCGTTTGTATAGTTTTTGAACTGGTAGTAGCCGAGTGTTTTTCATGTTAGTAGGAATCTCTTCCCAGATTTCGGTTATGCAAACTTAAATGTGTGTTTGCCATAATTTGACGTCAAACATGGCACATGAAAATTGAGATTTGAGGCATATCTGGTCTTGTGTGAGTGAATATCAGACACGCTGCGACACAAGAAATAACAGAGAGAAAGGACAGTGAAGTGGACATACCGATATCTCAAGAATAGATACAATTGTTTCGCTCTTGAGACTAGAACAAAGATGGAATTCTACGACAGAGTCATTAAGAAAAAGCTGCTACATATCAAACCTGTTTCTTGTTGACTTTGGACTGGTAATCGTCATTTAAGTTCTGTAGCTTGTCCATCACCTCCTTTAATTCTGCACGCTTCTCGTTCAGATGCGACATCTGCTCAGCCAACATAGATTCAGCTTCTATCAGCCGCTTACGTTTGGGAGCGACAAGCTAAGCAAACAAAAAAAATAATAAGTCGAACCGACACCTAAATTATACGGACAAACAAAGTCTCCATGGAAGTAAAAAGGTTCATTTTTCCTGGCACTGTATCCTGCCTCGTCTCCGGTCGCTCACATTCGCTTACTAAATTAAGAAAACGCTATTTCCTTGCTCACTTTCGCCCTGAGAAAATCTCTTGCTAGGGGCAACACCTGTACCAACTGCATCACCAAAAATAAGGTTCTTTTTTTTTTTTTTTCAAGAAGTACAGTATGTTAGCGTTCCATTTCAAGCGACGATAACTTAAACATAACATTTTCCTCAGGCACATGCCACATGTCCACGTACGATACATGCCCATAATAAAGCCTCTTTAACTAGGACAGTTCCATTAGAATTACGTCACTTGATCACACACAATTTAAAAACGAAACGGTTACCTTGGCAACTCTGTCGTACACTTCAATAGCTCGGACCCATGAGCACAGCCCCTCGCACGCTGACGAAACGTTTTTGATGAGGGAGGGGTGAAAGTCTGGATTAGTAATGTACTTCTCTCTGATCTTGCGGATTATAGGGACAGGGATGTTTTCCTTGTCAAAGAGCTTCAGACTTTCCAAGAATTTCAAGTCGCCTAAGACCTACATGTCGAAGGGAGAGAAAACGTATTGTGGTTAAAAGATAGAAGATTTCATTTCATGGAACATCTTGCAGATTTTAGTTCCTTTTCTCTCAGACTCGAATGCCAAACAGTAGTCTCTCTTCTCCCTACTGACTTAAATCATTTTCGAAAGCGGATTGCGGCAAAAGCGTCCATTATCGTGTTTGAGACGACTAGCCTTACCCAGTTTTATTCTTCTTTTCCACAATCGCTCCGCTGCCAACGTTCTAGTTTTGGAACACAATTAGGTGTCTGGGAAACTACCCACCTACCCCTCTCATAACTCAACGTTAATACTTACTTCTCCCTCAGGGCAAAATGTTGGGTTTCGGGAGGGGCAGGTCGGCAGTTTCAGGGAAACCTAAATTGATCCCGAATATCTACCTTCAGTAGTCAACGGAGAGCAGAGCATTGCGCCACGAACAGTCATTGAGGACTTTCGTGCCAGCATAGACCAGGCAACAATGTCACGCCTCAAATTTTCACAAACACTTTCCTACTTTTGGCCCTTGGTAAATAAACTAAGAGCTCTTATTAACGGCTTAATCTTGGGGGGTGATTAACCTTTTTGGAAGACGCCCAGTAATCTTCAATTTGTTTACCATCAACCATCTTTTTCTCAGGCCGCACATTCTGTAGAAAAAATGAAAAAAAAATCAGTTACGAATTATGAACAAACCGACCACAACTAGAAAAAGACCATTTTTTACTAAGATTGAACTACTCAACTATCTACCTCCTTCAAGTTATTTCTGACTCGCTACCTTTCTAACTGTTCCGCTGGTCATCGTTTCATTCTTCAAGACTGCAGAGTAAATTGTGAAGCGCCATTAACTGCCTAAACGTAAACTGAGTTAAGTTTGAGAGGTGTCAGCAAAAAACTATACAAACCCTTCTGAACTGCAAGTGCTACAAAGGAAAGTAAGAAAAACCAGGAATCAAAGAGAAAGTTTTTTACCCCGGCTGAAGAGGATTGAACTCACAACCTATGGATTAGATATCTACCAGTGCTTTAAACAACTGAGCTACGAGGCCAATCGGGAACTAAGCCAGTTATTTAAGGTTATATAGGTGAAAAAGTCATCGCGGGTCATTTTTCAGTTACCTTCAGAATACAGATAGCCTCCATAACCATGCGCACACCAGCAGGAGGATTTGCCATGGATTTCACGAGTGAAATGTCCTGTTGTTTAAGGGTGTCCAAGGCTGAGACTGCCGCATTTAGTGCTGGCATGGCAACAGCTAACTGTTCCTCGCATTCATCCTAAATTTACGAGGACAAAAGAAGGCATGACCACTAAACGCCAGTCTTAAGTGTATCATTGTCATGCTACGTTTAAGAATAGTGACCCTTTAGGTCTGTCTATAAATACTGCGTAAAATCGACTTCTTGAGGTATTAGCTCAAAACTCCCTCGCTCGCTTTTTATAGCTAGTTCTTCAAATTACAACACTGCTTTTAAAAAATTACTAAGAAAAGGGATGACCACTAAACGCCAGTCTTATGCATATCATTGTCATGCCACGTTTTAGAATAGTGACCCCTGAAGGTCTGTCTATAGATACTACGTCAAATCGACTTCTCGAGGTACTAGCTCAAAACTCCCACGTCCGCTTTTTATAGTTAGTTCTTCAAATTACAGCGTTGCTTCTTTAAAATTTAAAATCTCACTTTACCTAAGTGGACCACAAAATCTACTTTTAGTTAGAAAGAATTTTTTAAAAAAATCGATCGACTCGCGCGTCCGAGTACAACTAGTTTCCTGTGAAATCGAATTTCTACCTCGGATCGATATTGACGCAAAGTCGTTCTAAGGCAGCAAACTCAACCTTACCTTGATAGCCTGAGCTTCCTGTGCAGCCGCGTTAGCCACAGCTTCGTCTGCCTGCACAACCTGCATTAAAAAACTCGTACATTATTTGTGCCGTGACGGTTATAGTCTCTGATTACCTATTTAATGGTTAACGTAAGGTACGTTTAGCCGATTATGCTTTCTCTGGACCATGAGTAGTAAAAATGTAGTAGTTGAAATGTTAAAGCAAAAGGTAGTCATAGCCTAAACATCAAACAAATCAGTAAACTATGAAGAGTCAAAGAGTATGGAGAAAGTTAAAAACCTGTTCTCAAACTCATTAACAATTCAGGACGAGAAAACAAATGTATCAAACACTCTCTCTGGTGTTTGATACACTCTAGTGTTTGAAAATTTGGATCTCGGCGTTTGAATATCTCATGAAACACTCCTCGTGTTTGGCACATTACTTCTTTTTACGGAAAATTGCGCGCTATAAATGTATCATTATTATTAGTAGTATTATTATTATTGTTATTATTCTCTTTGTTTGAATATAATATAAAATCACTACTTCTGATGTTTGATATTTTACTTTTCGTTCTTAGAATATTTCATAAAAAAGATCGGATAAACCACTCCTTCTCGTGTTTGATATATTACTTCTCGGTGTTTGGATATCGGATAAAATACTCCCTCTACTGTTTGATATATTACTTCCTGGTGTGTAGATATCGGATAAAACACTCGTTCTCATTTTTGATATATTACTTCTCGGTGTGTGGATATCGGATAAAACACTCCTTCTCGTGTTTGATATAATACTTCTCGGTGTTTGCATATATCGGATAGAACACTCCTTCTCGAGTTTGCCTGTAGTGCTAAGTTATATCGAAACCAACCTGTTTCTTCTCCTCCACCTCCACTGTTTCGCCAGCGATGATTTTTATTAGCTGTTCTGTCTCTTTACTTGTCTGGATCAATTCCGGTTGCAGCTCCTTTAACTCTTGTTGCATAATTGACACCTGTCAGTTTAAATTAACCGCTGATTAGAATGGTGCCAAGAGATATTCGAAAAGAAAACCACAGCCCTAAATGCATAGCCACTAGCAAAAAGTCAACTTCCGCCTACGGTCTGCGTATCCAATCGCAGTCGTAATATACCTGAAGCGCTAACTATTAACATACAGAACGAGGGAAAACACCGTCTATCTGGTAAATGAACAGTGTCAAATAAACATCTTTCACAACAGCTTCTACATTTAAATGGACAAACTTCTTTGATTACTTTTCTCTGTTTTTCCCTTGTTTCTGCCTACGCATTTAAAAACAAAAACATGACAAAGTAGCCGTGAAACCTCGATTAAGCAGTGCCTGCGAAAATTTCACGTAAATGAGTTAGCCTAAGTGAGGTTTGAAGTGAGAATCAAACTCGCCATGCTCACCTGCGACGAAGCGAAGTCGAGTTTCTCCAGTCCCTTGAGGTACCTTGTTTTTAGAGTCAGTATCTGAAATCGCTTTTTCCCAAGAAGTGACTTGAATGTTTTTATTAGCTCGAGATATGACGTTGGAGTGACGTAATTGCGTCTAAGAAGGACAGCATAATATCTGGAAAATTGAGCAAAAACAAAAAAAATACATGATCATTTAAAACTTCTGCCCCACTATCATTTAATGGACTGGGAAGACATACGCTTTATTTCAAAATGGTGGAAAATTTGATTAGTACTTTTGAATTCTAGCTGCAGATGCAATCAAGGCAAAGAGGGATAACTAACGTAGATATATATATAAAAAAAAGATATTGTCACCATCTCAATCCTCAAGGAATGAATTTGAAAGGTGGCCTTTGTTCACAAAATTGGTCGGGCCGATTCAGTTATTTTGCCCTTGTATTATTTGATTTGTTTTTGTTTTCGCTTTCTAGCCACTGTCCAAAAATGGCTGAATAACAACTAAACAGCGGTTACCTTTCTGACAGTCCTCGCACACTCTGATGAAAATGTTTGCAAAGTGAAACACATTCTCCTCTTACTTCCCGCGACATTTCAACCTCGTCCAAGAACTTATTGGCCACCATTTCCAAAGCGTCCTCAGGCCAGGCCTGCAAAACACACAGTGATAATGTTAAGGAGAAGTTAGTGGTGTAAACAAATCACCTGGCTGGAGTTTTCCAGGTTCACGGCTAGCAAAGAGAAGATGTTGCACTACTTCGTAGGTGCTTTCATATGCTTGTCAACCCTTTCAGTCCAGGATCAAGTTCGCGCCAAGATTATTTGACATTGTAACTTTTAAATCTGTGGACGAAATCCTATGGTGTGACGATTCAAATGAAACCTCTTCAGCAGTACTTTCATATGCTACTATTTGTTATGTACGTAGTTCTAACTTTTGAGTCTGTGGATGAAATCCTATGGCGTGACCATTCAAATGAATCCTTTTCAGAAGTACTTTCACATGGTACTATTTATTTAGCATGTTGTTCTAACTTTCAAATCTGTGGTTGAAATCCTATAGTGTTGCCATTCAATTGAAACTTCTTCAGCAGTACTTTCACATGTTACTATTTGTTTTGTACATAGTTCTAACTTTTGAGTCTGTGGATGAAATCCTATGGTGTTATGATTCAAATGAAACCTCTTCAGCAGTACTTTCACATGGTGCTATTTGTTATGTACGTAGTTCTAACTTTTGAGTCTGTGGATGAAATCCTATGGTGTTACCATTCAAATGAAACCTCTTGGGCAGAACTTTAGCATGGTACTATTTATTTAGTAGGATGTTACAATTTTGTTTCGTCACCAAAAGGACTGAATGGGTCAACACGCACAGGAGTCTGTCCTTGCACTATCCGTTTACAAACCTGGTCTGCAGAGCGGGAGGTTGTAGCTCTGATCCCCGGAGCCGAACCAATACTCAAGGTCTTAAAATAACCCAGGAAAGAAGGTACAGCCTTTGTCCTACAAACGGCTTATCCTTAGCGTGGCTCGGATGACGAGGTAAACATTGCGTCCCTATCACGGTCTCCAGTGGGAGACAAAAACCCTACTTTCATAAAGTAGGGTTTGTTAAAACGTCATTCGCCTCACCTGAAACCAATCGATGGTACAGCAGTTGATAAGGGAAGGGAACATTCGGAGCCTGTTTCTAAAGGCGTCTCCAATTGGACTCATACTCAACACCACGTGCAAGTTACGACGAACGCGCTCAATAAAAAAGTTATACATGGCTAATGGACTTGCATCCACTTTCAGGTTCCCCTCTTGAACAATGTTTTGCATCTGAGTGGAGAACAGAGTGAGAAGTTTACTATTTTACCAATGATCAATGCATTCTCGAAGGCTATGGAATTTAGTGCACCAAACTCTCTCGGCCAACCTCGTCGGCACGGTGTTTGATGTGTGTGAACGAGTTGTACCGCCCTCAGCCGTTGCTGTCCACACTATACCGGATAACTTTCCGTGGCGCCAAGAAAAGCTATCGGAAAAAGAAAAGCTAACGGCCCCGGGCGGTACAAGTCGTTCACACACATCGAACACCGTGCCAGCCGGCGCGGTTGGCCGAGAGGGATTGGTGCACTAATTTCCGTACTGATGACCTGTCACCATGGAGATCTGGGCAGGACCTCGAGCATTTTCGTTGCAAGCGGCCACCTTGGATTGAGAGGTACCGAGTATAGCCTGGGTATGAGTGTCAAATCTACTTAGGGGGGATGGGTGGAATCATGACGCCAGAACCCTCGGAATATTTGAAACCAAGATGGCCGTCCCGTAACGCAAAGCTTTCGATCTTGACGATCTTACGAAAAGAAAGGAGGCTATGAACTAATTAAAACTAAACATCACATTTTTCATATTGTGTAAAATATGTATTGCTTATAATCGTATATTTATTTATTTATTTATTTCAGTATTTAGGTATTTGGACGCAGTCACCTGTTCTGTGATCTCAGCTTTTTCGTCGGGCTCGTAAATATTTGGTACATCACCCGTGTTCAGGATCATGTTGATATCCTCGAGGAATGCTTCATCCTGTTGTCAACGAAAAAAAATCCGACAAATCCGCTGTTAGCCTCCATTAAAACACAAATGTCCACTAAACCCTGTACGTCATTTTTACCCAGCTTTTGAACAAAATTTTGGTAGTCACGTGAAGTTAAATCGCGAGGTTGCATGGGAGTGAAAGATAACATCGGAAACGTGTCGGAAGTCGTTCGCATCGCTGTCAGTCGCCTAGTTGGTTTTTTACGCCTCCGATGTAATATCGTTGTCAACCTGTTTGCTTGAAAGATAGATTTTGCCAAAGCGTAAGAGATTCTTTAGCGAACAAAATAGTGAGAAAATCATTGACAAAAGTATTGGATCAATGGCAGTTAAAATATTAAACGCTTACTTTTATCTGATGATCACCGAACAGAAACACGGTAGGAGCTCCATCAAAACCAGCCTTTCTCAGCATCTTCTTCACATCTTCTCTCCAGTCAGTGAACGTGTAAGTTTTGGTGATTTCAATTTGGAAGAGCTCGTAATCTGACATGAATGCAGCCAGTTTCGTAGCACTAGCTCGACCAGAACCACCGATTCCTAAAAACACATACAAAACATTTTGGAGGGTTTAAGCAGGTCCACAAGAGCCCACCTACGGATCCGTACACAAATGAACGATCCAAAACTATTTTTTTCGAAACCTAACAAATATCATAATCTCGTGAAGACTGTCGTAAAGAGTCTGTACGTAAAGTTTGAGCGCGTTTATAGACTCACGGATTCCGGCACGATTGACGTCAATCGTGAATTAACAGCTAACATCTTCCAAATTTGATCAACGATAAATGGTTTTTAATTGTAACGGGTGGATTTATGCCAATCAGAATTGGAGAAATAATTTGAAAGAATAATGATTAAAAATAGAATTTAGAATAAGAATACAGTCAACTATCGCCTTGCGGACACCTGGCGCATTACGGGCAACCAATTCGCGGTCCCGATGGTGTCCCTGAGAAAAAACTGCATGGCCAAGTGAGTGCAAATGTCGTCACGCATCAAAGCTCTTCTAGTGAAACTAAGACAAAAAACACTTTTGCGAACTTAACCTGACAGGGAAGGAGGTGAAAAACATAGCTGAGGACACGAAAAACCTTCAGAACTTTCGTTCATTTGGACGAAAATTGTTAAGGCTCTTTTTTGGGAAAAGTCGTCGTATTAATTTTTTCTTGTTTGCTATAAAAGAGTCGAAAAAAAAGGAAACAAAAAATTACGAGAGGTGTCACATAAATTTCACCCTAAAACAATGCAAGAAAGATCTAACTCTAATTCCCCAGAAGACACATTACTCGACTGAAGCTTTCACGTCCGACTCTTACCTACTAGAAGCGCATGCCCGTTGGGCTGGCGAAGAACTCTACAAATTCTAGACACGTGTTCAATGGCGAATCTGAACATGACGAGATCCATGGGAGCTTTGCTTGAAACGTTGTAATCCTCAAGAAATCCATCCATTACCTGGAGAGAAAGGATTTCAACGGTTTTGTTACATAGTGTTTTGCCAGTTGTCAAAGTCTGGTTTGTGGGGATGAATGATATCAAGCACCTTGTTGGATTAGAACCTCTCTAATGATTTTTTTTCACTTTACGAAAAAAGAAGAGGATTACAAAAAAATAACGTGCAGTGCGATTTTTTTCTCTATAAAACAAACACAATTTCTACCGTCATAGCCAAACTTAGCTACAAGATTGGAGCAACGAATGATGTAATACTAGGCTCTCACGGGAGGGGTCCGTGGAGCCTGGAGCCTGGAGACTGAAGCCTTACATTTTTGGGGGGGAGCCCAAAGTAGCAATCTGCGACAATAACACAGCGCTTATTATCATATGAAGAGATTAGTTTCTAAAGAAACTATGGTTTTGAGTGGGTGAGAGAAAAAAACACAAAAGTTTTCTTTTATGAATTGAGCTCTTAAAGTTGTGAATTTTTTACTTGGTCTGTTATTTTATCGGTAACTCAGTTGATAAAAACATATTCTTATCTGTCATTTGCTGCTCTGCTAGGTACTGGTTAACATATTTAGTGAATTACTGATGTGTGTCTCTACGAGCGCTGTAAACGATTGTTTTAACTTTTAAATTATGAATATATGAAAAAAACATATGACAACTGCGGGGTGAACAATTAGATGAAAGAAGATCATCGCAGTTATAGATGCAAATTTTGCAGTTGCGAAAAGAAAGCCTGAAAAAAATTCAGGCTTGTACGGGATTCGAAGTTGCACCGGTATCGCAGAGGTCAAGGGTTCGAATCCCGTACAAGCCTGAATTTTTTTCAAGCTTTCTTTTCGCAACTGCGAAAGTTGCGTCTATAACTGTGAAGATCTTCTTTCATATAATTGTTTCAACTTTGCTCGAGAAAAAAAACGAAGAAAAAGGCCAAATTTCCCTGGTGATGCAGAAGGAGCAATCACCAAATGAGCTGAAGCGAAATACCTTAAAGTTAAACAACACAAACATCTAGCGGAGAAATAAGGGCTTAAAAACCCATCAACGAAACGAAATCAAATGAGATCCAATTTCATTTACTCAATACATGACAAATTTTCTTTTTTTTTCTCACCTGCGATAAAATACATCAAATTTTCAAGGGAATTACATTTGGATTGGGTATTTCGAGTGATCAAGGGAATAAGCTGACACTAACTGTTTATATATTTAGACCACGTGTTAATTAAATGCTTTCATTTGACCCAAAGTTACCAAGTAACTTTGAGAATTACATTTAAAGTAAAAAAAAAAAAAATTGTAAACATGGCAGGTTATATTCTCAAGGACTGCCGTGTGGCAATTCTGGCAGGACTAAAAATGTTTTTCAGTTACAGTATTGCACCATTTCAAGCGGGGATTTCTTCTCACGGAATAAAACGATTTGGTAAGTACTTAAATGACCTATCAACGAGCGGTTAAAATTGGTGAAAGTTCAAGAGAGTTAAAAGCGATATATTTTTTAAAAGCCATCTATTTTCTTTTTTTTATTTGTATTAGAAACCATCACGACGTTTTATTAAACATAAATTGGCAAAGCGAGCTGGTTTGATTGCCGTCACGAAAAAAAAATCATTCAAAGACATTCAAACACAACTTGTTAACTCCAATTCTGAATAAGATCTAGTCTACTTAGCTTGTCAAGAGACTCCTTGATTGCCGAAACAAAACTGTGACAAGTAACAGTTCAAATCTACTTCAAACGAGTTTTTTTTCTGATGTTCTGGCTTTCCTTTACGACCCGCTGTCTCAGAGTAAAGATCATCTAAAATCAGAACTAGTAATAACCATATAATTAATCACTGAAAAGGTTTTAAACGTTGTACGTAACCTTCTAAATTCAAAAAGGCCGCCCTATGAATTCAGTTCAGGGTGTAAAATAAGCAAACAGCAAAGTGAAAGTACTGATGAAGAGGTTTCATTTTTATTATCAAATTACAGAATTTTCGCTATGGAGAGAAAACTTAGAAATAGCGTACAAGACAGATAGCACCATGTGAAAGTACTGCTGAAGTGGTTTCATTTGAAATGGTCACAGATTTCGCCCACAGACACAAAGTTAGCCTGCGAGAGCATCCGGGTTTTTTCGACTCAAGTTTCTAGTTTCACCCACGAAACTAGAAACTTGAGCCGAAAAAACCGGATGCTCTCGCAGGCTAACTCAAAGTTGAAAATATGATATATGGTTGCACAGTTTACTATGGAAGTAAAAAAAATACAGTCGAACTTGCATGTGCAATGGCAAATTATAAAACCGTCACCCCAAAAAGTAGTCCCGATCGCTTTCGAGAGGTGGTCGTTTACACGAGTTTCCAGCAATATGGCCTTGACTGGGAAAATTTTGTTGTTTTGGATATATGGTCGCTTGGGGGAGGTAATCGCTAACGAGACGAGGACACACATGCAGGTTCGACTGTATTTCATGCCAGTAACTGTCCACAGAACAAAAAACTCTTTTAAACGCTACTGGAGGCTTGTTATAGAGAACAGTGAAAGCGCGCAGGTAGTACCAGACGTACACCAGGTGGACTATTGCAGATTACCTGTACTTGACCTTTATATTGCTAGTTATCCGTAATTCAATTAAAATCGACTAATCACTTCGTCTTCGCGCAAGTCGATCGTTTATATATTTTTGTTTAAATGGTTATTTTTCATGCTTTTATTTACAGTATCTAGCTGCCGAAAGCCATCGCGTCAACTTCACATTTTTGGTCGGAAATTTGGAAAAATCCTATTCATTTTATTGCTATTTACCATTCTATTCTACGCGTTCTCGCGTCAGCATGTGGTGCTAACGAACTCCCTAACCAGACGTTCGAGAAATATTTATAATTTCTATAATTCAAATTGCTGCGTTGATATTATGCAAGAAATGCGAAGCGGAAAGTGGAAACCGCGCCGAGATATTCAGTCCGAGGATAAAATTCACAGAACAGAGCAAGATATAAGAATAAGAAAGCTTCGAGGTTTGCCAGTTAAACTACATAGAGAAGATGGGCGATGTGGAAACATGTTCGTCATAGATGCCCCTGATTTTGGTCCCAGTGTTCCTTCGTTGTGTGACCGTTACAGCACGACCCCCTGTTGTAATCACGAACTTGGGCGATGTGGTTCAGGAGATGAAAACTGTTTGTGCGACAGGTGTACCGATTTTAGAAAAACAGTAGACGCAGAGATGAGCGAATTTGTTGCTTCTTCTGGATGCGAGTTTCAAAATTTCACAAGCAAACAAGCTTGCCAGCTGTTGTCAGAGCGCGTTTCGAGCCTTTCCCTTATCGGTGATTCGTTGGTGAGGCATTTTCATAACGCTTTGATGATTACGTTTACAGACGACAGAGAAACAGGCTGCCTGGTTAAAGACATCGATGATAATGACCGACGTTTATGTTCAAGTGACATGCAGTTTGTGGATGGAGGCAAAGCTCTTTGTCACGGAAAAACTGCTAGAAAAATCTCTCAGTTGCCGAAAGGGAAGTTTTGTCGAGGAGAGCACAGCTTCCTATACTCTTTCCACGAGTTCTACAGCGTGGCACATATTAATCTAGTCTTACATGAAGTGCGGACAAATCTTCACAAGAAAAATTCTGTCATGGCGATCGGAGTTGGACTTCATATGGGTCTAGACCCGCACAAAGTCTTAAATGAATACCTTAAGCCAATTCTACAATTGAAACAGCAGGCTCAGAGCTACTGGCCAGTGGTTGTCTGGCTCACTACACATGCGCACGGAAGCCTCAAACCTGTTGTTTACCAAGAGTCCCAAGGCAACGAAAGAATATGTCGCTTTAATAAAAACATGAGAGCGTTTCTCGAGCCCGTAGGAGTTCCAGTGTTTGATACTTTTAATTTAACCCTTGGAGTACACAGTTACGATGGAACACATTACGGGTTTGGGGTGAACATGTTAAAGGCACAGCTATTTATCAATTTTCTTGATAAAACCCTTTTACTGTAGTCAGAATCTTGGCTTTGCGTCTGCGCATGAGAAGGGAACGCTGTTGGGTCGAATTGCATCATGGGATTGTTCAGGGACGAATTTTGACGCAGTTTCCCGCGTGAATTCGTAATAGGTAACAAAAGAAGCGATAGCTTTTAGAATCAGTCCCATGTGAAAATTTATTTCGCCTCATGTAAGGTAATCCAAGGCATTCTTAGATTCTGGATTCCACGCCGTGGATCGGATTCGTTGTCAGTGAAACTTGGATTCCAGATGCCAATCGCTAGTGGGATCCCGGATTCCTTGAGCTGTATTCCAGATTCCAAAGCCCATGGTTCCGGATTTCATAATTTCCCGAATTCGAGAATTCCGGAATCCGGTATCCCATAGCTGGGGCAATTTATTGTTTGCAGTCAACCGTTCGTACTTTTAGGCTGGATAAATTTATACATGACTTTTATACACACAAATTTATTTCCACTTAGATGAAAAAATATGTGTTAAATGGATGTTTCGAAGTAGAGAAAAAGGAAAACAAATTGGCGTAAACGAACCACAACAGCAAAAGGAGAAAGCCAGGTTTAAATTAAACGCCCTACATGATGATAACATCACCGAAAAAAACGGGTTTAAACTTAAAGAAATCAGCTTGGGAGTATGGATCTCCTTGATTTATGACCGGTCTTAAGATAAAGCTAATAACAAAAAAAGAAAGAAAGAAATAAGCCTCCCTATTCCCCGCCCCCCTGAAATGAAAAAATAAGAAACGCGCGACCAACAACGATAAACGCCCACACAAGGCCATTGTTTAAGAAACTACCAGCTACTGGTAGATGATACGAATTTTGAACGTTCTCGAACAGTCAGAAAATCGCCCTATTATAAGAGAAAGTACTTACCACACTAAGGCTTTCTGTGTCTTGTATCTCATCGTACAGACGAGGGTTCGCCTTACGATCCATGAAGTCACCGAAAAATAAGCTGAGGATAATAGAACTGGTTTTAGAACATTGAGGTTACCTTAAAGCTACGATAAAACCGGCAACAAAAACGTGCAATTGCAACATTGCTGCAGAAAGTGTTGAAAGGCGATGTTGCGTGTTCAGTACCACCTACGTTCAAACCTGTTTAGCAGCAAACAAAGGTTGCAGCAAGTGGCGTGAATACTGACTTCTGATTGGATAAAATTACGCGGGAGTCACGCTATACACAGGATTTACGTCACTTTGTACAAAACAAGTTTGCCTTGGGCCGAGCTTCATTTGGCGTTATGATTCGATCAAGGAGTCAAATAGGCCATTTTCAGAGTTCCAAAAATTCTCACTTTCAAAACGAGGCTAAGTGCAAGACCTTTCTTGTGAAAATGAGTTTACTTGCATAAGAATTAAAAATCATTTTCATATTAATGGCTTCGCACTTAGCCTCGCATTAAACATTAAAACAGAAGGTTGGGGCAACTCAGAAAAGACCTACTTCGCTGCCGGATTGGCTTTTGAAAATCATATGGTGAAATTTTAGGTTAACGACACAAATGAGACTGGCGTTGGGAGAAAACGTTACTTGGACATTCCAGAAACATGCCCCTAGAAGGAAATAAGTACAATAACACCCAGGAGAGTCACTGGAAAGTTTACCTCCTTAAACAATCATCAGTGACCACGCCTCCTCTGCCAGCGAGATGTTCAAACACATTATTCATCTTTTCCTTGAACTCAGACGCCATGACATTCTATAGTTGATAAAAAAAAACGCCAATGAGTCAACAAGAACACCTCACTCTCTCAATATCAACATCAACATTCTCCTCACTGTTCTTCATACATTTCTTGAGATAATGCTTGAGAGAATTCGTTCAACCATCAAGGCATTTCATCTTGTGTGATCAATTGATTTATTCTCATGACCTGAATGCTGATCAGGCAGTATTACTTATTGGAGAAAGTGGATGTTGGTCACTATTGTAGCTTAAAGGATTAATACGTAAGAGCCTCCTTAACGACAGATGCTAAAGCCTGCAATGTAGAGGTGTCAGCGGACTCGGAGTCTTAATTGAAATCGTAAGAGCGCTTATGACTGACTAGTGAAAACCAAGCATCGGGATCGAAAGCGGAGTGTCATAAGCTGGAATGAATCCCATGGTGGGGCGTGCGGGGGGCACTCAAAGAAAGTTTTAAACTACGCTGAATGATCATAGAAAAACTGTTGGTACCACAAATGTAGACCGCTCTTCGCCAAGCTTTACACTCTTTTAAAGACTTCCGGTCCAAAAAGACACCCTGCTCAACACGCTAAATAGTGAAATTTTAAACCCTGTTTAAGACTCAAGACCCAGAGAACCATACCTTGCGGCATACACCCGTCTAGGCCAAATAAGGGAGTGCACTCCTCCCTTCCCCGGGACGAAATCGATGTTGCCAGAATCATAATACTTCCACTTTCGTCCATCTCCGTGTGTCGTGCCCTCGATGAGTCACCTCCTCCCCCTCCTCCTCGCCCACCCCGCGGCTTAGCAACACTTGGTAACCACGATAACAGAGAATAACGCAGCACCCACCTTGACAATCTCAAAGAAGCACTGGCGGTCATCAGCGTCAACGAGTCTGTCATAGAACACACGGTACACCTCGTGTACCCAAAGTCTGATAAGCTTGCCCGGGTGAGTGGCGTTTACGCCAGGAAACAAAAGAATTCCCTGAAAACAAATCAACAGAATTCGATCACAAGTGAAAGAACAAGTGAATATTTTCATCAACAACAAAACTTTTGGATTTAAACCCGGTAATAGAGTTCTAAAGTGATAACGTCATAAAAATTAAGTTTGTGAAATTATAGGATTTGTCGGGATATTCTGGAAAAACAACATCCAAAAGGCACTACTTGAAAAAAAAAAAACACGAGAATTTCGGGACAAATTATCTCGGAGATACTTGCCCTGTTTTGCTCTGATAAAGATCCCTAATATGGCTGCAGTGCAACAAATAAAAAAATGAAGTGAATTAGAAATCGACTAACACGAACCTGCACAACCCTGGCAAAATCCCTCAGATTAAAGACGTAGTGCGATTTGGAAGGCGTGGGCAGAAAGCTGGCGATAGCTTGAGTGTAGACCTCGGTAATGGCACTGATCATGATCTAAAAGGGTAGGTTGGTAGGGTAAATGCATCGGGCACAATAGAGAGGTTAAGCATCACCTTTACGTCAAACGGCAAACGCGCATTTGTACCACGTGAACAAGTCTCCCCATTACTTGTCGTTTACGTCAAATAAAAGTTTCGGCAAACGCGTCAAACGTTTTAATCGTTTTCCGAAATTCTCAACTTGAATGCATGTCACGTTTGCCGTTTCCAATATACATGTACATGAAGCTTAAACTCCCTAATAAGACAACAAAGTAAGCTTTGTTTGCATGAATAAAATAATTCTCTCTTTTGTAAAAGCATTTAAATAAAGCTAGTAATTGATGCGATTAAAAAGTCATAGAAATATCGAAAAATATCGAAAACAAAGTAAGAGAAAATCATGGAATTCGTCTTCAATTTGAGACAGTGCTGTGTAATAAACAAAATAAATGAAGGGGTAATTGCTCTGCATAATACACTACTTAACTCTAATCTTAATAGAACTAATCATATTATGACTATTTGACAGGATGCTAGTCCATCTAAGGGTTACCCCCTCGCCCCCCACCCCCCCTCCCCCTCCGCCGCAATACATTCTCCGGTACCCGTTTATACACCTGGGTGTAGTAAAGTACTATGATAGTGAAGTGTCTTGCACAAGAACGCAACACAGTCACCTAAGCGAGGCGTGCACCCGGACCTTTTCAATACGGTCTCAAAACACTAACCACTGAGTCACAACGCCTCCCATATATTACTTAAATAAGTGTACCTTGGAGAATCTCCGTATCTGCATTTCAAAGCCGTGGTTGTTAAAGTGCCAGTCCATAATGACAGAGAAGATGTTTCGCATCGTCTCTGTGCTAAACGAGTCAATAGAGATGATGTTAAAATGTCTCAGAAACCGAGGAGTGATCTCATTTCTCCCTCCTCCAGGCGGACCCATGGCAGACACTAGCAACTGATCAACCAGCTTCAGGATCGATGTGTCTTTCCTAGAAGCAAAACGAGCAATACGTTACAGGGCAATTACGTTCGGTTATGATGGGGCAATAAGGCGCGGTACAGGATCGTCGGTACACATTAAAGGGTCCTTATTCTGACTAAAAACCTGACGACGAAGGTGCGCTTGGGAACCTTGAGACTAAGGGTTTTCTGGGAAGCAGTGATGTATTGATGCATTTACATCATCTTACGATCTGTGTGGACCCCTGTCTACCTCGGTTATTGAGTTGGAGAAACTGCATTTTTTAGCTACGTGGCCAACCTTTGCAAAGAGATTTCTAAGAAACCATATGTACAGAGGTAAAGTTACCGCCAAGAAAACTGAAAGCCTCCTGAGCCTTGTCGTGACCATGTAAGCTTTTCCAGAATGCGCTTTGAATTTGAGAGGCTAATAAATCTATTAGGAGTCATCGTTTATGGCTTATAGTCTTTCAAGTGGCAAAGTTTTTCGTTGAATGTATTTACCTGTCAAACCAGTATTCATGATCAATCCACTGCCGCAAGACTTCAATGGGTGGCTGGGCACCATACTTCTCCTTGGCTGGCATGTTAAGATCATCTACAAACACCACCACCTTCTTGCCGATAGGAGGTCCATACACACCACGCCTTCGTCTAAAAGGCAAAGCGTGATCAGAAACTTGTGAAACTCCCTCTTACAACTGGTCATTTTAAGGTGACACGTGACACGGTCGGTGTTGTGGGGAATAGCATTATGGGACTATTTTGGGCGACGCTTGTTGACCGGTATTAACCTAGTTTCCTGCGCAGCCTCGTAATAGTGAGTAAAAGAATGGGTTAATCGACTCTGAATGTAATAAGCGCCCCCACCCCTTCCAAACAACTGGCAATCCCTCCGGCACACAGTCTCTCGCAAATGGGTTTTGTCCGATACCTCCTTATAATGCACTTCGCCCTCAATAAAATGTAACTGAAATAGAGCAATAAGAAACTATGCATTGGAGCCGTTGCATATTTCAGTAAAGAAAACTGGACAGTACTAATTTTCTAAGGAACAAGGGAAGTATTTGCCTCTGCCGTTCCACCGTACTTAATCACTGAACTAACTGCGTTCGACTGAGGTAGAACGCGACATAATCCCGTTTTAAACTTACATTTTGAAAACGATACCCGTTGGCCACTGCGAAAAATATTTGTCAGGGCAGACTCGATCGTGTGACAACAGGCCCTTTGCAGCTTGTCATTCACGGGATACAAAACTGCCATGCTGGAGAACAAAAGACGCACTGGGACAGAAAAAGCGAAGAGCTCACTTCATTTAGCGTGGTTAGTCCTTTGTTCGTCCTCTCCCGGTGCGTCTCTGGCTCTTCAGTATGGCGGTTTTGTACCACGTGAATGACTAGATGCAAAGGGCCTATTGCGTTGCAAGGAGGCAGTAGATCCAAAGCACGCTGAACCTTCACAAGGGTATCTAGTCTGTGTGGCTTTGCAAACGGTTACTCCTATTTTGAGTTTATTTCCACTGCGCGTAGGTACCTTCATTGTGCAATTCTCCGCTATTTTGTTAAGAAATTTGCGAAGGGGGTCGCAAAAGAAGACGCTAACACAACTACCCCGAATACTAAGAGAGCAAATACAGTTATATTCCATCAACACAAGTTCCAACACATTTCATTCATCTGTGATTACTCGTAGTTTTAATCCTTAGTACAATGCTGACCTGTCCAGTTTTGATAGTATCATATCCTGAGTTTGGTTTGACGTTGTCTGGGCGGAAAAGTTTATAAAATTTGCAATGTACCTGAAAAATAAAAAAGAACCTGTGAGTGAGAAGTTAAGAACATCTGCCCAAATATCGGAGTTCGGGCTTACGGAATTCCCTGTAGACCAGTAAGGACTTATTTTTCCCACCGTCTCTGATTTTGAGTGTTTTAAAAAAATTCACACGGCTATTACTTTTGCTTGTACTTTCTCGAATACTGCCATAAACGACGCTTAAGAATAAAAAAGGACGTCAGACTGTCTCGTCAGTTTGATTCAGTTTATAGAGTACCTTGTCATCTTTATGCGGATTCATGACAAATCCGGAAGTATTAAGAACCGGATTCATTTAGCCGTTAACACGCAGATGGGTCAATCCGAAGTAAAAAAAACTTCCCAGTTTGGTCGCTTGCAGAGATTTTGAATCCTGAATCAAAAGTAAGTTCTCTGTAGCGAAATGAAAGTTCAGTTCTCGGATTATGTAACGGCTGTGTGCACACGTACGCTCGAGCACGCGAATCTGAACTCCCTTAATGCCAAAAATCCAATAAAACTTATGGATCCGGAAAAATATACTCGAGTGTAAGCCTAGCCTACAGCTACCATGATTATAGGAGGAAGATAACAGAAGGTGGGGGCTTATAAAGTTTTAGGCGTCTCCGACTGGAGCGGGGCGTATAAGAGGACGGGGCTAAGCAGAAGAAATGATCTAATCTTTCACTCGTGCAATGCACTGGTCCCGGGTTTCAAGGAATCAACTTACTTGTCTGAAGGCATTTGGAGAATGTAGTTATTGGTAATAGCAGATTTTCCCGTTCCTGTCGGGCCAACTAACAGCAGCGGTTTGTCATGATCGAGGAACAGTTCCAAAAAATAACGCTGACGAACTGTCTCTGTGGTAGGTATGATCATTTCATTCGGCTACAAATTGTAAAATTGATTAATAATTCATAAAGAAAGCATAAGAAATACATGAAAGTTCAATCACTGCCTGTGGATCTTTAGCAGAGCTATCCTCATTAACATACGACCTTTCTTTCGATTTACTTCGCTGAAATGCAACGAGTTGTATTAACAAGGGAGTCATAGAAAAATGAGCAATTAGTTTTTCTTTATTTCACAAGGTTGATAGTATACTAAGTTCGTATTCGCGTCGGCCGATTAGCCTGGGATTTTCGGTTCGCCGTCATAAATCAAAAAAAAGATCTCGTGCTCACAGTTTGGCTATGTCAGTCACAAATCTCAATGGACAGAAGCTGCAGTAGACTTCAAGGGTATTTTTCTCGTACAATACAGCATTTAAACGCACTTTATCACATTTATTCATCACTTCCTCTCCAACTAATACTCACAATAGGGACTTTAAGATCCAACGACGCGGACGGCAACAGGAACGTCAAAAAACAATTGGTTTAATAACTGAGCAAAACAACAACTTCGCACGTGTATCACGCTTTTTTGTGCATTTCTGTCCTGTTTTTGCACGACTACGACGTGAAAATGCCTAATTTGGCGTTTTATGGAGGACGTAAACAAGCAACGACGAAATTTTATTTCTCTTTCTGAGGTGGGATATGGTCCCTTTGAATTCAGCTTCAGGAGGGTTCGCCTACATTTGACAAAGTAAAAAGGGAGGAATAATCGCTATTAACAATGAAGGAACTCAAATTCACTTTTTAAGCGACGTTCTCGTTACCGTCGCGTCGTTAGATCTTAAAGTCCCTATTGCTGGTGCAGAGCGCGGCCGCACGCGGTCTGGGTACCACATTTTACAAAAGCTCAAGGCGTCCATGCTTCTTCTTTCGTTCGTGGCGTGCGACGGTCGACTACATCTTCATTTTATGAAAATAATAGGTCCTCTTATGATCTCTTGATTTCTGGATATAGGTATCCAAAGAGTACTTGGCACTAAAGACGATAGCACTGCTGCAGCCTGCCTACAAAGCCTTCTTTCGCTAGCGAGATTTTGACGTACTCGAGAAAGACTCTGCATGACACGAGTAACATCTCTGTTAAGCATGCGCTGCATGTTGCTATGACACAATTTAGAATCCAGGCCTAACAGTCCCGAAAGTGGGCTCAGTTATGACCGTCGGTTTATCACTAAACGGATGCTCGCACTCGAAAAACCATTTTGACGAGAGAAAACAAGGTTGACTAGTCAAAGATCTTTGGACTGCAGCGGCTTCAAAGCTTGAAGCGATTCAGGTAGTCTCGTTTTCTCAAGAAATCAAAACCAGGCTCTGCTTGCAGGGCGGTACGTCTAACAGCTCACTTCGAGAAAGAGTGATAGCCTGGGACCCAAAATAGTGGCGCGCGTGCATTTATGGGAATTATTTGGGGGGACGCGAATGTAAACAAACATGGCGGAAAGCGAAGTGGAATGTTTCAGCGGGGTTAGAACAGCTCAAAATAGCAAAACGGAAGGTGGAATTGAAAGGAAAAAAAGACATGAAAATGTGAAGCTGCGGGAAGACCACGAATTTGAACCGAAGGCAGACACGAGAGAAGCACTACATTTGTTACCCTAGTCTAGGTAAATAACTTTTACTGAGAGGCCTGGCTGTACTGTATTTACCTTCGCATTGGCTGGAATTTCCTCAACGAACACGTTTTTCTCCCATGGATGCCACGTGCCAAAGGTTGACTTATCAAAGAAGAAGTCGTAAATGACTCCCTTGCCAGGAAACTGGAAACTTTTTGGCAGTTTTAGGTCTTTTGGTCTGAAAAAGCGAGAAAGGGCTACAACTGGTTACCATTTTAAGTGTAACTTAACTTAAAGAGGTTTATCAACTTAAGGAAAGTTAGCCTCGGGAAAATTTGTCGCAACTTCCAAGTTTTTTCATAGTTTCGTACATAATCAGCTAAAAGGGAATCTTCTACTTCACCCACAAGTAACTCAACTTTTCTGTTAGGTTTGGGGGAGGGGAGGAGTACAAGCTTGTTTTTAACCAAACGGAATTTTCCGTAAAATGGCTCAACCTCAAACGTCAAAAGTAGCCAGTTCCACCAAACAGCGTTTTTTCAATGTTTTCACGGATTTCTTTCTAAAACTGTAACTCCAAACTGGTGCCAAGCTCCTTTACATCAAAAACAGTCCAACATTGACACGTGTGAACTTAAACTCACGATTTATAATTCTCATACTATAATAATCCACAGCGTCTTTCTATTTTTACAAACGCTGTTTCTCACACAAACCTTTGGTGCTGTTTGTTAGTGCCAGCCGCAAGAACTTTAAGGAAGTCACTGAACTTAAGTCTAGAATCAGTGTCCAGGTTCCCGCCGATGCTCCAACAGAGAGAGAACAGAAAAAGGGACTGGAGCCACTGCATGATCTCAGCCTCGGTCCTGGCAGGCCTCTCCTCCATAATTTGTTCAAATTCTTCTTCATCCATCACTGTCTTTGTCTTCTCTTCCTGGGGTGGCTCTCTAAAGGTGCGGAAGAAAACAACCCGCGATGTACGTGTCTTGGATTTCACTTTCAAGCTTCCTGAGGATCGATTTCCATAAGGGCGTAATTTTTTCGTGCGTACGCGCGTAAATAAAACAGAGGAAATTTATGGAGGGTCACGCGTAAACGTAAAAATTACGCGACAGTGGAAATCCACCTTTAGTGTTTTTTCGACAGGTTAAGCAAAAGAACGGTGCTTGGATCTATAGAGCTTGTTCTGGTCTCGATCCTCAATAATAATAAAAAATACTTCGTCTTGTGAAGATCCGTGGTTCCATTTTACCTACAGTTACCAATCTCTACGAAGGACACCTTTGGCACCCCACGAAGTGACTTCTAAGAAAGATGTCCGCTTTGCAGAGAATGGTAGCGGAGCTCCTCGCGCGCGCGAGCGGATACATCCGAGAAATTTTGGTTGTGACGTCAGCGTACTCCGTCCGTCCATACACTCTTTGGGGGTGAGGGAAGGGAATCAGGTGTCAGCCCGTTAGGGGGAGGAGTTATATTTTCTTGTCGGGAAATCGTGCGATGCATTGGTACAACCCGCGTTTATTTGGCGGGAAATCACGCAAGAAATGGTGTGGCTATTGTCGTCGCGTTCAAAAGCTTGTTTACTTTAGGAACTATTATCCATGCTTTTAGCCCTGGCTAAATCTATATATTAAACAAATTACAGTCCGAACGACGACAAGGATTAGCTCTTGGTGTCCGTTTTAGGAAGGTGCTGTCAAAAACAAACGTTTCCGTTAAGAGAGATGTAACTTCTTCTTAACAAGTTCCATCCTGCCAATTTTGAATGATTTGTTCTTTGAGGAGTTGTAGGATTTAAAAGAACTTTAGAAAAGTTGCAAAATTTTACCTATGGCATCAGTTTGCACATATTTCTATCTATCTACTCTATCTGTGACAATAATAGTACGCGAATAAGTGCGCGAGAATTAGCATTAGGGGTGTAAAATGTGAGAGAGAATAAAAGGTTCCTTTTATACTTTCTTTAAAATATATATTTTTTACTTGCCTTAACTCATCAAGGAGGGTGGAATACATTGTCAACATTGAGCTGACCATGTGCATCGGCGAGGTTCGTACGAGTTCACGGCATTGTCTGGTAACAAAGTCCAGGCATGGCGGAATCAACCAATCAAACATCATCTAATGAACGAAAAAATAGACTTTAAAATGTTCAACAACGAAGGAAAGGCAGAGTAACGGGAAAGCATTGCTCTCGATCGATCATAGTAAAAGTATCATAGAATGGTAGAATAATGACTACTTTAACATTTCTCGTGCACTACAAAGAAATAACCGAGTTTAGGGATGACCCCAAGGCAAGCTGGGTCTCTGTAGTGTGTTGTTCGTAGAATATCGATGGGGCCCAGACTGGATGGGACCCAGTCTGGATGGGGCCTGAAACCTTTTACTATTCACCAGACATTTTCGTCAGAAGTTGCCGTTTCGGTTCCCACTAAAGACAGTACTACACATCCCTTTTCCTTTCGTTGGCTTAAACCACTTTGATTATTCTATCCTAATGTAGGCAAAACTACCTGAAACCGTATACTACAGAGCACAAATCCAGATAGCTTACACGCTTACTACGCCCCTGCACGGTTCAAAAACAATGTCTAGCTTGACAGGGTGGACATTCTTCTGTTGGGACAACATATTATAAAAAATATTCTTCAACAACAACACTGATGAATGGATCCGGATGGATTCTGAAAGCTCTGTTAAACTTTCGACAAATTGTTGGTGTTGAAGAATATTTTTTATAATGTATAGCCTCTTTTACACTCTTACCTGTATAGAGCTCTTACTGGCAGGGCTAAGATTAGGCGGGTATTCTTTCTCCATCCACGACGCTACGAGCGGTTCCCATCCTAGCTGACTCGGTTCCATGTAGATCATACCACACCTTCAAATGCAAAAGCACAATGTGACTATCAGTGTACAAAACTCATTGAATATGATCGTCAAAGTAAAGGCGCTCACCTGCTAACCGTGGCTGGAGAGGCCTGTTCCAAGTCTTGAGGTTCAAATATCATGTTTTGTTGAGAACTCATCTGAATGATCTCTCCGCTCATTAAACAAAGCTGCAGTAAGAACGCCAATTATATTTCATGAGTACTACTTCATCTTCCAGGGGGGACGAAAACTGAGTTATTTCATTGAGTGAAGCGGTTAACCCATATACGATCGGATACCTTCGAATAATCCACAACTAGATGTTCTGTGGGTCACATTTAAACAACAAACTTTCGAACAGAAAACTGGACGTGGCTCGAGTAAAAGGCAATCTACTATATTTTGTCTTGCGTATTTGAAGAGAGGGGAAGATATTAATTTCTGTAGCACGTAATCATTTATAAAGTGCAGCCACTTTTTATGCAGAAGCAGGCTACGGACAAGTCATCGAGCATCATGGTGGACACTGCCCACCTACCCCTCCTGTAAGCCAATATTAACACTTACTTCTCACTTAGTGCAAGATGTTGGCTTAGAGGAGGGGTAGGTGGGCGGTTTCCCTTAACTTAATTGCAGTGTGTCCTTTTTATATTGAACCACATTGTACAACCTTGGATGCTCACCTTCCTATTGTCGTCAAGAACGGTGTTCATGTTTTCTATCCACACCGCATCAACCGGTCCATCAAACACGATCCACTTGCGGTCCTCAATGACAGAACTGGCGTGCTCGCGGAATGTGTTAGCAAGTACTCCTAGAATATATGTAAAAAATTAGTAAATCTTCTAAATAGGCTGACTAAAGTCACAAGCTAACGGTGTGTCAGTCGGCTGGGTTGCCTCTTTACCCCCAATTACGGACCTTGAGATGCGACGACGGCGAAGATATCCAACCACCAAGATGTAATATCGCAAGCACGAGAAGGAGTGTTTCATCTGATATCCAAACATCGAGAAGTAATATGCCAAACAAGAGGGGAGTATTTTATCCGATATTCAGACACCGAGAAGTAATATATCAAGCACGAAAAGGAGTGTTTCAATCTCTCCCAGACACCGAGAAGTCGGATGCAAAAACGAAGGGCAGCCAAAGTTTGTAAGCTAACTTGAAGGCATCTAAACATAGGAAAAGAAGCTTCTCTAGGAAGATCGACGGGTCTCTACTCGGAAGGAAGAAACGTAAAGGAAACGAATATATGGTTACCGTCTGACCACTCGTGCGACACAGGATCAAATCGTCCGTACAACTGACCCATGGTGACAGCCTTGGGGTTGATAATTCGATACTGGACCTGAAAAGCAAACATGAGTCATTGAAAGAGATGAATGCCTTCCACATCATTCCTTAAGCCTCGGAGTCAACTGTAAAGACAAGCTACTTCTTTCTAACTTTTGAGTGTGTAAATAGTATCCTAAAGTGTGACCATTTAAATGAAACCTTCCAAGTACTGAGTACTTTTACATGGTACTATTTGTCTTGCATGTAGTTCTAACTTTTGATTCTGTGGATGAAATCCTGTGGTGTGACCATTCAAATGAAACCTCTTCAGCAGTACTTTCACATGGTACTGTTTGTTTTGTACGTAGTTCTAACTTTTTATTCTGTGGATGAAATCCTATGGTGTGACCATTCAAGTGAAACCTCTTCAGCAGTACTTTCACATGGTACTGTTTGTTTTGTACGTAGTTCTAAGTCGTAGTTCTAGTTCTAGTCTTAGTTCTAGTAGCTCTAGTCGGTAAATGAATCCTATGGTATTCAACGAAACCTCTTCAGCTGCTCCTTACTATTTGTTTTACGTATTTTATAGCAAAAGAAAACTCTTTGTTAATAATTAACCCTGACATACCGCTACTTCTTCTGAATTCTCGTCTTTGCCAAGTTCAGAAAGCGATGCAGCAAGAACTTTCCAAGCAGATGTCTTGCCTCCAATGGGATCACCCACTATCATAAAACCGTGGCGAACCAACATCATCTCGTACACCTAACAAGTGAAAAACCCCAAACGCACGAAACTGTAAGGCTACAGATCTATCCTTTCCCGGACAAAACAACTGAATACATGATTGCCGCAAATGTTAGTTAGCATCAACGATACAGCATATGGAAAATACAAAATTTGGTCTAGTGTATACTGAGAGGCCTCACATGAACCACACTATGCACGCATTGCAAGAGTTGAAATGCTTAGGTTTCGGTAAGCGAATAATTATGCCTGATTTAGACTTCCTGGAAGAAAATTGCTTTCTTTTTCCTCAACGGGTGGTAAAGAGAAAAATGAATGCATCAAAGGTCAAATACTTCGCCTCATCCATTCGAAGAACATTTTGATTTTAAGGTCGAATGCTTTGCATCAGCGGCCGAAGACGCTACGACTAAAAGTTTGGCGTTTGACTTAAAGGTCCATATTTTCACAGAGGGGGGAGGAATGCAGAGAAGGAAAAATACTTTGCCTCGCCGTTAGAAAAACATTTTCATTTTACGGGCGAATTCTTTGCATCAACGACTGAAGACTTTAAGACAAAAAGTGTTGAGCCTTTCTCTGATCTTTTAGTCACTATTAATAATATTATAGCACAATCTCGTTCCGCAATCTTATTATCCATCTAAGTTTAGTTGCAGCTCTTACAACGACTAACATCTTCCTCGTCCAATATTCACCGACTTTCACACTGAAAATCCTACTCTAGTCACTGCATTAAGTACCTGTATGACTTTATCAATAAACCATGGTACACCCTGAAGTCCCATCTTGGTGATATTACGCTTTAGTGCCTCCTCCAGGACTCCATGGTCAGGAGATGGCAGAGAGATGCCTGGGAACAAGTCCGAGACGATCCCTTCAAAGAGCGGCAAATCTTGTGACAAGAACTGCAATAAACAAACACGTGACCCTGACTAAAGTTATCACTCCGTTTTCTGTTACTTTAAGCAGGGCGCGCCACAACCTATGTCCGATTGTCCGGGACAGGTAGAAATTTAGTTTGGACATAAGTTGTCCATGGGACAAGCACATTTTTAATCAGAAAAAAATAGAGAAACACAAAAAACAAACCAACAAACAAACAAACCAAATTAACAGAAAACAGGAGAATTGGTGGAATAAATTTGAGATGCGCAGAGTCGCTCGATGAAATGCCGCACTTGTGCTGCACCGCATGGCACAGGAATCACTTGAGATAAATGTGGGAATGAGTTGGGCTCGTCTACATGTTGTTTAAACCCAAGGCGAAAAAATCGGTTACATTGCTGGTGTCAATTGCAGCCTGTTTCCTATTGAAGCCATTAATAGAAGTACTGCTAAAAGTGTCTGAAAGTCTTAAAGCCTTTCGCAGCTTCGCTCATCGTTCACAAGAACGCTGTTACAAGCTAAATGGGATGCAGGTGAAACAAACCGAACCTTGGGTAGGTTGACGTCCATAATTGATCTAAGCAGTAAAATATCCTCATCCTGCTCAGAGTACTTCAGCTTCAGGTTTCCAGCTGCGGTCAAAACAGACTTCACAGCTCGCATGCCATAATCATAATGATGCTGCGAGGATAGCTGTTTAACAGAAAAAACACACAGTCAGCTACGTATTGATGGCACAGAGATCTCTCTCTTAACCCTTTCATTCCTAGTAATGGTAAAAATAAATAAATAAATAATCACAGACATTTCTTTTTTTTAAAATCCTAAGCATTGACTAGTACTATGCAAAAGTTCTGCCAAAAAGGTTTCATTTGAAAGGTAACACCATAGGATTTCATCCACCGATCCAAAATTTAGAACCACATACTGAATAAATAGTACCGAGTGAAAGTACTGCTAAGGAGGTTTCATTTGAAAGGTAACACCATAGGATTTCATCCACAGAAACAAAAGTTAGAACTATGTACAAAATAAATAGTACCATGTGAAAATACTGCTGAAGAGGTTTCATTTGAATGGTAACACCATAGGAGTTAATCCACAGACTCAAAAGTTAGAACTACGTACAAATCAAATAGTACCACGTGAACGTACTGCTGAAGAGGTTTTATTTGAAAGGTAACACCATAGGATTTCATCCACAAACTCAAAAGTTAGAACCACATACAAAACAAATAGTGCCACGTGAAAGTACTGCTGAAGAGGTTTCATTTGAATAGTCACACAATAGGATTTCATCCAAAAACTCAAAAGTTAGAACCACATACAAAACAAATAGTGCCATGTGAAAGTACTGCTGAAGAGGTTTCATTTGAATAGTCACACAATAGGATTTCATCAACAAACTCAAAAGTTAGAACCACATACAAAACAAATAGTGCCATGTGAAAGTACTGCTGAAGAAGTTGCATTTGAATGGTCACACCAGAGGATTTCATCCACAGATTCAAAGGTTAGAACCACATACAAAACAAGTAGTACCATGTGAAAGTACTGCTGAAGAGGTTACATTTGAATGGTTACTTCATAGGATGTCATCCACAGACTGAAAAGTTAGAGCCACATACAAAACAAATAGTACCATGTGCCGTGAAAGTACTGCTGAATCCTATGGTCACACCATAGGATTTCATCCATAGACTCAAACGTTAGAACCACATACAAAACTAATAGCACAATGTGAAAGTACTGCTGAAGAGGTTTCATTTGAATGGTAACACCATGGGATTTCATCCACAGACTCAAAATTTAGGATTACATACTAAATAAATACTACCAAGTGAAAGTACTGCTGAAGAGGTTGCATTTGAATGGTAACACCATAGGATTTCGGCCGCCGATTTATAAGTTAGTGTGACATAGGGCCTGTTTACATGGAGGTGGCCTGTGAACAGGCTCTCTGTTTGAAGAAAGAATGGAAAAATCGCGAGGAGAGCGAAGGGAAAGGGTGCTCTCCTCGAGATTTTTCCACCCCTTCCTCAAACAAAGAGCTTGTTCACAGGCTAACATGGAGGTGTTTACATGTAATCTTTCAACCTTGCCATCCCGGGGATACTTTTCAAGATTAATTAATGAGCACTGAGCACGTAAACAAAAATAATGGCTCGCAAACGACGTGTTTTGGCGATGAATGTTCTTCTACTCTCAATTGCTACTCTTACTGCAACCTTTCAGTGCTGTGGCTTTTATTTTAACTTTTAATAAAGCAAAACCTCCCCGAATTGCAGTTAGTTAAAACTTGGGGCGAATTTGATGTTACATGAATCCGAGCCCGGCCAGGGGGGTTACCCCACGTGCTCGTTCCGCGCTCCCCGGCCAGTTTCCCGTTTTGAACTCTGTAGATAAACACGTTTTGCAGGTTATTAAACCGCTTCACAATGATTCCGTTTGGCTGTTTATTCCTACTATAGTTATTACGTTTTAGATTATTTCCGCCCATAAAAAAAAAACAGAACTGAAAGAAACTCAGCCGTGTCGTGTCACAACGATAACTTATGCCGAGAGTTTTGAAGTAAACACGCATGAAAACTGATAAAAATGCCTCATTATGTTATGACTGTTACTGATGAAATTTCTCTCCATATTTTGTAGTACGTGACTATTTCTTATACGAATTTTAAACGGAAAAACCGTCAAGGATGCGTGCACATGTACTTAGATAGCTGATGAGGTGATATTCAATTAAGGATAAAGAGCAACGCTACTAAGCCATGACGTTTCGGCGACGACATGTCACCTTTATCAAATACAAATGAAAGAGTCTATGAAAAGTCATGATTTAATAGCGTTGCTTTTTATCCTTAAATGTTTCGTTATGAGGTGATATTCAGTAAAGAAATACCAAAAAGCGTGAAATGTTTTTTTAAAAGAACACAAACCTACAACGGTTCTTCTTTTCTCACACTGAAGAAGAAGGGTCATAAACCGAAAATCACCTTATCAACTGTTTAATATAGTCTGAAATGTCATACGTCTCCACCCCATCTCCCCCGCGTCCTCCACGGGTCCCGGGGTGGGGGGGGGGGGACTCCCATATGAAACAGACGGGGATGCTCGTCGGAAATTTTGAATTTAACCCCTAAAGGAGACCATCTGGGCGTGGCTATGACCCCTAAAGTAGACCAATTAATAAAAGAGACCGCTTAAAAACACACAAATACGACATGCAATGAGTTTTAATGATATAAAGACATAATCATCGAATGATTTTATCTAAAAGTAGTTTTTAAAAGCATTTTCATAAATCTCAAGTTCTTCGCGGAACCCTAAACGAGACCTTGGCGGCTTAAAATATTGACGCTTTGCCCGGAACACCCTAAGCGAGACCAAAATCCAAAATTTAGACCCCTAAGCGAGACGACGAGCATCCCCGCCTGTTTCATATTGGAGTCCACCCCCCGGGCCACGGGTCCGTAACTACATTTGTATTCTTGCCATTAATTTGGTTATCATTACAAGTTTTACAAAAAAAGGTCCGCCAATAATTAAAAGCTATCATTTACGCTCACTTGCTATGGGATTTCGGCAAAAGACACAAAAGTTAGAGCACATTGATAATTAACAAATAAGGCCGTGTGAAAGTATTGCTGAAGAGGTTTCATTTGAATGGTCACCACGCAAGACTCAGTTCATTAATCCACATTACATGCATGTGCCAATACTGAATCTAGAAGTAAGAGGTTACGAAATGCACTATGCCAATATCAAGCAGGTGGTGTCAAGTCCTACAATTCCACAAATATATTTACTTAAACCTGCTGTACATCATTCACAACTGCTGATATGTTAAATGTTCTATTATAAATAAATTTCAGACACGTGTCACGTTTCACGACTTTGGTCCTTTCATGAACGGCTGCATGGCCAAGAAATGTAGATTTAATATGCTTTTAATATGCTATCAAGTTAAAGCGCACACATAAAAAAAGGTCAACAGTCGAAAAAGTCGTGTAGATATTTTAATGAATAACATTTGTTAAATTGTTAACATGATTGTCATTCGTGCTAACCCAGTCAGTATGAGCCGCTGGTTTGGTCGCTTCCTGTAGAATATTTGCCGCCTACTCCACACTTAAATCTTATAACATTAAACAAGAGTAACGCAAGTATTGGCCTTTGCCGCATGATACTCTGATTGTCCAGTTTTTTGTCCTGCCTACAACTGTAAAACATTTTGACCAGGCTGCGTGAAAGAAGAACGCCTGTAGAAGCAGATATTCCCTCCTTTAGCTGGTATGGAAACGTTGTGAGTCGTTTCAGAACCAAGGCAAAAATAGATGTCTTACTTAGCTTTTTCTACTGACGTTTTGCTTGGACAACGACTTCAACAATGAATAGAAGGATTTAGCAACTGCTACTATTGTAGAAATTTACTTGCTGAGTACCGGACGCAAGCCCTAATAAAGTCATACTCAATGATACTGCCCTGATTCAAATACGAGTCACCTCGAACCTTGCTCCGGTTTCATTTGTACGAAAAGGTAACAGCAGTTTTATTGTTTTGATTACTGCTTCTCTGAGCTCGCAAAGACGCCAGCAATACAACACTGGATTGATGGCCGAATTCATGCACGCAAAAGTCGTAGAAAATGTCCACTCCGGTTTCCATTCGATCCGCAATGTTCCGAACAAGGTCAGTAACACAAAGTAGGGAAAATAACACACGATCATACAAAAGTAAAACACGAATGTACTCATTGCACTTTTCTTTAATCGCCCCAGAGGTATTTGGATTCCCGCGCTTGCATTTTCCACGGCGTTTTGCTGAACGTGAATCTGATGTTGATGATAGCGAACAATGCGATAAATTCTAATGTAAGAAAACGTGCAAATTATAATGCACACTGCAGAGAAAATGCCTCCCATAAAGTGAAATATGTACTTGTCCCAAAGGTAAACTCCTAAAGAAAGGAACATACCAAGCCAGATAATTCCTAGGGTGTATTTGACACGAGTCTTAGTGACAATGAGGACATGTCTCATGTGATAGTGCAGGGCCAACAAACGGTCCACAGTGATGACTGTTATTGTACCGAGAGATACTCCGCCAACGAAAAACCCTATCATTGCTGACAGACGGTATAAGATGGGATCTTTCTTCTTCAAGCTTTGAAGTTCATCCGCGATGAAAAGTGGTTGTGCCAGAAGACCAACAAGAAGATCTGAAAACGCGAGACTAGCAAGCATAGTCTTCGACATCGAGCGAATGGAAGGTGTTTTTAACATGGACACCAAGACTAAAGCATTTCCTATCACGGCTACAAGCATAAATGGAACATTCAATGCGCAGTTTGTGAAGACGATGGTTTCTCGATGATGATCTGAAATGTGTTTTTGCTCATCTGTGGAATTCATCACGCGTCTGCTTAAAGTTCTATGCCCTTTCGATTGACTCAAGGTACCATATAAGCCACTCTCATGGTGCTTCGTGCAAGTGGTTTATGACTAGACGAAAGCGAAGTTTTGATAACATCCTGTTTGCTTCGGAACTCTAAATATCACTCAACCTGCCAATATCGGTTTTTAATCAAATAACTGTCAGTTGCAACAGCAGTGTGACTTTCCCTCACAATTCAAATCAATTATTGAATAGCCACATATTGCCCTCGTCGATTTTTGTCAAATTATACGATATGATACAAATTTAGTTGACCTGCTGGTTGCTAAACATCGTTACAATATTCATTGTTTATTCCATCACTCGGTGTTTGTGGTTAGGCCCATATCAGCAACGCTGCTTACAACTAAACACACTTTCTTACGTAAAATGAAGTTTTATTGACTGCAGGCAGTACCCTCAGCTGTATTAAGAGATAAGTTTTAGAAATGGGTTTAATCAAACGAGATAGAGACCAAAATTCATTTTACAGAAAACTGAAAAAACCAGATGATCTCAAGCGAATATAAATAAAATGAAGTTTAATTACAAAGTCAAAACCGCTAGTACTATAATCAACAAAAATAATGGCAACGAGTCAGATTCAAGTTACTCAGTAATATTAACTCACAATTAACCTATTTCAAGACATTAGAAATGAAATGTGTAAACCTTAAGTAGGCAAATTATTACTTTATTTTGTGACCAGAATATATACACTACATCATAGCATATTGCGGTTAATTTTCTATTTCTGTAAATGAAGGTTCTTTCCGGCTTTGTTTAGGGATATGGTAATATTGCTAATGAATTTGAAAACAAAGAAAATACAAAAATCAATTGAAATCAAAAATTAACTGCAACATATACGTAGAATTTGGTGTATTATGTGGGTCATATCCGTTCTCAAGTTGAACAAGTTTTTCTATTAGAGATAGGAAACAAAGGCAATTTTCAGAATCGAACAAGTTTGAACACTGGCTTACGTTGAGAATGATTTACCTTCGACATAAAGAGTATCGCATCATGGTAAAGCGGTATTTTGCTTTTGTTATTATTGACCATTGACAAGCTAGGACAGCAATGCCATGGATAAGATCTCTTTGAATTGTTTCATCTTGTTCTGTTTGTCTTACGTGATCGAAACCTCCAATGTGTAAATTCGTAGGAATATTTTCAAATTGAGATAGAAAAGGCAAACTTAACCTTAGTGGTGTCTTGAATTTGACACGGTGAAATTTCCGTTTTCATGGAATGATAGAAACTAAAAATCCATTCTTTTGTCTAGTTAGTGACCTCAGGGCTCCTACTGATAGCAGGGATGCTTTGTAGTCTCCCTGAAGGTAGTCCTCAGAAATCACAGGTATGGTTTAAATAAAGGTGTCTACCTATCTAGCTATCTATCTATCTAACGGCATCGTGCTCCTTAATATTTACCGGTAGGCTAGTAGTAGTTCTTTAATGCGCGGAGCGTCGCGCGTGAATTTACCTCTCCTGGTTAAAGGTAGCGATTTTACAGCGCACTCGCGCGGTTCATTTACACGATTAAGCGCATGAAAGTGACTGGCAGTAGCGTGCACCTGTTTAAAAAGTAAACGATAAAGAAAGTTCAAGTTCAGTCAGATCTATATTTGCTCACGTATAACGATCCAGTCACGTTTGCATCACATAATGTACTGTGATTTTCGCCTTTCGGTATTGTTGGAATCGTAAAAACTACTTTGCAGACCGTTCAATCAAAAATCTCAAAGAAACATTTTTGATCAGTAAATAGAAATTGCCTGCCTTTATATCGAATCCATCTAATCCCTCAGAGCACAACGGAAAAAGCCTCTCATTATAGAATAAAGGGAGTTGACGCACAGAGAAGTAAAAGTGTAGGCGCGCTTACTTCCTTTATGAGCAAATGGAAACGTTCTTTTTAAAAATAGACTGTACATCTAGTCAAAATATGTAAATGCAAATCTTTGATTATGATAGCGGAAAAGAACCCACGCAAATAAGCTCAATGAAACATAAAATGGCTAAAACCGACAACTGGCAAGAGACAACCAGTTGGATATTTACAAGGGTACTGAAGAACTAACAACTCCAGTTAGGGACCGACAATAAGCTAGAAAAGTGACAGGGTTGGGGAAAAAAAACATACATGAAAAAAATTCACGTAAAAAAACATTCACACATGGTGAACCAAAAAACATTTACATACAAAGTAGAAACTCCACCACCTCCCCCTACACTTTTGTAATGGTCCGTCACTTAGTGGTCACATCGGGACTCGACCCGAGATCGCGGGATTGCGAGTCCAACGCGCTGACCACTTGATCACACCACCCCAGAGAGGGGCCTTTGAGGGGTCTTAAGTTATGACTACTAAGGTTTTTTTCAGGTAGGAAATATAACTGTCAACGCACCTGTTCAGAGCAGAGTCTGTAGACTGCCACGATCTTGGCGGAAAGGCTTCGAGCATTGACAAATCCCATGGAATACAAACTGATCTCGCTAATCAGTGCATAGTCTGGAACCATCATGGCAACTGTGCGGAAGAGAACCTATAAATATTGATAAAAAATAGGGAGCTTTAGATTCTAGGACGAGGACGACTACGAGTGCGAGATTTTCTCACGCGTGAGTCAGCGTCATTTTGGCGGGAAAATGTGGTAGCCGTCGTCATTCTACTACGGGTTTTAGCGAGTATGTCGTAGTGGCGGAAACAAGTTACCAAATGTTAGAAGTTTTATTATTTTGCAATCGAGAAAGGGCTTAACCTCTTTCAATAAAGATAACAGTGCTGACTTTTCTGGTAGCAAAAAAGTACAATGAAGTTTTCCGAGGTGTCAAAACTCGTCCTCGTAGTCGTTCTCGTCCTAGAATCTAAAGGTCTCTAAAACGTCAGTAACTGTTTAACAGGTTAAAAGAGGCCATCAAGAAGGGGAATTCTTCACGGAAACATTAGGGACATGAGCAAATAGTTTATTTATTTACTTAAGGTTCGCCAAATTTCGCAGAGTCACCGCAACAGCGGATGACGCCAATTACTAGGGGCCCGTAACAGACCCCTCCCCCCAATAGATAGTCGGCCTACGTCTCCCGAACAGTGTGTGGGTTCAACGTCCCACAGAATTTATATGTGCAAGGGTCGTAAAATAATAAAATAAATAATTCCGTTATCAGTACCTTCGGCGGTATTTTATAGCACTAATGCTAGTGGGGCCGAGTGCCTGAATGCCTGAAACAAATAATTCAACTCAAATCCCAAATGGCCGAAGGCAAACCAGCTGGCTATTTACAAGCGTGGCCGAGGATTTGAACTCGTGACTACCGTGAACAAATCCAGGTAGTGGTCAGAGCGGGACTTGAACAAGGAGCCTCCGAATAGCAAGTGCAGCGCTCTAACCAATCGGCCATGCTGCCTCCTTAAACGGGGCCTACTGTTTATCGCCCTTATCTGAGAAGACTAGAACATCTAGTGATAGGTGATGATCTACGAGAAAAACAGTCCCTGATTGTCAAACAAATTTTCCTTGTCATAACTACTGGAAATCAACGGACAACAGTGTAAAGAAGATACACACTGATATCAAGAGGAAATAAGGAGAAAGGAGGTGCTTGATCGGTGAAGGCGATGGGTATATTAAGTAGAACTCCGCAAGTGCGATGCATATGATTGAGCTTACCTTCAGATTATCGGGAAGTTCAGCGCGTCCCGCATAGCCTGGGTTCATGGTAATAAAGATGGTACAAGATGGGTCCAAAGAAATTTCCGTTCCCTCAAACACAAACTTATCGACTTGTTCCATGACGGCTCGCTGAATAGTCAAGATCTGTTGAGCAACCACTGACAGCACCTGAAAACACACGTAGCATTCAGTCTAGTTCATCTTGTTAATAATTAACAATTATTTTGTGATAACCGAGTTACATAATTGTTTTATCATTCGATCACTAAGTTTGTTTTTTAACGACCATCTTCGGGAAGCGAAGCGATCTGCCTTTTTTCACACAAGAACGATCGCAAGAAGGAGAAAAGCGTGGTTTCGTTTACACATGAGCAGAATATTATTTGCAGCCAAACACAGTTGGACGACATTGCGCATGAGCAGACCATTATTTGTAGGCAGTTATTTGCAGGTCACGTGGTCGGCTTTCGGCCAATGAAAAGGAAGAAAAATTTGCATCGAATGATAATGTCAGTTACGCGTCCTTGTTCGCCAACTTGTTTCCTATAAAGGTTTCAAGAAACTGATTAATAATGCCCGTCGCAATACTCCGGTCAGTAGGCTGATTTAGTAACAGAACGGGAACGTCAGTTGATGACGGGCCGCGCAAATCAAACAACTGGCTTGACCAATGGAAAGGCGGTAAATTTGGCACCAGAAGTCGAGTTCAGTCCTTTCCCGTCGTCAACTGACGTTCCCGTTCTGTTGCAACGGCTTGGTTGTTACTTCAGTCGAGTTACTGTCTTTGAGACACTTCCCGACTGTTTCCGAAGCCAGAGCGATGTAACCACAGGCTATATTGCACAGGCTAGCTAACCTCGAGTTCAATTCTGTTAAATTCGTCAAAGCATGCCCAGGCTCCTGACTGTGCGAGTCCCTTGAAAAACTTTCCCATGGCCTTGTAGTCCAGTCCATCCGAACAGTTGAACACTACACACTGTGGGAAAACAAAACATGAGTAACGAGGTTAGAGGACGTTTTGACTTAAAACACCATTCTTTTCCTTTGAGTCAGACACAAACAAGATATGCGATGTTGCAATTAACCACAGGGCTACCCATCCTTTATACAATCTTCTGCCCAGAGTTAAAGAATCTTCGAAACGTTTGACAACCCAAACAAGCCAGTTACCCTTACGCTTTAAAGCAAGTCTTATAAAAGGATTGTATTTTAAGTATTCTTTAGCTTTTTAGTTGTTGAATTCCAATTTATTTCTTGTACAGGCCGGAGTTCAGATCTGTAGGTCCGGCTTCGGACATGAACAAGCCAAGCATTGACAAGCGTCTTTGTTTCAAATGGACTCTTTCCACTTGGGTGTATCAATGGGTACCGCGAACAAACTGCTGCAGGTCACTGTGGAATGTAAAGGTATCCCAACCACGGATGTAGCAGTATTCTTGGGTGTTTCTCTGAAGCTACTGAGCTGGAAATAATGGCCGTAGTGTGGGCCTCGTGCCTCACCTAATACTTATTCATTTGGTGTTATATGCCATTTTACTAGTATGGCGTTTTGGCCAACAGCGATGTTGACAGCCGTACCTGCTTCGCAACTGCTTTTGCAAGATCCTTGCAGGTTTCTGTTTTGCCTGTCCCGGCAGGTCCCTCGGGGGCCCCTCCCAAGTTTAACAGCAGAGCACCCATCAGAGTCCTGTAAACAAGGAGATATAAAAGGAACAAGTTACAAAAGCTTGAAACCGCTGAGAGCACATGCGAGCTTGTGTTGTTCCAACTTAACACAACACAGGATTATCAATTAACACGAACATAGCTACAATAGGCGGCAAAATTATTTAGGACACTTGGCTCTGAGAGGCCCTCTAACTTTTAGCCAATGTAAAAAAGGGAATCAAAGCTTTCCCTCCCCTACCCTCTCCACGTAACGTTGCGCTGCTGTTCGTGCTACCTGCAGAAAACAACGAACACCTCAACTTTGAATGGAGGGGAGGGGAAGGGGTGGGGATTGTTTTGTTCTCCGAAGTTACCCCTTCTCAACAATTTTGTCACCGATTGTAGCTACTTGTTGCCCCAAAGTAAAACCACAACATAATAACAGAGGTACAATGATCTAGAAAACAATGGCAGATATTCTTAAACTGAGAATGGACAATACTGGATAAGGGCTTACGCTAGCAAACTATTCCCACTGATGCCGATAATTCTACAACTACATTGACGCATTTTAGGCATCCTATTGATGAACAGTTGGGACAGGTAGATATGTGTTTTAGCAACTACTATAATTTGCAGTCGATCTACTTTGAGTTTGAATATACAGGTGAAATCTGAGCATGGCATTGGAAGGTAATAAGTGTACGTTTCCTAAAATGGTCAGTTTTAGATCCCATTATCCTAAAAACCCTTGGGACCCCTTATGCAGTTACACAACGTAGTAGTCCTGATCGCTTCGGCTTCCCTTGTACTGTGGATGTGTAGTGTAAGAGGGATAAGGAATACTGCGTTGTGTAAACTTCATGAAGTCTCCAAGGGGTTTTAAGGCCGACGGGTTCAAATGGTAACCATCTAAAAGACACAACAAACCTGTAACATCTGTCTGTTAAAGGTGTTATAACTAGTCTCCCGCTGTTGCCAAGGTATTCGTAGCCATATTTAACGGCTGTGGTGATCATTCGAACCATCACAGCCTTGGCTTCCCAGTAGTAACGCAATTGACTAATCCAGTGGAAATCGTTTGGATTTGTCACGCCATCTTCCTTCAACTTCGCCACCACGTCACGCGCTGAAAACGAAACAAAAAGGGATAATCAGTAGGTAACCGACAACTCATCCGAATCTACAATCTACAATCCTTTCTATCATGACTATAATTTATCTATGATCTTTTCAGCCCTAATAAATCGTATTTCATCAAGTTTGAAGCCACTTGTTTGCATCTTTATGTGTTTTGCAAACTCTTCTGTTCGTCAGTTCATCTGTCGAAAAAGAATGCGAGACACAATTTATGACAGTTTAAACTACATTGCTCATGAATTTTGGCCTTGTAAGTATGGCAATCGAGTGGAATAGTCAACATACCATGGACATCAATAACTATGAGCGCTCCTAAGGTGATTCGTGACATTGTAGACAGTGTTCCTCGAACAAGCTCGACTATATCCTCAATTTGTTTAGTACTTTTCCTGTAGTAATTCTCCAAGCCATCTTTCTCTGACATCGCCTACAAACGTTTTGCAAAAAAGTGCGATCTTAGTAACAGAGCCAGTCAGTAAATAAGTATATGTCTGTAAGTATGTAAAGTCAACTGTATTAAGCGAACTTCTATTAAGCGGTCACCCTCCATAAAGCGGTCATCTACCAAAGTCCCGGAAATCATTTCACTTAAATACTGTAAAAAGTTATTTTTACTGTGCTCACGTTTACTAAACGGTCATTTTGACACATGAATAAGTGAAGCGATTTTGAGGCCAATTTGTCGTGGGATAGATCTGATTTGCCTCTTTCATCGTCTTCATTTTCTAGAAGTGGTACTGTAGATGATGAGGCTTAATGATGTCAGCAATAGGAGCGGTGTATAATACTACTACGGTGTAATAATAGTAGGGGGCCTGAGACCGACCCTTGAGGAACCCCACATGTTACGATAACTCTATTTAGCAGTCAATGAGCCACTCCCCAAGGGTGACTCTTAGTCAGTCATTAGGGAAACGTGTCTGTTCGACTGGTACCTGAGTAACTTCCATAGTCCAGTATATGATACTGGAAGCCAGTACCACTTGTCCAGGCCAGGCTAGCACCCATTCTGTCCTGGGGTTTAGTGGATAAGCGTTAACCGCTTCAGACATCACTTCTTGAAGACTGAGTTTCATCACCTGTTCAATCTGTCATTCAACAATTTGAACGTAAGTTTACAACGTGTTTGCATCCGGTTCGTTTTCATCTTCATCTGCATTATTTCGTCGGTTAAATTTTTACCGATGTCGCACCAGCTATAGTTAAATATTAAAAGGAACAATGAGAAGGTAAAGAAAAGGTAGACTATGAGCTCGCTCGTTCCCAGGCATCCCTGTTGCTCGAAAGCGGCACGCATGGTGTGTTGGGAAGGATGCATTGGGGCCACTTTGCATCCTTACCAAAATGCCCTTCTTTCTCTGTTTTCTGCCCGTTAGTTACTCCTGGGAACAAGACAGGACTTTTAAGGTAAAATAGTTAACATATCAAAACTGCTGAATATACGGGCGCTCACCATTTGATTTGTCAGAACTGGCTGGCCATATTGGTCTAGTCGTCAGACGAATTCCACCATTAATCAAGATTATCCATTATCCACTATTAATCAAGCCTCAATGATATGCACGGCAGTGATAGGTTTTAGTAATTATTATATTATCCATTTTGAAACCAATGGTGATCCCTACAATTTGATTGGCTTTGAGCTGTGTGATTACACTACGTTTTGCTCTAAATCACATCTGTTATGAATCAATTTTGGTCTGAAATCATACTTATGATTTCTTTCTGACTTTTAGAAAGCACACTAAGACAACCTATGCTACATCATAATGAGTTTAAGCCACAAGTGATAAAACGACATAAAAGAACCAACAGCTAGAAAACTAAATTTTGCAGAATGACTGAAGGCAATCCACTCCATTCGCAAAATTCTCCACTACATTCCCAAACGACTTGTTCCGTTTTGTTCTGCAGATTCCTTTTTTTTTGCAATTTAGCTTGAAATGCAACGCAGGAGATAAGATACGAACATCTCACCATTTGTTCCTTTTTCCCTGAAGAGTAAACTATTAAGCAACTACAAAAGCTAGACAATAGGGAGTTTAGGCAATGCTGTTTTCGAGCGACGCAAGTCAATCGGAAGTGACCTCTTTTTCCATTTTAATATGCCTTGACAATACCAAATTTGTATCCCTAAGTATCTTTTCTCTCAAAGAGACGATTTGCCCAAAAATGTGGTCAGAATAACGCACCACGATGACAAAAGTTCACTTCCGGTAGATGTGCGTCGCTCGCATAAACGTCCCTAATTTACTCTACACAACCTGTAACAGCCATTTCTCCACCAAGCCACGCGCATGCCCAGGAACAATCTTCCTCGCGAACTTGACCGTCTCTCCCTCAGCAGAGATCATAGCATTGATCTCTTTGCGCTCGTCAAACTCTAACTTGGCGATACCCTCAAAACACTTCTTCAGATGAGGCTGGACTCTCAGGGGATCTTTAGTTTCGGATAAAATTTCCAGCAGTTCATCATTTGATAGAAAGAAGAATCTACGAAGCAGAAGAAATAAACAGTACTTCATCCAACAATCAATGATTCATTGGAGTCACTCACTGAGTCATTCAAGGAGGGTCCTCTACTATTAAACTGATAGAAAAAAATGAAAACCTAAATACGAGGTAGAATTTTCACAGTATTGAGAATTTTCCGACGTGAACCGGCCAAATAAAATGATAAAGCGCTCTCAGCAGAGTGGTCGAGTTCCATCACGCTAGCTTGGGCGCAAAGGAAGAGTCAAATGTCATCCACACAATAAGCGTAAAATACCAGAAAGATTTGACAAACAAGTGACTCTATTATCCAAAACTCTGTTGGGTAGCAAATGAAGGAAACACCAAGAAAGTGTAGAAACAATGAGGAAAAAGCCTCAGCAGTAAACGAAAAAACACTGGTATTAGCGTGTTTTGAAAGAAAACGAAACTTGAAACAATACCTCGGGAAAAACAAGCGTTTCTTCTCCAAGTATTCATTCAATCCTTTTTGTATGTCTTCAAGAAGGCTCTAAATAACAAGGGAGAGAAGTAAGTAACGGGGCCACTTCGCCAGCCGAAAAAAAAAACCAGCATTGTACTATACGGCATGACTATGCAAGTGTTGAATTGTGTATTGTGCCTGATTGAAATGAGCAACACCAGTTGCACATCATTATCATCATTTGGCCCTCGAGAAATGCACCTTCACAGAACGACATATGAAAGAAACAGTTCTCCGAGGTGCCATCACGTGGTCTGAAAAGGGAAAACAAAACATAGAAGCTAAAAAAGTTCATTGGAGATGGCACTAGGCCATTTCCGAGTTCCAGAAATCTCCAATTTCAAAATAAGGCCATGTGCACAGCCCTTCTTGTGAAAATGGATATTTTGGACACGTCGGAGTAAGTTAGGATTTTTTCCGTCTAAGGGCTGCTGTTGCCATGAGGTTATTGTCCACGTTTCAGACCGGTTCAATGAGTTAGAGAGTGTTGAACAGACAGAGCACGTATTGCGTCACTAGGCGTTATGCATCCACTGCAATGTGGCTGTATTTGCGCATTCATTCCATAGTTTACAGCGTGGCCAATTTTATGTAAAATGGGTGTGGGCTTGCTCACCATACCTAGTACCGCATTATGAAACATCAAAGAAGCCCGCCTTACCTCTGACAACTGTAACTTGTCTAACATTTGAGACTGTGCCGTCACCACCAAAGCATGTGGATCCTTTACTGATTCAGTCATGATCTTTCTCCTGAGATATTTAACCACAAAGAAAACGATACTTCAGCGCAGGAATACAAACAACAAGCCTAGCAATTCAGCTCATTAATTTGGCTAACAACGCAGTTTAACAGATTACAGCTAAACTGCGTTTCCATCCCATGAGATAATAGAACTGGCTTAATCAACCCATGATCAGTCGATAAAACCAATAGTTTTGTGTTTCACTCCCCAATCGACGCACAACTACGCTTTCTTTTCCTTCTTTTTTTGGAAGGCTAACCCCAGCAGATAGGCGTCTTTTCTTTCTAGTTGTGGTAAACTTTGCAAAAATAATAAAAAAATAACGAACCAGTATTGGTCGACCGTACGGAACTTCTCTCCTTCTTCAGGCATTTGTGCTTGAATGTCCTCGGAGGAAAAAATGGGTTCCAAATACAGCCATGACGCTTGAACCTAATGACAAGGGAAAGGCCAGGAAATCAGCTTGAAACGCTGGGGTACACCAGAAAATAAAACATGGGGAAATAGACCATTTTGAGTAAAAACTTAAGAGTTCAAAGTGTTGGTGAGGTCAGCGCGAACTAGTCATGCGTGCAATTTTCAGGATATGTGGAAATCAAAGTCAGCCACGCCTACAACTAGTCTTGGAGACGATTGGTAGAGGAGGTAATGTACAGGTTAGCTTGTCCAACTCCGCATTTGGATGTCAAGCGGTCGAGCCTTGCTCAAGAAATCGCATTGTCTGCTTCGAAAAGCAAGTTTGGTTCTAAAGCCCTTTCTCCGCCCAGAGGAACCAGTGACAAACTAGCCTATACCGGACGCAAGGTCAGTGCAGACCGGCGAAAAAAGTGATCGAGCAGCGAAAAATCGAGCGAGCGAAAAACAGCAGGAAGAGAGACGGGGAGAGGCAATAAGCACCTCTTAAAATACATTAGTCCGCCCACTTTTCAAACGAATTGCAAAAAAACCGATTCCCTTTAAAAAGGTCAAAATGTGCGGTGTAGGAGGGTTTCACCCGCTCTCCATGTTTGTTTGACTCTTCGGTATACTGGAAGCTAAAAAACCGGAAATGGGGTAATGAAAACAATGCTAACAAGAGGCAAAGGCTCCACTTCCTGTCCTTTCCCAGCCCCCCACGCGGTTTTCGCGCAACGTTTACTCGATCTTGGAGCCTGGAACAGGATAGCGACACACTGCCAGGGGAAACTCCCTGCGAGGTACTGGCTTTCCTTCCAGGTAGGGCACTAATAGTAGTACATCTTAACCTTTTGAAGAACTATTTTATTGACAAAATGAGTCGAGCCAATGAATTGAAACAGGCACAAAAATAAAGGCATTGTGTAAACAATACAATACATTTGTTATTGTTAGATAAACTCTCTGTAAAGAATTGGAACCAACCTTTAACCAGGATTCTACAATGTCTTGCATCAGATTCTGAAACAAAATAATGTCAGAAATCGTATTGAACGCGACTGCATCGAAATACATATAAAAGAACACTTTGACATGACCTAATATCAGATAAAATAAAATATAAGGAACAAATTTCATTAGTTGACGGCAAAACAAGGTTGAAACATTTGAGGGGAAAGTTAGGTATTTATCTATAAATATATATATATATATATATATATATATTTATTTATTTATTTATTTACTTATTTCTCTATTTATTTACTTATTTATTTCTAGGAAGCCTAACGAACCTAGGAGCTTATATTAATGAGCTTCCTTACTGAATACCTGGTTAAGAGTGTTCAGAGACATAAAAACTAAGCGCCAGACTGACAATCAATGAGATAATTCGTCAGTTTTTTGAAAAAAAATATGGACGGGCTAGTTAGTGAAATAGGCAACGAATTGCAGATTCTTGGTCCTCGATAAAGGATACCGAAATTCGTTCTACAAAAATGAGGTTTTCACTGAAAGGCTAGTCGAGTTTCGTAATGGTGAACCAGGGTGATTTGTCCTTAAAGACTAGGTTATAAAAGCTAACAGGCAGAAGAATAATCGCAGAAACCTTGAACCTTGGAAATAACTGCACGAAAATTATAAAAAAAAATGTCAGTTAACAGAAAAGGAAAGAAAGTCAGAGTTAAACTTACTAGTTTAGATTCCCACTCTTTCAGTTCAGCCTCAAAGGGAACGACGAAGGGGGATCCCTTCATTGTCATCGTCTTTACAATATGATCATCCAGCAAAACCTGCAAATTAACAGACATAACTACATTCAGGCGAGGCTTTGGATATACGGTGCAATATTGGCGCAATATCATCCACTCGACATGGCTACGAGTTAGAGCATTCCGTGTAACATTCTGCGCGACATCTGCTGTGTGCCAACCAAGCGTAGGATGGGCAACGTTTTCGACCAGCGGTTTAATAGAAGTACAAGTAGATTCAGTCGATAATGAACCAAATGTGCTGAGGGGCTAGCAAGCATTGGACATGCGACATTTTTGGCCAACGGATAAAAACGAATGTGAAATTTGATTGTTTGAAGATCAAAAGTCGCCTCAGTCTACCGAAGGAGACTTGCCCACTCTGTAAGTAATGTCTTATTTTTTTAATTGGTTAGCACACGCCTGATATGTGATCGGTGAACAAAGACGCCGCGAAACGCTAGAAACAAGGGCACTACTGAGCTAGCCTGTGTTGCAGACAGTCTAAATCCCCGATATAGGCTCTATCGAGTTCTCTAACTGGGACTCCAGCGACAAGTCTGTCTTCAACGCAGGCTTATCTGAGCAATCTCGTATCTTTCTTTAGGCGAGCTTCGGGACGAGGTGGCAGCGACACTCTCCGCGGTTGAAGTGAGAGCACTCGCGAGCAATCCCGTATCTTTCTTTAGGCGAGCTTCGGGACGAGGTGGCAGCGACACTCTCCCGCGGTTGAAGTGAGAGCACTCGCGAGCAATCCCGTATCTTTCTTTAGGCGAGCTTCGGGACGAGGTGGCAGCGACACTCTCCCGCGGTTGAAGTGAGAGCACTCGCGAGCAATCCCGTATCTTCCCTTTAGGCGAGCGAGAGCACGAGGTGGCAGTGACACTCTGCCGCTCTCGTTAACGTCGCCGTCATCGTTGCTTAAGCCCCCTACTGTTGTGATCCAGAAATTTTGCAACCATAGTAACATGACGTCACACTTCTCTCTATAGACACACTGCTTCAAAACAACTTAAATAACAGACACAAGACACAGAAAAGTATTGAAATATTACCTGCAGATCATCCACTGCGGAGAGGATGCTTAATCCAGTGTCCTTGTACTGTACAAACACAAACTCAATGTCTTTCCACTCGGCTTTCATCCTGCTTAGAGCCTGATTAAAGGAACAAACAAACAGTTAACAAATTCAGCTTTCACTCAAGTGTGGAATTTTCCCTCAAGAAACCTTTTTTCAATCCTTACTTGTCCAAAGAGTACCTCTTTTAAAAATGCACTTCATTTGAGTGTCAATGTATTCAGCAAGAGACTACTAGTTGGGAGCATTATTTTTACGTTTCCTTCTGGAAAAGGGACCGCCATTTTACGGCGTCATCCGTGGTCTAGCCATTTGCGGGGCAAAGGAAGTAACTTCATTTCTCGGTTATTTCAAGACCCTGCGTATTGTCTCTGCAGTCAAGCACTCTACCGACTGAACTATTAAACATAACTGATATTTGAGAAGCGAAGCGCACTCCTTTACCACAGCCTAGTTTCAGATAGCCAGTTACATTATAAAATTTGGTATTAACTTTTGAGTCTGTGGATAAAGTTAGCCTTAACTTAGCATTTCAGTTAAAGTAGGCATTCCCCTGGCCTGTGTTACAGTTATAGGATAGATATGGGATGCAAATAAAGGCGATACGCGTGGGGAAGAACACGCGTAAAAAAAAGCCGGACAGCTACCTGCTTTCCCGTGCGTGTCTTATTCCCTCGTGGGTCTTGTTCGCGCGCTATATTTCTCCGTCTTCTGAGGAGGCAATTTCTCCTTGTTTTAAGAAATCTAACTTTAATCTAACTACAATAAGTTTCCCAAAACCAGACATTGTATCTTATGAGGCCAAAAATGATCTTTACTAGATTCCGTATGATTCATACCCTTTAGTTCCCCCCCCCTTAAATCCACTACCATAGAAGGGGGATGATGACGAAATTCCTGGATCGAAAAAGACGTTTCTCCCAACATGGAGCGATTTTCCTAAGACCTTGGGGAGAGGATGATTTGTTTTTTGTAGTGGATGAAAAAATTCAAAAAGACCTTTCCCCCTAATATGGGGCGCATTGACGTTAAAGCGAAGAAAAGCGAAGTTTTTTCACCCGAGCGTTCGCTTAACCAACAAAAAGCCACGGGAGAATCCGTTTAAACATCAAATGCAACCAGGTTGAATCCTCAGTTGTAAAACAAAAATACGTTTGAACGAAGTATACAACCAGATTGTCACGTATCTGCGGTAGTAAAACAAAAATCAGTTTGAGCGAGTATACCATACGCACCTTCTCCAGAGAGAACTCCTTCGCTGCCCGGCCACTTATTTCAGTAAGATCCTCTACAAACTTGTCAAGTCCAAGAACTAGCATCTCATTCAAAGTGGTATCTTCTTTGGGGGCGATATTGAAACCAATCTGTTAAAAAAAAAAAGAAGATTCAAAAAGATCACCCCAGCGACATTCGGTGTTTGAATGTTCAAAAGCGAAAAAAAGTTGCGGCAAGCTTCAAGCACATTAAAACCACAGTCTAAGCCAAAAGTTATTAGTCTGCATACTTCTAAAAGCGCTTAAGTCTAAATGAACCAATCAAATTTCAAAGAAAACAGATTAAGAGTGTTTATGAAGTTGACACACCCCCCCCCCCCTCCCCCCTAGTTCTATAAGAGTGTGTGAATCAAGGGCCACACTGGTGTAGTTGCCCATTGGCCAGCTTGCCAGAACGAATGTGTTGTTGATTCTTATCTTTACGTCTGTCTTTATTCTGTTAGCTCTAAAAATGTTTCTACCTATTCGTTTACAGTATTGATATTTTTATTAATAGCAGTGTAATTAGTTTTGTTGTTGTGGTTACTGTTGGACCTCGGAGTGGAGCTTGCCCTATGAGTGTTCCATGCCTGGTGGCAAAGCTTGTAAACTAAAAACTAATACATGAAGCCAGTGCTAGCGCGAGAAACGCGTGCAAGTAAGACACGTTGGTCGTTGAGTGTTAATTGTGGTTTGCTGAGGAAGGGGAACAAGGTTTTTTAGCTAGTCACCTCAAGTAACGATGCAAACTAGAAGAAATTAACATTTTTTTCAGCCTGCCTAGCAAGCGTTTCCGCGTGAGTTATCGCTCCAATAACTCGATTGGAAACACTTGAGCACAACCTACAACGTCTTCAAAAGCCTTATTTAAAAAACGCTGTATAAAAATAGTTATGTTGACGATCTCAATGTCTGCTTGATAGGCTATATTGTACCTTTACGCTCATTGCTTCCCAGTGTCTGTCCTTAATCCCAGGTGTACACAAGGCATTGATAAGAGGCATATTGATCTTGAAGTTCTCCAGTCTGGCTTTAGTGGTGGACGCCACTCTGAGTGGACCGCGGAACTCGGGGTGAGCAAACTCTTTGGTTAGCTTGTAACTTATCCTCCATAGCTCCGAAACCTGTTGAAATAAACTCTGTTTCAGCCCTAAAGTGTCAATTCAGCCCTGCAGGCCAAAGTCTGATTCAACCCTTTCTGGAGCCATTTGAGCACAATTTAGGCCAAAACAGCTCAATCAAAAGGCTATTTCAGCCCACCCTGGGGCCCATTTCAGCCCTTGGGACCAAATCAGCTACAGGTAATTGTCCTGCATTGACCCTGATTTAAGGGAGCCAAATTGGACTCAAAAATAGGACTGTATTTTCCTCACCGGAACGGCCCCATTTTTAGGGCCAACAGATCTGAGTTGACCTGAGATTTTTTAATCGTAGGAAGCCTCTTAAAAGAAATGGAAGGAAAAGGCTTCCCGAATACGATCGTGTCTCTGTTGATTCACTTTTTCATCAATTTCGCTGTGTTATTTCACGCCAGTTTTCGAAAGGACGAGGAAACGCACACGAAAAGCTAAGGAGTTTCCAGTGATTTATTCATCTTGAGCATGCGCAAATCAATTTTTTCCGGGACTCAATCTCCAAAGAGCGTAGCGAGAGACAGAGGACAAAACTGGACCATAATAAACACGTGGTTACTGGAAAAACAAGAACATGAACCATAAAATACTTTTAAAATACCTCTTCTTCAATCTCTTCTGCATTAAGCTTCAGGATAGGCCCAGCCAGCCACCTTTCCTGCTTGTCGTGGAAAGTCACCAATGCTCGCCACAACTTGTCAAATGGCTCCTTCGCTTCGATAATGTCTTGGATTTGAGGAAATGCACTGCGCACTTCACAACCAAGCAAGTCTTCTTCTTTGTTAATTTTCTTTCTCTGTAACAAAAGGACAGAAATGTGTTTGCCGAGAAAGCAGACTTTGTTGATAAGAAGCCCTAACGAAATGAAGTTTGGAAAGTGACTTCCGTGAGCTTCGAAAAACGATATAATTTGTTGTAAAGACAACGACGGTGCCGATCACCTGTTAAAAATTATCCCTTACGAAACCCAAGAAATTTTCCTTGCTTTACAAGCTTTACAAGAGCCAATTTACTCTTCGTTATTTTCTCCAAGAAAAGAGATTACCCACAGTCTATTGCAAGGTGGGTGATACCCTGACGTCACGAGTCCCTCATCGAACCAAGAGAAGACTGTGGCAATGATGACACAAAATAGCAAGTAATTTGAAAGCGTTTTGGATAGGTTAAGGTTTCTGGGAAACTGCCCGCCTACCCCTCCCCTAAGTCAACATTAACACTTACTTCTCACTTTATTAGGGCAAAATGTTGACTTAAAGGGAGGGGTAGGTGGTAAGTTTCCCACAAACCTAAACTGATCAGGGTTTTTTACGCAAAGTTCCTTTGGTAATATAGCGATACAAACGAGAAAATTGCAAAAAAAAGTGTTGGTTTCGGGCACGGGTCGATTATGAGGAATTGGTTAAAATATAGTTAGTACCTCCTCCAGAAATCCTTGGACTTTATCTTTGAGGTCATCTAGCTGTGCTAAGTACGTCTTTGCCTCTGACATTCTGTCTTTGGTGTGAAATTCTTTCACACTGACGAGAGTTTCATTCAGCTGCATTTCAAACCTCGCCAGCCAATCAAAGAGCTTGTTCATGGCAGTATCGTGCTCTCGCGTAACGCGAGTTTCACTGGATGAAACAAACACACAAACATTTAATCATAGTAGTGTCATACTCTTCTGAAAATAGCGTGACTTTTAAATTGAAGTACCTAATTTATCGACTTTGCGGCATTTTTCTAACAATTTGTAGAAATAATTTTTATTGTATTGACCACCAACATGGCCGCCAAGTCACGTGGTTGCAAACCAAGAATGGCAAAGAAACACAATTTGCTAAACAGGTTGTAAATATATATATACCTCATTTTAATAATTGGCATAATGCGATCAGGCCAGGTAAATGTTGTTTCGTTTAACGCAAGGTGATCATCAGCCAGGAAAGTGTGATCCATCAGAAATAAAACCAGGTCTGCAGCATCCTCCAGCTCGGTCTGAAAGATTGAAGACAAAGAAACATAACAACTCTTATAACTGCTACTCATAGACTACATAAATAGGCAGCTTACGAAACCACTACGACGTCGCCCGCAATTAGAGAGCCGAAAGCTAATCACGACGGCGACACTAGCGAAAACGTCGTTACAAAAGTGAATTCGCGCTATTTCAAACTTCACTGCCATTATACTTCATTTCGTTCAATTTGTCAAATGTAGGCCGAGTTTATTTACCTGGAATTCAATTCTAAACGTCCTTACCCAAGTTAAAAAAAAGACAAGTCATCCTCTTGTGTTTACCTTCTCAATAAAACGTGAAGTTAGGAGAAATAACGTCGTAGTCGTGTAATGACGGCTACTTGGAGCTAACGCACAGATGACGACGCTGGTGGACTTCGCTAGTAGTGAATTAACGCGGTTTCAAAATTCATCGCTCTTATTCCCAGTCGTTCAACTTGGTCAAATGTTGGTGAATTTTTCTGGAGATGAATTCTAAAGGACAGTATCCAAGCTTAAAAAAGGAATTAGAAAATTTTTGTCTTGTGTCCACGTCTCCAGAAAACGTGAAAATAGGCCGTTTCACCTCGCAGTCGTGCAACGAGGGCAAAGAAATGCACGAAAAAAGCGTGATGCACGTGCAGAGTTGTTGTTTTGCTAATTTTAACCTCCTACTATTTTTTACTTTCTTGTGTCGTCGTCGTCGTCTTTGCTTAAGCTCCCTCAGAAATAAAAATAAGTAGGAACAGTTCTATAACTGACATACCCTCAGATGTACTAGTGGTCCAGATCTCAAGTTGTCGATGTACTTTTCCAGATCCACAAGTTCCTCAGTGGTCTTCGCCGATGATGTTATGCGATTGACAATGTAATCATACTGCTGACAGATGGAGCGGTTGAACTCAAAACTCTTCTTGATCAGCTTGGATGTCATCAAACTTGCCAAATCACGGGCACGTAATACAAGGTACTGAAAAAAGATTTTAACAAAAAATAACTCGAGACACAGGTGAGAAAACTGCGCCATCCGTGCTACTGGTTTGCGCCTGTTTACATGGAGGTCGGGGACCCCAGGTAGGTGAGGTAACCCGCCTGTCCATATAATTTCTCATTTTAATTTGATCACGATTATGTGATTGGTGGCGTGAAATTTTGCCATGTAAACGTTTCAAGGTGGGGTAACCCGCCTAGCCGGGGTCGGCTTCGTGATACATCAAATACTGACGGAGCCCATTCCTTATAAGCCCGGGGGTTTCCCTTGGGCTTCCTCGCCATTTGCTTGAAAATATGTAGAACTTCTTGAGCGAACTGAACTGAATTCGCGCAAAATTCACTTTTGGCGGTTGCTTTGCATCATTAAAATTAACGCTCGCAAACTCGCAAAATGCAAGTGATTTTGATAATCTGCGAGAGAGAGAAACATCCACCACTAGCAAACGTTTGCGAGTTTGAATCATCCGTGTCTCTCAAACAAAGGGAAAGAATTTGTTAGCGATCTCACCAGTTTGCCAGTGGAAAAAAATCTTACTAGCAAAACTTTGCAAGTGCACTAAAAAGTTAACTTCGAGCCCTCTTAAAGGTGACAATAGAGAGTCACAGCACTGAAGGTTACAGCGACAGCAGCAAGTGAGAGTAGAAGAGCAATAATCTGCAAAACACGTCGTTTGCCAGCAATTTTTTTTTTGTTTACGCGCTTAATGACCATTCAGTAATCTTATGAACTTGCACCCCAAGATGGCTGGGTTGTAAGACTGCATGTAAACGCGGGTTATTTTTTTTACCCCACCTAAGCGGGTAACCTCATCTTCCTGGGGTCCTCCACCTTCATGTAAACAAGCCCTTAGATAAGAATGAACTGTTTTGTCAGCCAAATATACCTTCTGCTTCACGCGCGCTTACAAGCTTATAAGGCTAAATGATCTAATTCTTATAACATACTTCTTTCATCCTGGTGCAATCCAGTACAAATAACTCCATAGGAATGAACATATCCATTGAGGCAGCCATGTTTGAGAGGTTATAGACGTTTTGCAATTCTCGTCCATATTCCAGTAGATGTCTGTCGGCCGCAGTGAATCTCATCGTCTTCGCATCGGACTCTCTCGTCAGCAGGTAATGAAGTGGTTCGTAGACTGATCGAAATCTTCGATGAGAAACAAAAGCAACTTAAAATTGCCGAGGAACAGTTCCTGTTGAGGGGTTTGGCCATAAATGGGCGGGGCTGGGGTTCTTATCGAATGGACAGAGAGCTCACAGTTCATATGGAAGAAGTTATCGCGACTTTGCGGAAAATATGTTTGTAAGTTTTCAATAAATCACTCTAAAACTTGGCAAATGAACTGATTGAAAGACGCTCTTTCTAGCGATGTTGATGGTTTTTTGCCAACTAGTCCACGTAAAAAGTTGAAAGCAATCGTCAAAGGAACTCTTAACAATACTAAGCTGACTGTAGGGTGTCTGTGGAGCGTCCCTCCTCGCCGTAAAGGCGATGTTACACGGGACGATTCGCAACGCCGATTTTTAGCGCAACAAAGTGTTGCAATGTTGGAACAATGTTGTAGCCGTTCGAAACAATGTTGAAACAATGTTGCAACGCTGTGTTGCGCTAAAAATCGTCGTTGCGAATTGTCTCTTCTAACATCACCTTACAGGACGTTTGGTGAAACGACCCTAGCAGCAAGGAGAGAGGAGAGAATGCTGTATTCGCAAGCTAGTAGACTACGAGTAGTCCCCCATTTTTTCTCAGGGATAGTAGAGCGAGCGAAACGCGAGCGCGCGTGAAAATCACCCTACGCGAGAAAAGGCGACACGCAGCGGGGAGGAGAAAAATGAGGGACTACAGACAATTTCTCTCTCTCCCCGCCGCGTGTCGCCTTTTCTCACGTGGGGTGATTTTCACGCGTGTTCGAGTTTCGCTTGCTCTACTATCCCTAAGGAAAAATGGGGGACTACTCGTAGTCTACAGGCTAATAGAGTACAGTCTTACTTGAGAGGTCCAGCACTGTTTTTGTCCACCACCTCAGCAACTCTTTCCCTTGCCCACTGAACTCTTTCTTCATCGAGTTGCACACTGCTGATGTATCTCTTCTTCATTCCTTCATCCTCGTAAAATAACTGATGCTCAACACACTCCAGGCCTTGTACACTTTTCACCATGTGATCAATAATCTCATGAATTGTTTCAACCACATCTTGGAAATCTGGCTCAAAACCAACAGTTATTTCTTCCACATCAGGGACCTAGCAGCAAAAAAAAATCAATCAGAAATTACTCTGCCAACTAAGCTTACCCTGAGGTAGGTGTTATACTCTCCATTTCGAAATCTTAAGCGTAGAATGTCACGCGCGAGTGAGCAGCCGCGAAAGATTCCGCCCTCGCAACTCGCTTCGTTTGCCGTTCGCGTGTGAGCCGACGCCTTCGCCTTCGCTTTTCTAGAAGAACTTGCTTGCTGGCTATCGAAAGACTGATTCTTACCACTGTGAGTACAATTGGCTGCGGCAGTACGGGAAGGCTCCTCTCAAAAGGCCCAGTGAAATCGTTCCCGAGCTTGTACATCCCCAAAAATTGCACAAGGTCTGTGATAGAGTTATACACAGCACTTCGGACACTTCTGGACATTAGTGAGGCTACCGAAGCAAAGAAATGATCCATTTTGCCAACTCTAGATTCCTGTGAAAATGAATAACGGGTCAGTTACAACATACACGCACAAAAATTAGTAACTTGACTTCTCTGGAGATCTATCTTCTACTTGATTGGATGAAGACTTACCTGTCCGAGGCATTCATTGGGTCGATTTTGGGCGTTTTCCATTTACCAAAAACTTTCGGAAACTTCCATGGAAAGGTCCATAGAGTGAAGAACGTGTTCTATTTGACGCCAGTTCCATCCGTCTATGCTCTCGTCACCAAAATTCAAGTTGGCGGGACAGATTTAGCCCTGCATAGCCTGGAACTGAAAACTCGTAAATGGACCATGCATTTCCACCGGAAAGTTTCCAACGGGAAAAAGGACTATCTTTTCAAAATTCCACTTATTCCTGGCAACTTTCCACTGGAACGCCTGGAAAACGTGTGTTCCATTAGCATCCCAACCGGAATTTGCGGAGTTTCTGGGAAAATGGAAAGCGCCCTTTATGTCCAGTTGCACTGCTGACGAGGACGAATTCTGAATGTTGACGAAGCAGCTTCGAAAGAACCAATAGAAAAAGCGATAACGTCCAAAAAACAGTCCACACAGTGCAATTCGAAACAACACCGATCCAGTGAGTCACGCAAAACCTCAAGACGTCAGTTAAGAGGGGGTTGACTATGCAGGTCTGACAGCACTTAAGGGAGGTCGGAACTGGGGGTCCAACCCTCCCAACTACCGTACCCCTCCCCGCGCCCCCGACACTCCCACACTGTCTTCCCCCACATTATACCGCCTACCTCATCCTCTGGCATGCATTCCTCAATGGCATCTCTTCTGTCACTTATAACTTTAACGCATGTTGGGATCCACCGCTCTACAAGCCTCTTAACGCCCTGCTGGGTTGCTTTGTAAGCATTTTTCTTGAGGTCAACAATCGTCAGAGGAAGAGAGTCTTTTAAACTGGGAATGTCTATTAACCTTAGTTCCGAAAATCTAAAAAAAAAAATAAACAAAAATTAGAAGTCATTTAGCGAAATGTTACTGCTAAAAAATGCTTTCGGCATTTGCGACCTTTTTTGCTTCGTTTCCTCGTTTCTATCACAGACTTCACTGGAGAAATCTTTCTTTCAAATTTCGTCTTATTCGCAAGCACGTGAACGCTGGCATAACTTATGAAACGACAGAGCAAATTTCCTTCACAACGTTACATTAACCGAAATGGGAAACCAAACAAGCCAAGCGAGGTCAACCTTTGTTTCTCGAATGTTCTTAACTTTTTCAATAAGTCCATAACAGATTTTTACTTTGCCAATTTGAAGTTTAGAGCACGTAATTAACGAAACAGATAAACAAAATGGCGTTTGATGCAGAGAAAAGGAAAAGTAGAAGATGTCAGTTTTCTTGTGAAATGTCATAAAACTAATAAAAACTGCACCTTTCAGTTTTCTGCTGTGATGCCAGGTTGCAAAGAAAGTCATTTTCACAGCTTGCCATTCGGGCAAGCTGAAGCTACAAACAGCTGCAAAAATGATGAGACACTCCCACGGAAAAACGACCTTTCTTGCTTCAAATCGCTCCTGGTCACAGGTCTGTAAAATATAATACTGACCTCCCTCCTCCCTCCCATTCAAAGTTGTTCCTCCAAGTTTTGAGTATGGTCTTGTATTGCTAGCAACTTTGATAAGAGGTGGAGGGGGGATCACAAGCACAAGATCATGGACAGGCCATTTATGGCAAAATACGGTACAGTGTCTCAAGTACTTTTGCAACTGGTTGTAGCATTTACTTGCCCAAACTTCATTTCAACTAGCCCCCAAAATTTTTTGATGAGCTGAATTTCACAGTTCTTCTGTAAGTTAAATTCCTCAAAATACTCCACTTGCCCGTCGGCCAAGTCATGAACACAATTCACTAGCCCAATAGCAAAATCCAATAGCCCCGGACTATCGGACAGTACTTTCTTTGCACGCTGGATGCAGACTTTATTGTCTGAAGAGCTTTCAAAGAAAAGGTAAGCGGCGTTTCTGACTACTGTAACAGGAAATAATAAACTTACTCTGATTCCCACAGGTACAACAGATCACGCAGGACAACGTGTGTTACAAAAAGATTTTTTTCAAGGAACTCTCTGCAGCTTATAACTGAAGTATGCCATGGGAACCGATCTCTTCCTGCGGAATAAATTACCTGCAAAAATATACAAAAACATCGGTAATTAAAACAACACACTTTTTTAACGAACGATGCAGGCATTTAAGTGGCTGAAAGAAAAGGCGTTATTTTCTGACTTCACGTGTGAGCACGAAGCGCAAGGTTTGCGTGATCGCAAAGACGGACGCCTCTCTCACCGAACGGGAATGAGTCTCCACGATCTTCCCGCGCTTCACGTTCGCCACGAAACGCATTAAAAATGACGCCTGTCTGTAATTAATTATACGTTAATGTCAAGCCATTCGAGACCGGAACTGGGGAATTGTTTGAAGCGGTCCTGTCCCGGGGATAGTAGTAATAATAAGACAACTCAAATAGACTGTATATGAAAACGGATACAAGGCTTTTAAGATAAATGAACAGAGATTCAGTCCAGTTTTCTTATGAAGCGTTCTATCAAGGAGACGCTTAAGAGTTTTTTCATTCCTTTTCAAATGTATTGTTTATGTATTAACTACATACATGTTTTATCCTTCTCTCAATTAACTCTAGAAAATGTTTATAAAATTTCTGAAAACGTCTCGTTTTGCTATTGTACAGAAATCACTATTGCTCTCAAAAAGATGTACCCCCAAAAAATCGTATGTGAGGTCGATCAGGATCTCGGGGGTGGGGAATTGTCTCCTGCGCGCCCGAGGGTGGGGAAGATACCACCAGGAGAGGAAAAAAAATGCAAATTCCCGGGGGTATACCCGGGGGAAGCATGGTAACAGATCAAATTGAACCATGAATTATACTCACTGGCTGTGGCATATCAAGACCAAGTCGCCTTTGTTCTGCAGGATCTAGTAGAACATAATCCAGAATGCTTTGCTTCACACTACGTGTGTATTCTGCCTCCATTTCCTGAAATTAAAATGCAACATATATCCACAAAAAAAGTTTTGCATGTCAGTTTCTTTCAGGATTTTGAGAAAGATACAGTAAACTGAGGACGCGTATCTTTAGGGCATTTTCACTCACATGGCCAGTGGCTATGCAAATTTATTAGAACAAAAGAAATATTTTAATACATAAACAAAAGGTTTAACTTTCACAGACTGGTTTTGAACAACAAGATGGTAACCATTTCATTGTTTTGAAACAGCCAATATGGTGGAAGTGGGATCATGTGAAAACACTCTATACAGTAACAGAGTAACACACCTTATCAAGCTCATCCAGGGTTTCTTTAAAATCATATCGCAAAGTTTTGGGGAGAAATTCATGAGTTTTCTTCTTCCACTCCTTGCTCAACGGTGCCACCATGCTAGTAAGAATTGCATTTTCCACAAGACTACTGTAACGTTGTTGCTGTGTTTCAGGTGGTGATACAGCACGGGAGAGTCCAAGGGTAGGAGTGGTAGATGGAGGAAAACTTATATTCAAAACAGAGAGGGTTTCTTCATCATACTCTCTGAATGATGACATGGATGAAATGTTCTGTGGAGAGTTTGACTGGGTATTACTTTCAGTAAGTTCATGGATATGGGAGTCCGTATGACCATTTGAAATCAATTCTGGATCAACACTGGTGTTTTCCTCTCTAGACTGCTCCTTTGATTTGCCTTGATCAGTTGAGTCCCAAGCAATTTTTGCCTTTTTTGAGGCTGGTGAATTTGGTAATGGTGACCTCTCCTCATTTTGGTGTATGCTACTGGATGAAGGACTAGGTGAACGTCTAGTTGCTTTTTGCCCTGCAGAATAAGCTCTTCTTACTTTGGGTGGTTTGGAACTTGATAAAGGACTTGCATTTACGTCAATTATTCTGTCTCCTTCGGAGTTATCATATTCCTGGTGCGACAAAGTTGAAGGTTGGCCTGACACTGGAGGACTTGTGTGTCCCTTATTAAGACTCCCCTTGGGCACTCCATGGGTAACAAAATGTCCCCAGTTCCCTTTAGACAGTGATGAAAATTGTCCAGATGCCGGAGTTTGGGTTTTTCCACCATAAAGCAGTTGGAGTTTCTCTTCAATGACATTTCCAGGAGGACTGTGCCGCTTCTTAGGACTTGTCCTCTTAGTAGCTGCAATTAATAATTAAACAGACAAAAAAATTTATTGATTAGAAATGACCAGGGCAGTTGTCAATCCTACTTTTCTGTCAGTGGACAAAATCCTATGATGTTACCATTCAAATGAAACCTCTCTGGTACACCTTTTATTTGGTGCTAATGTTTTTTAGGGACTTTACAAAATAAAATTTGAATTTTATGTGATTTTTCAACATTGCCCACTATTAGGAATGCAGAGGTTAATTCTCTGTAGGGTGGATATCTGTCTAAGATCGACCCTTAGTGCCAGTCCCAATACTGTCTGCGAGTTTTAGACTTCTGATTGAAGGTCAAAATGCTCTTGCTTCAACACTGGTGCTTTGTGCAAGTTTCACAGGATAGAAGGTCAAAACACGCATGATCAGATTACAAGTGATAAAAGGTACAAATGCATGTGATGATATAATTGCATTTTGTGTATTCCACTCATTCTTAGTGAAAGTCCAAACAATCAATCAATAACTTTATTAAAATGTCAGAACTTTCTAGCACACCACAAGTGGTGCACTTATCGGGGACACTGTAAAGCAGATTACAAATGCTGCTACATACATGCTAAGCATGCATAATATTAATCAGGAGATTAGGATTGCAAGGTCCTCGTGTCACAAGCAAATAAATATTTTAATGTAGTAAAAATCTACATGGCCTATCACCAGCTATAATATTACCAGAATGAGATCCCTTGATTGGCCGCTTATAAATCAATTTTGTTGTCAAACTCTGAGCTGAAGGAGTGTAATTATTAGCCACTGCATCACTGCAAAAAAGATAATATCACCACCACTAATTGAGCTTGCCTATCACCTCTGAATTAACATTCCGGAATATCCACGGGAGGATCACAACCACGGTTTTTCCACTTTATAAATCATGACCAAGTAATGTAATTAGTTATTTTCCAATTTTCAATAAAATTTGTTGTTGTTGTTGTTGTTGACCAAGCATCATACTTATAAGTGGATTAAGGGGCAGGGGGGCCCACACCCACATTTTAATCCCCTCTTTGCAGCATAGTCTGGGCTAAGTTCCAGGCTTATGAGTGGATCTAGGGGCTGGGGAGCTCACACCCAGATCTTAACCCAGCTTCTGTAGCATGGTCAAGAACCATGCTAAGGGGCGGATGGAGGGAGGGGGACTTTGGGCTCATGCCAAGGTTTTACCTTAGTTTCTGTACCAGAGCCAAGTACCAGGTTTATGAGTGGATCTAAGGGGCACGCAGCCCACACCCATATTTCAATCCACTCTTTGCGGCACAGTTGAGCACCATGCTATATAGGGTGGATGTGGGGCAGGGGGGGCTTTGGACTCATGCCCAGGGTTTTACCTCAGTTTCAGTTCCAGAGCCAAGTACAAGACTCACAAGTGGATCTAGTGGCACACACCCAGATTTTAACCCAGCTGTAGCAGCTGTAGCATGGCTGAGCACCATGCTGGGGGGTAGATAGAGGAAGGCTGTAAGGGTTGGGGCTTTGGACACATGCCCAGGTTTTACCTCAGTTTCTGTACCAGGACCAAGTAACATACTTATAAGTTTGGATCTATAGGGGCAGGGGGGTCTACACCCAGATTTTAACCCAGATTCTGTAGCATAGCCAAGTAACATGCTCAGGAATGGATCCACGGAGGGAGGGTCAAACAAAGATTTTAACCCACTTTCTGCAACATGGTCAAGTACCACACTCAGAACTCAGTCAAGGGGGCAGGGGAGTGACAACATCCAATAGGCTCAATATTAAAATTTGTATACCTAAGCCCTGATAGTCCCTTTGTCAAAACTAGGTGTAACTAACCTAATGAAAGAGCTAGGAGCTAAAAGAGCTAAGAGCTAGGTAGTACACAGGTGCAATCAGGGTTCAATTTAATAACACTTTTACAAGTGTTATTTACAAGGGTAGCCATTGTTTTGGAGTCTGAGAAAAATGGCTTCACTTGTAAATTACACTTGCAAAAGTTTTATTAAATTATTGATCCCTGCTTGACTGAGTCTAAGTTAGCCAGCCATGGCTCTCAAAAATTCAGTTTAAGAAATTTATTATCACTAACTAAATAACTTTGAAGATAAAAGCTATGTCAAAATGGCCATTACCTTGTATGCCGATAATGGCCTTTTTCCTTGGTTGGCGAGGCTTGCGTATAAGCTCCATACTCAACAATCTTTGGTCTATCACTATAGGCAGGCTGCAAGTAAAATCATTTGAACATTCGTGTGGTGAAAAGGTGACAGAGATAGACTTGTAAAAAATTGGTTTGCAGTACAAGCATCATACTGGCCACAGGATTGAGTTAATTCACAAAAGACCAGTAAGAGTTAAGACTCCTCAACTTGGCCTTTACAGGGCTCGAAATTAAAAAAATCTTCAGGTCGCCTTTTGGCGACCAACCGGAGAAATGTAGTCGCCAGATGCAAATTTTTAGTCGCCAGTTTGTAATATGTAAATGACGCAGCTCATAGGTACAGGGCTTCTGATATTTCGAGCAGTAGCGGAGCCGCGAAATTCACTCAAAAAAACTCACAAAATCTTATCAAACACATGTCTTTACAACATATTTGAAACTTACCTCAGCTATTGAGGCTATTTACTTGCCCTAAACTTGCAAATTTGTCTTCATACTTCGTCACTGAAACGTGCGAATAACGTCCCGAAACTACCAGGCGCAATTATGTTGCGAAAAACTGGGCACTAGCCATGATGTTAAAGGCTTTGCATTGCCCTTTGCATAGGCTTTGCCATTAGTTCATTTCTGGAACGTATTGTTGTTGAAAAAGCAAATGATGACCTCTGTTAGAAAAACGTTAAAAACACTGGTCTCATCGGCGCAAAGCCGATCGACATCTAACAAAATTTTCCCTCAAAATAACCACAAAATCGGCCTTTTTTACCGATTGATTTTCGGCGAAGTTTGGCCCAAACATTCCCGCGAAAGTGCCGCAAAATCGGCCAATTTTTCCGCGAATTTGCCCCCAAAAATCCCGCGAAATTTGACTTTTTTCCGCTACCTATCAGAAGCCCAGCATAGTATGGTGTGATCCATCAGATTTGAAAACTGAATATCATGAAGTCGGTATAAAGTGGCTTCGTTTATGCGTTTTGGCACATTTCAGGGGCACCCAACGATAATTTTTGGAAAATTATCTGTTCGGAAGACGATTTGAGACCTAGAATTTTTGGATCATTTTCTGTAAAATTTCTTGCTTGCCTCCCTCTCCTAGGATTTTCGAACATCAAAAAAATGGTATAATTGCCCATTTTTAACAGATTTTTACCCTAAAAAGGTCACCTAGAATTTTCGGGAGCCTTTTTTCTGGCTGAAATTTTTGAAAAGGTAAATTTTGATCCCCATAATTTTTGGATCACTATACTTTCATCTAGGAAATCCGAACGGATGAAAAATTTTTAGGGGATAAAAATAAGCATTTATCTATCGTTTAAATACTAAATTACGTTCAACAATGCTCTGTTTAGGTGGTTTTGAACTATATCCTCGTTGGGTGCCCCGGACATTTTTCATGATGAAAGCAAAGCAAGACTTGAAGATGAAATGTTTGTTTTAATTTTACTCTTCTAAAATCTGGCGACTAAACCAGAATTTTTAGTCGCCAAGGAGAAAATGTTAGTCGCATTGGCGACCGTATCAGTCGCAATTTCGAGCCCTGCCTTTAATACAGGGAAATAACTGGCTAAGGTCTAGCATTACTGAAAATTCTCTTAAACTACGCAACGTAAATCTAAAGAAGACATCCTCCTATGGTTTACATCCATGAAGAATGGTCCAAATTCTATTAAAAAGAACACTTTTCACCTTGAACCAGAGAGCTAGAGAGGGCTCACAAGATGTCCAGATATGAAGTTTGCATATGCAAATTTGTAAGCTTCTAATAAATAACTTGTAAATACCTGTGGAGCACTTAGAGGAGGGAGATGGTCAAAGATGTCTCGATGCTTGGTAATTAAAACGCTTTCAGGTGAGTCTCTTGTTAATGACTGAAGATAAAAAAAATAATTTAAAACTGATTTACAAGAGTGAATCAGAGGCAATTCCTGATGGCTTGTACTTCTCTTACCACTTCTCTCATAACAACAACAACAACAACAATAATAATAACAATAATAAAAGCAATATTCTGATTACAGACACTGTTCACAGCACCCTTAAGGAGGATGAAGAGGCAGGATTGGTGTCCTTTAGGAGTTGAATTATAAGTTCTGATGGGCTACCCATTGTTACGGCCCATCGTCGTACTCGTACTCGGGTCATTAAAAGCCCCGTGAGACTGGACCTGTGAGAGTAGAATAAATTATGTAGATAACACGTCACGTGACTTCCTTGCTAGTCGCTCGTAGATTTGTTGTAAGTCGGGTTCCCGGGCAGTACATCAACCTGTTGTAAATCGGTGTATTGTAAATCGAGCGGATTAAAGTTGTGTTCAAGCGTTCAAGTTTGTATTCCATCGCTTCCATAACACCCATCACTTTTATATATAGAAGTTGCCCCCCAACTCCCCTTCTCTGACCCTAAACCTCAACAGGGTTTATGATTTTATATGACCATCTACAGGGTCAGAGTCCCATGACCCCTACAGAACCCTGTCAGGGATAAAATTTCAGGGTTATCACTAAGATTTCAATTTGCTGGGTAAATACAACAAATAGGCGGGGAATCAAACAGCTACAGACTTATTTTGGTTCTATTTAAATTTTGCTTCCATTTTCCTATGAAGGTAGCCAGAGACCACGCTCATAGTAACAGGGGGAAATCCCTGGCCCCTGGCTCTTAATGACAGCCCTGAAGTTTTCTGTAAAGCAACAACAGAGCATATATTTTGTCCTTTGTCCTAAACAAAACCTCAGCCACAACCCCACTTCTAAATCCAGCACAACCACCCACCCCATTCCCCGCCTTCTCCATGCCCCGCACCAGCAGAACTCGACTGAACAGTAATAATAATATGCATCTCTTTTTATCACAATTTTTCATGGGACTTTGATTGAATAAATTGATTGCAATACCACTTACGACAGAGGTCATAAGCCCGAATACTTTTTACCCATTCATAATGGCGTCTGTTGACCAAGGTATTTTCAAAACATCACAAAGCTAAAATCAATCAATTGTTTTTATTCTCTTAACTGAGATAAAAGCCGTAAATGGCAAAAATCAGCCGTAAATGTATGCAATTTCTGATTCCTTTTGATTTTGTTTAAATTAGTTTTATCGGCGCAGAGGCTACTGTTCCAAAATGAACGTTATCCATTTCATGCGTTCTTCGATGTGTTAATTTTTCTGACATATATAAGCTTATTCTTCATGAACACGACACCTAAAGCAACTGCACATATAAAAATAAAAGAAATTTCTTTTGGATACAGTAGTGAGAACATATATGTTCAATGACTGCCGATTGTTTTAAAAACAATTCAATATTTGGATCCGCTATCATGGCAGCAGGCTTAAATAAGCTATAATTTCAGGTCAGTATTAATGACTTTAGCAACGGCAATACCAAATACTTGCAAAGTAAAAATGATCATAATAACCTTGGGATTTATCAAAACGCATCTCTAAAACATAAGTTCATAAACGAACTACATAATCGACAAAGTGACTATTACCTCGGTTCTTTCGCGCGCTGCCGCCATTTTACTGTCAGGGTATTTTTATCCGATTATTTTAACTTCGTGACTCCTCGCCGCTTGTCGTAGGAAATCATCATCACAGCAACAAACCGCGATTGTTTTTCTTCTCCTACAACATTTTCGAAGAAATCGAATACAGACAGAGACCGCTGCATCAGTTATGTTTGCCAATTTGCCAAAAAAACTTACACGGATCTGTGACATAAACTCGTCTCCAAGGTAAATCAATCGAGCTTTGCATAATTTATGATTGACACTGGGTTATACAGCACAAAGTTACAACGGCGCGGGGTGCACTGTCAGAGACTTTTTGATACGAATCTTTTTGTTTAAGCAGAAATTTATTTAATCACTTGAAATTAGCTAACGGTTCTAAATTGCGTGAAAAACAACGGACAGAGATGATGGTGAATTTTATGGGGCTTATCATGTAATTAGTTCGGCCCCTGCGACATGTCACGCTTTCCGGGCACTTTGTCAACTAATTTCACTCTTTGTTCTCCAGTCCTTTGGAACTTTCGGAGTGAAATCGAGTGGAACAATTTAATTGCTCACGTTAAGTATCACAAAGCTTTATGAAAAAGTATGTTTACTAATCTATGATATCCTAGAAAGCTTTAAAAATATCTCAAAAAGCAACATCAGATAACAGACGAATTACTGAGAAGCCCTGCTGAGAAGGGGAATGAAGAATGATGTGGGTGGGAAAAAGGGTTTACGCTAAACCACGCGAAAAGGCTAAACGTATTTCAAAACAGTCTTATTCTCGTGGGAAATATTCAGCTTTGCCGATTTCTTCTTGACCTTCTTAGCAAGCCACAGCTTTACTCTTGATTCCTTCCTGGAATTTTACATAATGGCGAACCCCCAGCTGGGCGGGGTACTCTGGATTTAAGTGACGGGAATGATCGAATGGGAGTAAAACTGAAAACCAAAAAAATCCCTGGGGCTTTCTGAACCCTGGACGAGGGTCAAGGGAAAAAATATTTTTAAAAATAAGTAATTAATACAAAATATAAACAGTAAATGCTGTAAACGACGTCTTTGAACCCTCGAGCTCCGACATTTTACCCTCGACCTTCGACATAATACTCTCGATCCTAGACGAACGCTACACTCTCAGCTCCCTCTCGCAGTGTATCTTTGTCCCTACCTTTCGTTTTCAAGGAGGTATGTCTCGATTTTTTATAAAATAACGTTCACACCCTATAAATACATTGGAATTAAAGAAAACCCTGAAATATAAAATGATCCAGTTTTATTTAAAACTATTCTGATATTATACCTTATTAAACTACAAGTGTGTCTTTGGCTTTCGATGGCCAGAATGAAGAAAGCTAGCAACTTGAGAACCCTGAGTTCCTGTGATGTCAAAAAATGACCAAAAACCGATCCTGCTTTGTTTTCCTTTTGACAGTGAGTCATTTGGTATAATCTTTCTTGTAGAATTCCACATAATTTTTAAAAGAAAAAATGACTCAGGACACTTTCCACAGTCGACCCTATCTTAAGGGACACCTCTACGAGACAGGCACCTGGAGTTGGTCCCTGCCTTTCTTTACTTCCTATATTTGACTCTCTGTCCCAAGGTGACGGTGTTTGAGAGAGTTGGCTGTAGTTATAATTTTATTTGACCACATAGCTAACCAGTCAGCGAACCGTTTGGGATTTTGCTGTCCGGCACAAATACATATTTTAGTTATTTTATTATCTCAGGTAATTTTTGTTTCATCTTTATTAGCATACATTATCATACCCAAGAACAAAAGAAAAACAAAAAATACCTGAGATAAAAAATTAACTACAACATACATAAGTAACAAGCTGAGGGTAAAGAAACTGGACACAAGAACTGTTAAAGAGTTCAACACATTGGTGATTATCTTTATTCCAGTATTTACATTATACTACACAGAAGAACAGTTTGTTTTACCTACGGAGTATTATAATATAGGCCTAGACCAGCTGGCTTTCCACAATTATTTTGTAATACCATTAAGAATAAAATTTGAATGGCTACTCTGGGTTCTTGTAACTTTAAATTATACATTGCAATAACATTTTTCATTAGATTGCACATAAATAGTGCACAAAAAAATAAATTATAATAAATTATTAAATTTCCTTTGTAAGACAAAATGAAAAATATGGCGAATAAGTAAACAAAACTAGTGAATTAGCGGGAAAAGGAAGGAAAAGTAGGATGTCCTAAACAAAGTGGAAATTTTACAGAAACAAAGGAGTGAGTAGCCTGAGAATACATCCGTCTCTCCTAGTTCCTAGTCGTGAGGAGCAAGGAGAGACTGATGTATTTGCAGGCTTAAAAAGCAGCGCTAGCCGCAAGGGAGGAAAAAGCAGACAAGAAAAAAGCCACCTCTCTCATCATGCATCTTCTCCTTCCTTGCACGCATCGCTTATCTTGCAACTTTCAGCGAGCTACAACTACCTAAATTTTCCTCTATACAGGATTCGAACAGATTTTTTTTATCGATTTCAGTTTGGGACTATGAAATTTAAAGCCCTAATTGGAGTAGCCACGGGAAAATTCAGCACCTGGTCCCTGAAAATAACTAGTTACATTACACCATATGGGAAACATTTACAGAGACTTACACCTGTTGCTAGACACCCTTTCTATTCAACTTACCAAGCTAAGAAAAAATGTTGCACATGTAAGTAAATTGTTTGTTTTGGAGGCACTGAAACAAGGCTATTTGTTACCCATCATGAAAAATTATTTTGACGACTCAACTGCCCCCCCCCCCCCCAATCCACACATAAACTACTTTCTTCATGCTATAATGGTGCAAATCCACTGACATATTATTTACAGAACAAGGTACATACCATCGCATTTATCTTATTAGACTGCTTATAGTCCCCTATTTTTCTGTAAGATCATCGGGATCAAGCACTACCATTGAAATCAAGACGTTCACCCATAAAGGAAGCCCTCAATATAAAACCCCGATGACCTTACGGAAAAGTAGGGGACTGTTTACAGTCCATTATCTTATTATTATCAATTAATGTAATATTCAGTACATAAAAGCATTTCTCTTGTCTCTGTTCTTTCCACGAACCAGCGTCCTGGCTTTGGATACTGCATTGTTGTAAAGTTGCTGTAGATAAAACCATTGCAAAGAATCAGTTATTGTTTTTGTAAATATCCAGTGTAACAATCCATTAGCTATATATGGTTTCCAAAGTCCAGTTCAAATGTCAGAATTCCATCCAGTCAAATTTAATATGACTTTTGTCTTAAGTTGAAAGTCACATGTTTAACTGCTCTTGACACCTCATTACAAGAAAAGGAGTATGAAGTTACATCAAATTTCCACCGAGTTGAATGACATGTACACTCTATTATTGTATATATGAAAACTGAGAAAAAAATCATCCAAAATTTGAATCATCAAACTTCTGCTGCACTTAAATCGATTACAATCAACACAGCAGAAGTTTTACATTTGAACTGGACACAAGTCACCGTGTGGAGACGAAACTGGTTGAAATAATTTGGAATATAAAATTTGTGTTTGAATGTTTGACTGTTCCGCTGTAGGTATAAAATAAATTTTCACCTTAAACACTTAACAGACCCTTAACTCTTTTTGGCAGAAAAACCAATCATACGCATGACCGAGACAATACTATAGCTTATCCTTTCTCATTATATCATGAGCCAAACATAAGGGCTTTTGCATCACATGATAACCCAAATATCACAACTTCCACATCACATTATTACCAAACATCAAGGCTTACCCTTTGATAGCGAGATGTTTTATGGACATCTGTGGGTTTAAGCTGAGGCCCTAAGTCAAAGATGTCACGAAGCAGGTCATTTTCCTGGCAAAAAGAGTAACAATAATATCAAGACTTGTGTAGATCATTTTCACTTGCATGGTTACACCCTCTTTTTATCAAGCCCTTGAAGTAGGGATGGCAAAGTATAGAGAGCTATTGTCAATAACTACACTTAACAGGAGAGTCAGCAAAGAGATCATAACAGATTAGAAGATTCCTTTACCTGTAAGTGAAGGGTTACCCCTGTACCAAGAGCATCTTTAAGTGCAATGTACTGCCTCCGACGAACCCAACTATCTAACTCCATATACTCAGCTCCAAACTTGACCACCTCTTCAGGGGCAACACCCTCCTGACAAGAAATGATGGCATAGAATAACATCAATACAAAAGTTAACTAGAACAGCATTAGCAACCCGCTACTGTTTCAGTCTCAAGTAAAATTATTCAAGACAAGAAAACAAATTACTACTGTGAAGGCAGTTCAGATATCAGGTACAATAAAATGTATTGCTCCAGAAAAATCCAAACTCCCCCTACAGAGGGTCTTTGGTTTGACCCCCTGCCAGCCCCACCCCTCTGGAAATTCCACTTTACCTTTATACTTTTCCAGTATAAAGGGTATGGAGATTTTTACAGACACACACAATTTGACAATAATAATTTATTTGCTTCAAATTATTTCTTTGAGAAGCATCGACCATTTGCAACCTGGGAAAACAGCTGACATTTTGCGATGCCAATGTTGGTTTCCCCACAAAATGACATGGGAAAAATGGGGACAGAAATTCCATACTGACGACTCGTCACCACCCAGATCCGGGAAGAGCTTCTGATTAGTTGGAAATTTGCTTCATCCAATCAGAAGCACTAACTGGATCTGGGTAGTGACATTGTCATCAGTATGGAATTTCTGCACTCATTTCTCAGACTTTACTTCACAGGAAAACCACTGGTGGTGTCCCAAAATGGAAAATTTTCTCAGTTCATTTGACAAGTTATAACAAACACTTGATCAGCATTAATCTCTGCTTTAATTTAGTTTTTAAGAACCACTTCTTGCTGTAATGATATCAGGTGAAAACACTGCCTTTCATGTTCAACAAACACATACAGTACATGATATATTTCATAACTTCATAAATCACCTTTCCATCATCATCTGGTATAAACTCAAAATATTATTTTTGGCTCTATACAGCTAAGTCTTTGGGGGGAGGCATAATAAAGATTACATACCTCAATAGTTTTCAGAATGTCTCTAAAGCTCGACCGCTGTTGTCGCAGATCTTTCTTTGCAATGTGCTTGTTACCTTCCGTGGCAAGTTCCCTTATAAGATCACAAACGCCATTTCGATCTCTGTAACCAAAGTCCTCATGAACGTTGCGTCCCATCTCATACATAAGTGCTAAGAGTTCTCCTGCAGCAATCCGCACACTGAGGTCACTTGTTTGAAGAAGAAATGTCATTCTTCTTAAGTGCCTTGTGGAGGGAAAAATCAGCATTATAATAATGTTATCACTGATCGTCATAAATAAACTCATGGCCTGAGAAAACAGCAGACATTTAGCGATGGCACCACTGGTTTCCCCTTGAAATGACATCTGAGAAACAAGCGCAGAAATTCCAAACTGATTACGCGTCACTACCCAGATCTGGGTGGTGCTTATGATTGGCTGAAGCAAAATTTCCTTGCAGCTAACCAATTAGAAGCACTACCCAGATCTGCGTAGTGACGTGTCATCAGTATGGAATTTCTGAGCTTGCTTCTCAGACGTCATTTGGTGGGGAAACCAGTGGTAGTGTCGCCAAATGTCTGCTGCTTTCTCAGGCTATTAAAATGATGGATAAAAACACAAATATATGTAATTGAATGGCACAGTTAAAACTTAAGATGATTGCATGCTCTTGCTACTCACTTGTTAATGAGAATGTAAGCTTGATTTTCTGGTGTGACAGACAAGAGAAGGGCCCAAGCCGCTAGAATACTACCATAAAGTGGAACTTCATCTGGCTTGACGGTCTTCTTGTTGTCAAAAATTGCCTCTAGGACAGCTGAGCACTCAAATAGCTCCTGGAAACAATGTTGTAGAGGAATAATTACTTTTAAATTCCTTTAAGGTAAAATACTACCAGCTGACATAATGAATCGACCTGGGGAAAGGATTCATCGGTTCATATATGTACCGTGATCTGAGTGATTTTGGACCATTGATCCAGATCCAGATCACCCAAAGGAATGTACCCTTAGATTCCCTGGCCAATTTATCACAACAAGCTATTGCTGACCATATAGGCCATGTTCTAATCAAGCGGGGAACTGGTACGACTTATGACAGTCAAGGCTCTAGGGATCACTTGAAGGGACAGTAAAAACATGGCAGACAGCAGCAAGGCACCCATTAAAGACGCTCTCAAGGTTATTATGACTGAACAAGACACAATTGGTGCAGCTGTAGGGTCTTAAGGAATTCTGCAATAGTGAAGATAAGTTGCATTTCTGAAACTATCATTTTTGTCTCAGAAAAACTAACAACCCTATACAGTGAAGCCTCGGTATAAAGAAGGGGCAAGGGACTGACCAAATATGTTCGCTAAAAGGATGTTTTGTTATAATCTTATACTGAGGTTCTTTTACAGATGTTCACTATTAGTGGGGCTAGGAATATCATTCATTGTTATACCAAGGACTTCGTTATCTAGAGGCTCATTAAATCGAAGTTCCATTGTACTCTAATTTGATCATGAATTAGTACTAAGATTCCTTCTAGAACTCAAAACTCACATCATGATCTTCACTTGCAATAAAGCAGCACAGGGCCAGCGATGTAGCACACTGTAAACCAAACAACAAATCAATAAGAAATGGTGGAAATAATGTTTACTTAAAATATTAGGTACACTAAATGAAAATGTTACTGACTCTCATGTATCAAAGTACATGGCACAGTTTACTGGATTAAGTATGGTGGTTGGTTTGTAGCCTGCGAGCAAGCTCTCCTATGTGGGCAAGGGAAGCGAGCCTCGCGGGAACGCGCGAGCGAGGGGCCGACGAAAGGAGAGCTTGCAACCATCTCTCATAAATTTTCATTTCCACCCCGGAAATCCCGGGACTCCGCAAAGCGTGAAAACTGTCACCGCAAACATGCCGCAGATTAGAAAAGTGACAACCGCCTGTCAAGTAAGTTTAGACAGCCAAGGGTGCGTAGAATTATTTATTTACAAATCGCTTTCACAACAGCATCAAAGCAATGTTTTTAATCACTTATATGCTTTTTTCTTCACGGGGACATCGAACTTCAACGTGTCAGCTCGGATAAGAACTCACTACTTTGATTCTCGTTTCGTTTACTTTTGAAAAGTCGTCCATACTGCAGTGTAGAAGACTACTCCCCATCGCAATCACCAACAAAAACATCATATATTTGTCCGTCTGGAACTGGAGAAAAGCATTTTCCTGCACTTGGTGTTGGGGTCGACACAGAAATTTCGACGCGTTGATTGGACTATTAATCTGTCTTTAATCGCCAAGTTTCTCGTGCTTGGTTCGATCGGTGATCACTGGTCATGAACGGTGAAAACTGAACATAAAATAAGCAAAAATGACAAATAAACCTAAAGAAAACCTAAATAAACCTAAAGCGACACTAAAGAGCGAAAACTACTTACATTCTGTGCGATGCAATCGATGAGAAATTCAAAACATTTGCTCTATAACACTACACTTGAAAACACGTGGTGATCTGGTTTTGCTGTGGTCATGTGACCATCCGAAACTAACATGATATAAGTAGTCACGTAGTGTCCAAAAAGGAAGTGAGCATAAAAAATAAATCAAAATAAAATTTGGACTAAACATTCCACCGGCCTTGGGACAACCCAGTAGGTAGGCCCAACGTCACTAGCCTAGACTAATTATTCTCAAGATCGTTCTCCAGTAGGCATAGCTTCTGAATAGGTCGGATGAACACAGAGTCCTTTGTCTTGACTTTCGCTGTGCGCACCAGGCCGTCGGGGCCAGGGAAGACCTCTAGGACTCGTCCAAGTTTCCAGCATCCTCTCGCACGTTGTCATCAACTAACAGGACAAGGGCCTTGACTTCAGGTTAGGTAAGACCTTTCTCCACTTTCCTCGGGCTTGCAGGGTAGGTAAATACTCACGCAACCACCTCTTCCAAAAATAGGTCTGCCAGAAATTGTACCTGCCTCCATTTCCTTCTGTGATACTGATCTGCTTTCTCAAATATGCCAGGGGTAGGCAGATAGTCTTCCTCTGCATTAAGAAATGCGCTGGCGTGAGTGGCTGAAGGTCATTTGGGTCGTCTGAATTGGCGGTGGCGCTCGCCCATTTAACACTCGTTCAACTTCAGTCAACAGCGTCTGAAGAACTGCTTCCGTAACTACTTGGGTCCCTAGGATAGACTTCAGAACAGTCTTAGCACCGCACCATCCGCTCCCAAATCCCAGACATGCTAGAAGCAGTTGGCGGCTGGAAGACCCATTTGCACCCTCGTTGTAGAAGCTCTTGCACAATTTGTTGCTGGTTCCACTGCTCGATCGACTCTCTCAGCTCTCGTTCACCGCCAACAAAATTTGATCCTCTGTCACACCTTAGTTCAGTCACTTCACCACGACGGTTCATAAATCGTCGCAGACACATTATGAAGTCGTTTGTGTCCATCGAGTGAACCAATTCAAGATGTACACTACGTGTCGTTAGGCAGGTAAATAAGCAGCACCACCGTTTGGCTGTTCCTCTTCCATGCTTGACGTATAAAGGACGAATAGATCCATTCCTGTGTAGGAGAATGGGGGTTAAATGACGCCATCATCCGGCTTCTTGGCAGGGGAGCCATTTGCTGAGTCATCGGCTTGGCATTCAACTTCTTACAAACAAGACACCGACCCAGGACAGAACGAGTTAACACCCTTATTTGTGGGATCCAGAACGTCTCTCGAACCCTTGCTATGAGGTGTTCACGCCCCAGGTGACCAATTGATGCATGGGTGTGGCGGACCATCAGGACTGTCGCTGGATGATCTCTGGGCAGTATTATTTGATTCCTGGCAGTGTCAGCAGCTGGTGGTGATGCTATCGTCCCTTGACTCTCAAAACACCATGGTCGTCTTGCATTGGGTTCAAACTAGCGATCTTACTGGATCCCCTGACCGCCCCTGGTCTTTAGATCCTTGATCTCTTGATCGTAGGCTGCGTGCTGGACGATCTTTGCGATGGATAAGGTAGCAGCATCGTAATCTTCTAAAGTCAGATGACCTGTGTGGACAGTCTTCCGGTCACGGATGAAATGAGTGAAGCGTGTGAGCCAAGCCACTTGGCGTCTGAGACGGTTCCAATCAGAGGAGGTGCTTATTATTTGTTGCATGGTGGTCTCAACAGGTGTGGCGGGGGCAATTAGACTGTACGCTTGCCTGGCGGGTCTTGACATTGGTGTTTATGTCAGTACAGTTAGCATGGGTTTCTTTCTTAAGCTCTAGGCCTTCATCGGGGACTTGTCGAAGGCTCGCGTTGGGCCAAAAAGGATTCAGGTTGCCATAAGAACTCTGGTCCTCGTAGCCAGCGGTGATCAAGGTTTAGCTCAGAGGGGTTCAAGCCACGTGGCGCATCGTCGGCTGGGTTCAAGACACCTGGCACGTGGTTCCAGTCGTCTGGCTGTGAGTTTCCTCTGATTTCTTCGACTCGATTAGCGACATAGGTCTGGAAACGACGCCTTTCATTCTTCAAGTAGTGGAGAACTATTTCGCTGTCTGTCCAGAACTTGGTGCTCTGAATAGGAAGGTCCAACTCTTCTCTCAGCATCTTATTCAAGCGTGTAGACAGAACAGCAGCTTGGAGTTCTAGCCTTGGAATGCTTGTGAACTTGACAGGTGCATTTCTTGCTTTCCCCACAACAAACGAGCAGTGAATGGACCCATCTGGATTCTCGACTCTTAGATACGCAGATGCACCGTAGCCAATTTCAGAGGCATCAGAGAAGACATGCAGCTGTAGTTTGCCTTTGGAAGCATCTGTTCCAGCTGGCAAGTAGCAACGTGGGATGCGCAGTGCAGAGAGGGATGACAGCTGTGAGGTCCAAGACTTCCATCTGGCTAAGAAGTTTTCTTGAGTGGCTGGTCCCAGTCTACCTTAGCCTTCCACATATCCTGGATAATTACTCTGGCAGTAAGGGCCACAGGCGCAGCAAACCCAAGAGGGTCATACAGGGAACAAGCGGCGGACAGTACTCACGCTTTGTTTCGGGTCGATTCAAGTTCTTGATGTCAAATCCAAGCTCATCTGTTTCAGCAAACCAGCGAATCCTAAGCGCCCTTTCCACTGGCAGTTCGTCTAAGTCAAGATTCAGATCTGGTGAGGCTCTTTTCTCGGTGGGAATGGTTGCCAAAACATTCTTACTGTTAAATCATGAATTTTGTAAGGTTGAAGCCACCGTGATTCAGGATTTTCACTAGGTCCGATGCTACAGTAGATGCTGCATTCTCCTCACTGAAGGATGGCAGAGCATCGTCAACATAAAAGTTCCTGTCAACAGTTGCAACAACTTGCGGGTTGAACCTTTCAGCATTGTCACTGGCTGTTCTTCTCAGGGCGAATTTGCAACGCAAGGGACGAGGTTGCTCCAAATATGTGTACTTCCATAACATAGACATCCGGGGTTTGTCGTAATCATCTGTCCACCAGAGGAATCGTAGAGCTTCTTGATCTTGTTTACGCACACGCACTTGATGAAACATTGCCTCGACATCAGCGGCTACCCCTACATGCCCCTGTCGAAATCGCAGCAGCACACCAACGAGACTGTTTGTCATGTCTGGCCCTTGAGCGAGATTCTTGTTTAGAGATGTTCCTTCATACTCAGATGCGGCATCGAAGGCGATACGGAGCTTGTCAGGTTTGTTGGGATTGGTCACTGGATGATGAGGCAAGTACCAAGTTATCGAGCTTTCTCTAGCTGCTTCTTCAGGGGACAATTTGCGTGCATAGCCCTTGAGATGTACTCAGTCATGACTCCACGGTACTTAGCAGCCATTTGCTCATTTCCTGCTTTGGTCAGGCGTCGTCTAAGCAATTCTGCTCGTCTTTCAGCTAAAATGCGATTGTTTGGCAGCTTTGGCTGATCTTCCTTCCATAGTAGGCCAACTTCATAATGCCCGTCTACAAGGTAGAAGTTTCTTCAATGATTTTTTAGGGCTCGTTTGTCTTCCACAGATAAGGGCTTCTCTCCTGCTTTCAATGTTCCATAGTCTTGATCTTCCAAAACCTTTCAACAAAGTCGTCAGGTTTGTGTCCAACAGAGATGAAATTGAGCTCAGCTCTTCTTGTCCCAGCGATAGTCAATGGACCTGAAATGCTCCAACCGAGAGGGTACCGATAACCGTGAGGGGCCGCTCTTGTTGTCTTTCGGGATTCTGACTTCCTTCTGCAAGTGTGCAACAGGGACGTTACTCCCCACAATGATCGAGACTCGTTTAAAGTCCACCACTGGGAATGTAAGGTCTTGAAGGTGCGGATACTTATGGACATCTACTGTCCCGGCAAAACTCGTTCTGATTGGTTCAGGTCAGGGGAAGCGTAAGCTTCATTAACTTCAATGTCTTCACCATATGCTTCTACAGGACTGAGAGTAAAGGAAACGCGTCGACTCTCCACCAGCTCCTCACTGTTCGTAATAGTCTTAATCCCGATTTGCTCGAGATCCCTTTCAGGTCAAGATGATCAGCAAGCTCTTTGTCAATGAGGGTATCGGTACACCCATTGTCAAGAAATGCATATGTAGAAAGGGAACCACCGTTCTCTGCAGTAATGGTTACAGGAACTACATTTAACAAAACTTGGGCTCTTGTGGTGCTGACACGGCAGATGTAATCGAAGTCTGTGGCCTGTCGCTGGGCGGCTGTCTTGTGCCTTGCTCCATTTGTGGTTGCGGGTTATTGGGTCAGCAGTCGGAGTACTGTATCGGTTAGTGGGGTTATGAGTGTTCTTGTTTCCAGGAGTTCTCGTCCATTGTTGTTGTCCCTATGCAGTATTGGTAAGTGGTGTCCAGGACACAGAGAACAAGCTGGTGGCTCAGGACAGGAAGTACCACTGTGATCGGGATTATGGCAACCACAGTTAAAGCAGAACCCATACGATGCTGCGTATTGTCGACGCATGCGGCTACACGGTCACACTGTTTGACGATTGGGCACTCCTGGAGTCGGTGGGGAGTAGACTTGCAAATTGCACAGTTTGCAGAGTTCTCTTTCTTGGGGCGTTCTTAAGCGATGTGGCGTTGATCGTAGCGTTTTTTAGGTGGGCAGGTCCGATCCTTTAGAAGCTTTGGGGGACTTGTTTGTCCTGTTTTCTCCCTTTGCGGCTGCATTCCAAACACTGGGTCATTCCTTATTGACGCTTGCCTTTTCACGAATTTTGCAATGTCCTTTAGTCGTGCAGTTCCACCACGGCTAACAATCTAAATAGTTTTCGGTCTGCCACTTGGTGATTAAATCATTTGGGAGTCTGTTTACGATTCTTCTTAAATTGGTAGCTACGCTTGCTTCGCGTTCCACATCTCCCTTCAGAACCTTGGTTGAAGTGTTCAGCTTCTCGGCAAAATTAAGCAGACCCATGTTGTCACCATAGGCAAGTTTGGGGCCTGAGACTAACTCTTGATGCAGGCTTGCGTCACCTGAATAGGGCGACCAAAGCGTTCCTCTAAGATCTTCATTAGCTCACTATAGGAGGAGCCTCGGTTTCTTTTGATGACCTCCAAGGCTTCTCCTTTCAGGAACTTTCGGTAAGTACTCTACCCGCTGCGCATCAGTTAGTAGCTCACTTTCAAGGTGAGTATGTGCTTGTTCTTTGAAGAACGGGAAGTCTGCTGGGTTGCCATTAAAGGGTGTAGGAGAGATTCCGTTCAGAAGCTGTACCTTCCACATGGCTGCTACATGGTCTTTAGGGGCTTGCTCTATTACTTTGTCTTCTGGCTGAGACTTAGGTCTATACTGGAAGGTTCGTGGGGGCTTGGTATGGTGGCTGCTGACATTCAGTGACTGGCAGTGCTCCCTTGTTTGCAGTATCGGCAATATTGGATTTGACCTCAGTGGCTGGCTTTTCCTTGCACGAACCAGGTGCTGTGTCTTGGGGGGTGGAGCAACTGACAGGTATAAGAGGCAGTGAAGGTTTGGGTGTCGGTGCTGGGATTTTTGGTGTTCGGGGTTCTGAATCATCAAGTTGAATTTGAGGTGACTGTCCCAGTGGTTTCTCCTCAATGGGATAGGTTGTCTGAACAATATTGTCCACACCATTAACAACACCAGTTTCCTCGTCGAACTCATTTTCAATCTTCCAATCCAGTTCAGCTAGAACGGCTTCGTCCTCGAGTAGTCTCAATTCCTTCTTTGCGCTCCGCTCATGCTCTGCTTTGACCAATTCGGCTTCTTGTTGAGCCTTACTCTTCGCCAACTCAGCTTCCTCTTGTGCCCTACTCTTCGCTAACTCCAATTTCTTTTTGCTAAAAGCATGGCTCTAAACCTTTCTTTCCGGGACGAAGAGGATCTTGAAGTAGTGGAGCTCTGAGACTGGTGCGACTTGTGACTTTTAATGGAGCTTTCATCATCACGTTCTTGTGTTTCTTGATCAGTCCGTATTTGCGTTTCGCATTCTTCTATTGTAAACATCATCTGTTCTTTGAGGGACTTGAACCTTTGCTGTACTTCTTGTAGTCGTTTGCTGTCACGTATGCCTGGCAGGTACTTGAGTGTACAGTCTCAAAGGATTTCAAATGATAGCTAAACGATCTACTATTTTTCTTGGGCGGACAAGTGCTCCCAATTAGTGTAGAGGAGAGTTTGGAGCTGCTGTGTTTCAAAGGCAACTTCTTTAGATTCCTTGTTCCACAAAGATGCAAGTCTGCGTTGTTCCCTTATTTCGCGTTGATGCACAAGTTCACTAAAATCAATTTGAGTATTTGGTACGGGGTCCTGGCGTGGGAGTATCCAACTGCTCCTCTCGCTGAGTCCTCAGGGTCCATTCCGCGATCCACTATCGCGCGGTCCAGTCCAGAGATTCCTGCGATTCCGTTCGGTCGGTTCTGAGCGTTCGTTTTCTCGAAAATCCAGGTGAAAAACACAGTTTTCTCTTCGTACTTTGCAGAATTTTTCACAATGTTGGGGTCGACACAGAAATTTCGACGCGTTGATTGGACTATTAATCTGTCTTTAATCGCCAAGTTTCTCGTGCTTGGTTCGATCGGTGATCACTGGTCATGAACGGTGAAAACTGAACATAAAATAAGCAAAAATGACAAATAAACCTAAAGAAAACCTAAATAAACCTAAAGCGACACTAAAGAGCGAAAACTACTTACATTCTGTGCGATGCAATCGATGAGAAATTCAAAACATTTGCTCTATAACACTACACTTGAAAACACGTGGTGATCTGGTTTTGCTGTGGTCATGTGACCATCCGAAACTAACATGATATAAGTAGTCACGTAGTGTCCAAAAAGGAAGTGAACGCAAAAATAAATCAAAATAAAATTTGGACTAAACACTTGGTTCTCTTAGGGTTTACTCCAGTTCCTTCCAATTCTTTCTCTTTTCCTTCTTTACGATCAAGCTACACAGCTACACTGTCAAGTACACGTTTCTGAATTTTTCTACCCAGAATAGAATTCAATCGGGCGAAGAAACCGATGTTGGAAGACTGCGCTTTAATCACTCTTCACTTCACTCTCCCGGTTTTCAGAACTAAACAAGGCGCTTGACACAAATGAATACAACTGATGAAGGGTTTTCATTTTCCTTCGACAAGAACTACAAACTCGGTCCGACTTATCCTCGGCACACAATATTCTCTTTGCGAGAATTACATCAAACGAGCTCGTCTGCATTGAGGGCTGAAACAAGTTCTCGGTACCAATCTGATCCCCCTGAGAACCAAATTTGACACACCGACGAAGCAGGTGCCAGCTTGGCCTGTTATCAGTCAACTTTGATTTCCGGAACGTCATTTTTCAGCCAATGGTATTTTCCTTCGTCTGGGCGAAGTACAAATGAAAATTTGTAAGGGATGGTTGCAAGCTCTCCTTTCCTCTGCCCCTCGCGGCTTTGCCGCTCGCTCGCGCACTCTCGCGAGACTCGTTTAACTCGCCCAAATAGGAGAGCTTGCTCGCAGGCTAGTTGGTTTGTTTTATAGTATCTTTATTTTTAGCGTGGTATTAATGGAAGTGTCACTAGGAAAAATGACAAAGAACAACACATTCCAATTAAAAATAATAAGAAGAAGAAAACTGAAAGAGAAAAATAATAAATTTGTCATTATTTCTGTTCTGGAGGACATTTGTAATAAGCAGCTAAGTATTAAAAAATTGCTTCTGGGAAAAATGAATTTGCCTCATATTGATGTGTGTTTCAGCCTCCTATGTCACTGACTGAATGACATCTTTCTTGTTTATTTACCAGGCTTAAAGTTTACCATCACATTTTTATCAAAACATATGACTGTCTCTCTTACACTAGCCCTAGCAACGGATCCAGCTGTCTGATCTTGAATGACAGTGATCAAATGAGGCTTCATTGATCTAAACACATCCTCGCTTTCTGACCCAGCTCCAAACTGAACACACAGTAGCACTGCAATGGAGGATGCTAACACGCGATCCTCTTTGGTACCTATTAACAATAATAAATTAACATCATTTCCGTCAACCATACTTCAACACTTTTACTGATCACAGATACCTAAGGAAAATTTTCAAAAATTTAATTTTTTCTTTTTGTTTAATTCTAAGAAATAAACAGTACTGTGCAAAATTTATGCCAGAGTCTTCATTTGAATGGCAGAGCTCAAAATAACAGACAGTCAACAACATACGTCTGGCTGAGATAACCATTTGTCCAGAAAAACTTTTTGGCTTACCAGTCATTTTTCACACCATTACATTTCAAGAGGGCAATCATGTTAGTACAGCTGGCTAGTACTTTTAATTTATTATAGTGTTATTTTTAACATTTAGACGGGTCAGAAGAGACACATGATCACACACTTAAAATTATTTGGTCGCTCAACACGACTGGCAACTCTCCCAAATTTATTTTGAGCTCCGGAATGGTATCACTAAAAAGATTCTGCCTGTATATGCAGAAGTAAGAATGACATTACTTATCATATCCCATAGAAGTGAAACAGCTAACTTAGTTAAAACACATACTATAAGTGAGGAAATCTAAAACGTTGAGTAAAATCTACCTGTTAAAGTAAACTACTAAAACAAATTTATTTACAGAACTTTAGATTCTTTCTTACCTCTTTTTACACACTTTTCAATGCAATCCACAATGGTTACTTTCCTGAAAGAATGAAGAGGAAGTATTGATGTATTTTTCATCAATAAAAAGGGCGAAGGCTCCTTACAAACTCCTAATATTGTGTCATCCATTAGTTATGATAGTCTTTATAATATATCAATGTTCATCCTGACCTTCACACTACTGGTATAAGTGAGGAGAAAAACCGAGGCTCCACCTGAATCACATCAAGCCTTTGAAGTTGCTGAAGCCCCAACTTATGGCCTACTCAATCTTGTTCTCTCTCCTCAAACTAGTTTTTCGAGTGTAAGCATCAGTTTATTGATAAACGACAGTTGACCCAGGCTCACGGTTTGTGTCACGTACGGGTTTCATAACATGAGTAAATATAGAGAACATATGGGACGAAGTTTAGGTCTGGAAATTTGCTAGAAAATGGAAATAAAAATTGATGAAACTCACAATGTGGTGAGTTGTTGTTGTCCTTAATATGTACACAAAGTTTCAGGAAAAATAGTCCTTCATCCTTCCTACATAGTATAGTGGCAAGGTAGGAGGTTGACAGCAGCATCAAGGCTCCGATCGACCCCAAACCAGCACAATTTTTTTCGCGAAAATCTAATCAAGTCACTGAATAAACACGCCAGGCTCTTGGAACATGAATTTCTCTAAACCCTGAATCCACTGATTTGATTTTCGCGAAAAAAATCATGCTCATTTGGGGTCCATCGTAGCCCTGACGCTGCTGTCAGCCTCCTACCTTGCCACTCTACTAAGTAGGAAAGATGAAGGAGACTATTTTTCCCAAAACTTTGTGTGCATATTAAGGACAACAACAACTCGCCAAATGGTAAGTTTCATCGATTTTTATTTCCATCTTCTAGTAAATTTCCAGACCTAAACTTCGCCCAATATGTTCTCCATATTTACTCATGTTATGAAACCAATATGTGACACAAACATTGAGCCTGGGTTACCTGTGGATAAACCAATGGTCGTAGCTGAGAACACAGTTATGAGGCCTGGGATTGCAAGTTTATCCCAGCACATGCTCAACAAAGATCTTACTCAATTCATGCAGATTCTTTCTTGAGCACACCAAAATCAAACAAGTGAAAAAAAGGCTCAGCTGGCAGGCTGCCTGACCCCATGAATTCAAATTCAAATTCATATTAACTTCATTCAAAACAAACCTGTCAGAAAGAAATTCATGTACAATTCTGGATTTCAGAGCCTTCTGGATAGCAAACAATGCAGATTGCCTCCCTTGCGCACTGAAACAGAAGATATCCAGTGATAGTCAACCCAACCTTTGTACTCGTACAAGAATTGCCCTATTACAATATGAGCTAAGGAGGTTGCTATACAAAACGATAATATGTTTACAAAACAGTGCATATGAAATTAATGCTGAGTAAGCTAAGTCACCGTTACGGTCCAAATTACATTTCAGTGAATATTGGGCTCTGGTGAAATATGTCATTACGGAATTCGCTAAAAAAAGCATTTAAGAACAAAAACGTGATGTAAATTGCTATAAACTTCGACGTCTGGAAAACAACAAGAAACGTGTTCACTTACACTCAAGCAACATAACGAAACTGAATCGATACGAAATAGGATTTCTACACTTTTAATATATTTGCTAGCTAATACAGAAAACTTTTGTTCGCTAAGAAGAAGAAGTCACTTAAGCTCTTTTCACAAAGTCGCAAAAAATGAGAAATATGAATAATCGAAACGCGTCAACGGTGCTAGTAAGTGCATTACCACGTGCGACAAAGAGTTAACATAAAAAATAACCAAAATAATAACAAAACCTAGATTATAACATCGCATCATATAAATCATAGTGTTTCATAGAATGTGATGTAATGATATGATCTGAATTGATCTTAACGTGCAAAGATTTTCGCTACCTTTTCTGTGTCGCTCTATCAATGCAATCAGCCAAAACTTGTTCAAAGTCGTCTTCGTAGTCTTCTTCTCCGCCCTCGTCTAAACCATCAGCTATTGTAATAAAACTGGAGTTAAAAAACTTCAACAAAAAGCAGCAATGTTGATAAATAGGCGCAGTTTGCGAGGTATAATTCGCGTCGCCTTGCAGTCACGTGTTGAACGCAGAAAAACTCCGATCTCTTACCTTCTTCGCCACTGTGGGTTCCCGGTGTTGATGAATAACTTGCTACACTTTGGGTTTCCAAATCCTCATCGTCGCTTTCCTCGTCTCCTCTTCGTCCTAAACACGCAATAAGTAATAAAGTCAAACATTAAACGGCTACAGATTAAAGAATCCAGTCTAGAAACCAAGCCGATATGTGGCTAAAGACGAGCGCGAAAACAAATTTATGATGATCAACGCGCGCCATTGATTGTGAAGAACGAAAGCACTCGACGAAGATCGGGCACTTCCAAAGCTAAGATCCGATTCACAATTTCAGTTGAAAATACGTTATAAACCAATATAACAAAAAGATACCAAGTACGAAACAAAGCGTTGCATAATCACCTTTTTTGCGAGGTTGTTGCCCGCGCTTTCCTCGACCGCCTTTGCCTTTCGAGTCTCCCTTGGGCATGGTTGTCTTCAAGAATCAAACGGTTAAAATTGTTCCTAGTGTGTTATTTCAAGACACAATATGTTTTCTTTCGTATACTTCTTCTTCTTCTGGCAATAAAACAATAACTAGAGGTGTTTTTAGGATGAAACCTCCGAAAATTCATTGGGAGAAGAATTTGTAGACCTTTACCCATCAAGTGGGAAGACAGAAATGCCGGCGATGACGTAAAGATCCAAGAAGAACGTGATCGATTGCAAGTCTCTTTGAAAATTCCTTGAGAGGGGAGGGAGAGAAACATGCTTGTTCTCTAATTACAGAGCCTAACATAGGAAGAAAAAGAAAGTCGGTATATCTTTTTGAATTTGAAATATCATTAAGCAACAAAATATAACAATTGATAAAAATCGCGCAGATTAAAAAAGAAAACAAATGAGTTTCTAAAATTTAACAATTACCCCAGGGTACCATGGCTCTTTTTGTTTTGTGGCATACAATTTACAATTCATCCCCAGTATCGCGCGGTTATATGGGCTTTTCGAAGAGAGAGTTGAAAAGCGTACATAGATTTTAAACCAAAATAAACTGGAGAATTACTCAATCAAGGCCTTCTACTGGGACGATTATGTTGACTTAAAATGAACGGTAAGAGATTTTAAGAATACATGTCACATTACAATTAGTCAGTCCTATTTTCCGAGAAATATTAGTGTCAATAAAACTGATTCCTGTGTGGCCTGGTACGTGGCAAAAAATATGGAAATATAAGCTTAATTTTATTCCTTAACTCTCGTATTTTGGGCTAGAATCAGGAATTTCCGTTTCTGTTCATCTTAGAACGCCATTTTTGTGATCAAGTAGCTCCTTTAGCTCTACCAGGTATTGCATTTGACTTCAGTTCAGTCGGTATCTTTGAATACAATAATTGCAATTTGCTCTCCAAAATTTGCTTTATTCAGCCAATTTCATGGTGGTTCCTGGCGGGTTCCTATGTTCTTTTGATTTATCACTTATTATTTGTAAAGAACTTACATGCACAGCAATAAGTTGCATTAACATTATTTTAAGCTCATTCTCTCTACAAGAGGAAAAACTTTTCGTTGTTTGTTGATGGCAGTTTTTGTGAATTTTCATGTTCCTTGTCAACACTGAACGTAGTCAAACCTCTAATTACAAGTGATCACCCCAAATGGAAAGATTTGCTGGTTACTCACAGAAGTTGTTACTTTACAACTCCCCTTTTGTGACATAACAGTTCTTTTAAAGAACCGTGTTCCAGGGACAAAATACTGTCACTTTAATTTTGATCCCAACATAATTATTCACTGCTTACAATTATTGGCCTTCAGGTGATCACCTAATAAATGCAGACAAGCAAGTGGTCAAATTTACGCAATCGGTATCTAAAAGTTTATCAAGAGACAATAATTGATAAACTAGCCTATTATACATTACACAAAACACAATGAAAAACCCCTTTCTTTATTATATGTTTTTATCTCTTTATCTTTCAAGTTTACTCCTTGGATGGTCTGTTAGTTCTAGCCCTGTTGGTGGTGTGCACTTGTGCTTACATAACAAAAGTTCCCAGACTCAAATCTTTTTTTCTTTCTGAAAAGAAAGGATTCTTTGGGGTATTTTATAAAGGTAAGTCAATGTTCTTAAATAAAAATAAATAATTAAAGCAGTGCTCTGACAAAATTTGCTGGTAGCCCAACTGAACCTAGTCTGATCAAGCAAACTAGCCTCCTCTGCATGTGCAGGTTCTGAGGGCGAAAGAAAGAAGAGAGATCTTGAAATCATGTCTCAGGAATTTGAAATCCACCTTCAGTGCTGCTTTTGGCTGCTCTCAACTGAGCTATCATATTTTGGCCTATCAGTGCAGAGTGAAACAAACATCGAATGTAAACAAACATTGAAAAGCACATGAATGATAAACTTCCCTCAAGCTTGCTTGAGCTGTTACCAATAGAAGGTCCTAAATTGCCTGTGTGTCATTGTCACCCACCACGTTTAATTCCTTCCCTACTTGGCAACCACACCGACCAAATGTCTACACGTAAATGCAACAAACAATTGTATCACCTTCTACGATCTTTCTGTTGCTAGGATTTTCCTTTCTCTGTGTGAAAAGCCCCTAAACCTTGTTCCCAGGCTTCTCTCCAACTTGCCTCCAAAGAAAAAAATGTGGGAACAAGGTTGACGTATATAGTGACTAGAATTTTATTAATTTTTCTTTTTTCCTTCAGCTGCAGTTATTGGAATTCGTCTTCACTGGGCAGTGGCATTGTCTTGTTTTCTAATGGCACTCTATGTTCTCATACTAAAGTAAAGAGATTTGACAAGAGTGGTATGAGTATTTATTAGAAGAAGACATTTTTGTGCATTTTTCATGTGGAATATAATGAGAGATAGATTCCTTTAGAGTAGTTGGAGAAACCAAGAAGATGGAAATGCTTGGTTTGTTTTTAATGGACAACATAACATGGAAATATTGGAATCTTGCTTCAAGAGAGCTGGGACCAGACATTTAATATCTCTGGGTTTATCAAATTGTTTAGGCTTTAAATGTACATAACCAAATATGCATACTGTGCAAACAAGGGGTTTCATTACCTAAAATTCTTTAAGATTTATAGTTGCTAAGCCATTCTTCAATCAACTTCTTCCATTGTTACATGTATTGTTGACAAGACAGCTTGAGAATAACTGGTTTCCTGAAAATCACTTTGATAAACCCTGTTAATATGTAAAATGATGCATTTTCTAATCATTAATTTTCACTTCTGTGGTTAGGATGAGGTTACCGCAAACAGTTTAGACTAGTAACCATTATGAATTGCTGACTGCTCAAACCAAACCAAAATGCAACCTCACAAGCTGTCTTTCATATGTTGGCCATTTTGCGTGACATCGTAGTCATCATCAGTATTTTTTCTCCAAGTAGGGGAACACGGCAAGAAGTTTTAGTTGGGATTGGTTACCCTGTATGGCAGTTCCTTACCCTCTCTCCCCAATCCCCCTCCCTTTTTCCCTTCTTTCCAATCGCCTACTCTTTCGATGCCCTGCTGCGCAGGCTAGGGGTTGTTGGGCTGAAGGGACACTTCACCTTTCTTTGTTACCTTGGGCGTATTTTTTTTCCACTAGTTTGTCATAAAATAAAACAGAAAACTCCAAGTTACACTCAGAAATTGGACTTCTGCCTCTTACAATAATAGATAAATAATAGATCTTATTCCTTTTGTATAAAAATTGCACAACATGGAGGACTGGGATTGCGAAAACTGAATTCCATATATGGTGTGAAATTGAGTGCACACTTTGGTTAGTTTATTGTACTTATTACAAGTGGTAAGGTGTGTTATATTTTGTCATTTAAGGTTTAAGCAGCAAAATTAAGAAAAGTTTCCTCTTGTAGCAGCAATAAATAACAGCTAGTTAGTAAAGAATAGAAGCTACGTTTCGTCACTGAGTAATAAGTAGTATAATCATAATAAACAAGATGAAATTATTGATTTAAATGATCTGCCTTGTATCCTTTATTTGACGATGTTGATCCAGAAAATATCCATACTGCTCCGATGGATAACATGTGTACAGCTTCTCACTCCCCCCAAAAAAACAGAGAGCGGTTCCCTCTCTCCGATTTTTTCAAGGGAGGGGTGGCTGTACACAGGCTACCAATTACAGATGTCACTAAGATTTTATGTTGCCGGTTAAATACAACAAGTAGGCAGGGAATAAAATGGCAAGGGATTTCATTTGGTTCTATTTTTCTTCTGTTTTCCCATGAAAATAACCGGGGGCCACATGCATAGTAGCCGGGGGAAATCCCCGGACCCCGCCCCTTAATGACAGCCCTTTACCAAGGAAGGGTGTATTTTCTTTCCCTTTTCTCTAGCCTGCAAACAGGCCCCCAAGTGGACAAAAATGAAAATTGATGACAAAGTGAGCCAAGCATGGCCTGGGGGAGAAAAATGGTTGGGGGGGTTGCTGTAGACTTTGTCTTGATACCACCCATCAACCCACTTGTATCCTGTAACACAAATGTCAATGGATGGGGTGAATCAAAACAAAGTCTAGAAATCCTAGACAAAGTGCAAAGGTGACGGGCGTCGTGAATAAGGTCTATAATTTCTCTGCCTTTACCCATGCACAAAACTTTGCGGTAGAGTCATGATGAACATATCAAATAGATTTATCAAAGAGCACTAAACAAAATATAGTGGTCATTTTGCAGGCACAGCATAAAAACTTGAACACAGTACTAGGTTGGCCGGACGTTTTCCAGCTTCAGTCCATGCATGTCCATCCTTGCTACTCGATCAGACCAATGTACAACAGGAAACAGTTTTGACTTGCATCGGTTGGCCAAACTTTTTTCAAGTTTCAGTCCATGTCCATCCTTGCAGTCTGTAGCAACATACGACAGGAAACTGTCAGTTTCAATACCTAAATATATTCTTAGATAACAAATTGGACCATTATTATTTTTGAAATTCAATTGATGCAGACACATTTTAGCTTTTAAAGATATAGAACAGGGTCGGCCAGGGGGGTTGGTGATATACCAGTATACCCGAAAAAAATGCGCCAAAATACCCAAAAGTACCCAAAATTCATCCAAATATACCCAAAATTATACCCAGGTATACTTTATACCTGAAATTCAAAGAAAGTGATATACCGAATACCTGTATTTAAGCTGCAATATACCATATACCCGATTTAAAAAGCCCCTGTATACCGTATACCCAAAAACCCTGGCCGACCCTGAAAGAAAATGGTGTGTCATAGATTCCTTGAAGGGACCATATGTAACATTTGCTATCTTTTGAAGAAACTAAAATAGGCCATTTTACAGTTATGGATAGAAGCAAGACTGGAGGTGACCATGTTTTGATACAAACATTTCTGTTTTATTATGTAAATCAAGTTGTTCTTATGCTAATTAGTATTTTCAAGGACAATTTCCATAACAAAGCAAAGCAGGTTTGTATCAAAGCAAGGTCAACCTGAGCCTCACATTCACTCGAAGGGTACTAAGCCCACATGGTCTATTAATTTATTTCTTTGCATCAGTAGGACCAGTTTTGTTATTTAAGACCATATTTTATAGGCATTGAAACTGTTTGCTGCTGTCTGTTGTTTAGCCTCAGAAAACAGCCAAAATTTGGCGACGCTACCACTGGTTTCGACGCCAAAATGACGTCTGAGAAACGAGCACAGAAATTCTATACTGATGACCGGTCACTACCCTGATCTGGGTAGTGCTTCTGATTGGTTGAATCAAATTTTCCATGCAGCACGACAAATCAGAAGTACTACCTAGATCTGGGTAGTGACGCGTCATCAGTATGGAATTTCTACGCTCGTTTCTCAGATGTCATTTGGCAGGGAAACCAGTGGTAGTGTCGCCAAATGTCGGTCGTTTTCTCACGCTATCTGTTGCTTTGGAAGGCAAGAATGTACATGGATTGAAACTTGAAAAAGTTGGGCCAACATTTTCAAGTTTCAATGCTATAACTGCAAAAATGACCTCGAAAATTATTTTGGTTGGTGTTCCTTGATAAAATTTGCCTCATAACTCCTTCATAACTCGACAGGAGCATTTTGTGTAAGGAAAAAGGCTTTAATGTAAGAGTTACAACTTAGGCACAGAAATGACCTAACACAGCAATATCCTTGTTACATAACTCCTAAAAGACACACCACTAAGATCACTTATGATTTACAAAGTCAAGGTGGTGTACTGCGGTGGCTGGTCAGAGATATCAGGCCTGGAGCCTTCTCTACTGGACCTACGCAGGTGGGGCAGTTTTAAAATATTTATTATAAGGGCATACGTGCTAAAAGAACATCATTGTGAGGGCGGGGGAGATGCAATTAATGTCAATAGAGATGTGGGTTCCATTTCCTGATTTTCCTGAGGCAAAGTATACTTACCTAGTAAATTTCTCCCCCCCTCTGACCGTAGGCAATTTTTTTCTCTGGTCTACCAATTCAGAGTTGGGTTAAGTTTTCCAATGCCCCCAACCCCTACAAACTTCACAAAAAACATTTCACCTTGCAACCCTCGACCCTAGGCTGAGAAAACAGCAACATTTCACAACACAACCACTGATTTCTTCGCAAAATGACGTCTGAGAAATGAGTGCAGAAATTCCATACTGATGACGCGTCACTCCCCAAATCTGGGTAGTGCTTCTGATTGCAGGGTTCGTACCCTTTTTTGAACAAAAAATTCATGGACTTTTCAAGGACTTTCCAGGACACTTTTCCCATTTTTGAAGGACTCCATTCAGTGCAAAAAAGAGCCTTGAGTCTGTCTTTTTTAGTTCTTCCACAACATGAGTAATTTTATCTCAAAGGTCTTTCTGTGTTTGCTCCTTTTCGTTGGAGTTCTACTTAAGTTATAAGTTTAGCATCGAAATTCAAGGAGTTTCCAGAACCGACTGCAATTTTCAAGGACTTTCAAGGCAGGACTTTCAAGTTGCGTGCGAACCCTGTGATTTGTCATGCCGCATGGCAAATTTGCTTCAACCAATCAGAAGCACCACTCAGATCTGGCTGGTCATGCATCATCAGTTTGGAATTTCTGCGCTCGTTTCTCAGATGTCATTTCATGGGGAAACCATGAGCATGGAGCATGAGAAACCAGTCGACGTTGCAATGCCTACCAACAACCCCAAAGAAACTCTATTTACTTTGTAACGTAGACTAAATTTTTTGTTTTCTGGTGGGAATGTTCTAACAGAAATTTCTGTTCCATTTGCTGAAACTCATATTTGACACCAATGTCTGACTTCCGCAGCCACTTGTTGTTAAAAGGAACTGATTTGGGCAAATGGTAAACACAAGTAAATTAACCAGTCCTGAATTTTTCTTACCATTTGCCTAAACCATGAACAACCTTGGATAACCCATAGATGGATCATATGACAAGAGTCTGAAGTAAACTTGTAGACAGACCTTTTTTGCTTAAAACACAATTCTTATACAGGTATTCTGTACAATTTTCAAGTAATTTTACCCCAGAATATCAGGCCTGCTAATATCAATGCAATATCCATGCACTTTCAACATTTTTATAGTCAGGAGACTCTGTTGATTAAAGGATTTGACAGCAATTCTCAAGAAGTACATGTGGTAACCAACTTGAATCCAAGCAAATTTTCTATTTGATTGGTGGGTGATAACTGCTTGTAAAGAGCTTGACACAGTAGGGAATAAACGCCAGGTGAACTATCATTTCACGATGATGTACATGTATTGAAGAGACGGCTAATGGCAAATACTCCACTTTACAGAAGCAGCAAAAATACATATTGC